AACCCTCCCTTTGCTTCCGAGCGATCGGCCTTATCGCGTGCGTCGGGGCTGGATTCCGGGCGAGGCAGGTGGAGTACGAAGTCAATGGGCCGGGGCTCGATTTCCGGGCGAAATGGCACGGCAGACTCGGCTTCGATTTTCGAGATAAAAAAAAAAGAAAGAATCCGGGATTTCGAGAGATAGGGAAACAGCGTAAGGACGAAACTCTGGCTCGCCGCCCTGGAATTCGGGCGAGTGCGTGCTCTCGGCCACTCCTAGCTTCCAGGGCGGCATGCGCCATACGCGCACTTGCTATTGACTCGGTACGCATCGAGATGCACGGAGGATCGGTCGTTCCCGGTAGGTCATCCCGAGGACTGTATGCCAGGAGCGACCAATTCCTTGCTCTCGAGGAACTCGAACATCCCCCTCGGAGGGTCGCCTCTCGGGCGTTTGGGATTCCAAGCGTTCCGTCGATTAATTCGCGGGGCTTTCTTTTCACGTAGAATTGCGGAATTTCTCTTAGTTGCGGATAACCGCGACGGTGATCAGACACGCGAGTACTCGAGCGAGACGACGCATTACATAATGATACGCGCAACGTCAGGACTTCAATTCTATCCGATGGATCGGATCCTTGAATTATTTTTAATTAATGTTCCACACCTTTATCGCGATTGCACGCGTTGGAATAATTTGGTCCATCGCGGCCGAAGTCTCTCGTTAGTGTACGAGGGAACGCGTACCAAGGTGTGCCTATCCTGTGCATCTTGTGCACCTCGTGCACCTCGTGCACCTCGTGCACCTCGTGCACCTTGTGCGCGACGTCTAGGCCGCACCTTGACCCGCCGTAGGAAACTTCGGCCGAGCTTCTCGCGTGCGAATCAAGATTACTTCAAAGGCTGCTGTTTGCAGTCTGACCTTACTCCCAGGCTGCACGCCGAGACGAGGCCGAGCCTAAAGTAGCGACCGAAGTGAAAAGTAACGACTCGGCTACCCAAGGATGACGCCGGATATCCTCCTGGGGGGACATCCTCCAGGAAGGGTGTCGCGAAGGAAGCGATCGAGTCCAGTTACAGCGAATGGAATAAGGGACTTCCGAATGTTCCACCTTTTGGGGAGATTTCTCTTAGCGTCATTTTCGTTTCTTTTTTTTTTTCCTCGAGGGAAGCCACGTGTCAGGTCTCACCCCGACACGTAGCCATGTTCCAGACCCGCCGATCTAAGGGTGGTTTCGAGGTCTTAGCGGAGTGGTCAAGGGTCAAGCAAACCCCCCGGGTTATCGACGCCCCGCGTAATGTCGAACCCGTGTACTTTCCATGGGATTTTATTGCCCCCTGCTCCGTCCACCCCCTTCCGGTCCGGTCCACCCCTCGCGCCGACTCCGTTCCTCTCCATCCAACCCCCGATGTCCCTAGGTGTCGTTTCCCCCCCCCCCTTCGAACATGCTCGCCGGTAAAAAAGACTCCCCTTTCCGTGGCCGACCTCGCTCGCGGGGTGGAAGGTGAAACATCCCTTCCTCGTGAACCTCGTCGCCCAGACATACGTACACACATATATCCGTACACTCGGACCGTTCGCGTGTCGTGGATACTTTGCGACTGCCCCAACTTCGTATTCCAACCTGTCTTTCGGCCACCCTCTAATTCGGAACGATTTTAGGGCTGGATTTGAAGTTACACCTCCGCGTCCCTCGGCGAGCCCCTCGTTAGCGTTTCCACCCTTCTTCGAAACCAGGGAAACTCGACGGAAAGCCATTCCGATTCGACGTTCCCGATCGGCGAGTCGATCGATCGTTAAAGGGAATCTCTTAACCTCCCCTAGTTTCAATTCACACCCTGGAATTAAATCGTGGAAGGGTTGGAGGCTAGAAAGAAGCGGCCTTGCAGCCGAGATAACAGGTGTCAATCGGGGGCTAGGGGAGGTTTTCACGCGAAACCAGGGCAGAAGGTTAGCGTGGGACGCGTTTCGCAGGGGGTAAGTCGCGACTCGCTCGACATACGACACTGTACCGTCTAACCCCTGTACCCACCCCCTCTGTAACCACCCCCGTGCAATGCGCTCGGCAGTACCTACTGGAGAGACGGGGAGGGGACACTTGCAGGGGCGGGCTTTTCGCTTTAATGGACTTTTCTACTTAGAGGCCAATAAAGTGACTCGGCCGTGCCGAACATCTTTCCCCTTTCGAGGGAAAACCTTAAACCTTCGCGACAGCCGAATTACGGCAGTCCGCGATGCCGCCGAAGCGACGGAGGCCTCGGATTGATTTAGCCCGATATTTAGCCTTAGCCGAGCGCACGCTATCGCGGGCCACCCCTCGACCCCTTACCTTTGACCTTCGCTTATTTCTCTCTCTCTCTCTTTTGCCTCCTTACCTTGTTACCTTCTTACCTCGTTACCTTCTTAAACCGGCGCCCTCCGCCCCCGGGATTCGCCCCATGCCCCCTTGGACGGATTCCCATACGGAAATCTCCTCTTATCACTTTTTTAAGGGGATGCGATAGTGGCATCCGAACGGTCAATCGTTCATGAAACGCCGAACTGGATCTACCGAGTCGTGTCGAACCTTTACACCGTGAATATGAAGGGTATAAGAAAGGTCCTGACACCCATGAAATTTTCAATTTTTATTAACAAATTTTCTTTTCAATTGAAATTTCGTGGGTGATCTTTATCATAGCCTCCACGTTCAAGGGGTGGAGTTTGAAACGATTGGGTGAGCCTAGTTCGGAGAGAAGTTTTTTAAACGAGATATCTCTTCGGTGTCGCTTTCTCATCGCCTTAAGGCCGTCCGGGGAAAAATTGGAAATAGAGAAAAGCGATTGATTTTCCGCTCGACGGCTGTGGAAACGTCGATTGCATCTTCCCAACGGGCTGGAACGTATTTGCCAAGCCGAAATCTGTCCCTCTGTCAGGGCGCTCGGCCGTGAGCCCTGGCGACGCTGGTGTAACGTATCGTGTAACGTGTACATCGAGGCTATTTACGCTTTACGAGCACGTGCTCGGCTTACGCCACGCGAGCCTTCCGTTTTGATTTTATGCCAAAATCCTGGGGATCCCCAATCGACACCTGTTATATCGCGCCACGTGAGATCGCCAAGTGGACGCGCCTCGGACCTTCCATGGGGTGGATACCACCCCCACCTCGATTTGAAGATTTGACACCGGTGTTTCCCCTCCCCTCTACCTTGATTTACTCGATCCACCGTCAGGTTCTCGAGTAGGGCCGGGATTCCTGAAAAATTGCCAAAATCTCGCCGATCTTCCCGCCGACACCTGTTGTCCTCCTCCAGGAGGGCGGCCCACTTGAAAACTGGGAAGTGGGCGTACAGATTTAAACGTTACACGGTTCTCGGACTCGACCTGGGCTCCCGCTAACTTTTGCCCCACCTCGGCTAGTTTCGATGGATTTGGCCGCGTGCCGTTAAAGGGTGACTAATTGCCTTTCATGGCCGACTCCGAAGACGAGCGCCTCCACCCTCCGCGGCGTTTAGCCCCGACTTTGCCGGGTTTCGGGTCAGGACATTGCTCGCGGAGATTCGGAATCGTTGGTACGTTAAGGTAGGTCAATCCGTAAGCAGAGGCCGGAGGAGAGGAGAGGATCGACGTAATTGTGGCCACCGTTCGGGGCATAGCTTATCGATTCGGATATTTTCGGACCGCCCGGGTGGCGCTTTTCAGAGTACTCTTTCCATTCCCACGATTGACCGACTGGTCTGTTGTGCAGCTATGGACGTCTCTTCTCTCTCTCTTTTTTTCCCCCTTTTTTCTCGAAAATTCCTTAAGCGACCGGAAGCACTCGCGTGACTCCACGAGTCTCGACCTTCGCGCACGTGGCCGCCGGTCGGTATCTCGACGTAGCGGAAATGCGACCTCGCTTGGGTATTACACTTATTAATACCTATAATTTTCAAGGTCCGGAAAAAAAAAAGAGAGAAAAAGAAAAACGCAGGTCGACGATACGTGAGTTTTGCGCGACCGAGGGTGGACTTCGAGGAAGGAGTCCCCCGAAATGACGATGTCCCTGTCCAGGGTGGACACGCGCTACTCGGTCCAGCTTCGGTTAAAATGCGCATATCGACTCGCCGTTAAAGAGATAAAAAGCGGACATTTGGCGGGCAAAAGTCCGACGAGTGCGGTGCGCTGTGCGATGATTGGGGGAAAAAAAAAAAAACGCGGAATGTTCCCGGATCCGTTCAACGAGCACCATTGATTGCGCTTGCTTTGACGCGCTCCCGTGTCTCGCAACGAAAACGCGATGGTCGGGATTGGAGGAAGACGAGTACCGAGATTTGGAGGGCCGATTTGCAAAAATAATAAAAATGATAAAGTGATTAAAAGAAAATCATATAAAATTATACAAATTATGAAAATGTTTTCCACGAACTCCTGGACCAGGGAACCTGCGAATCTGATAACCTATAAGCCCCCAAAACCCGCGAACTTCCTTATCCTTAGATAGAGGCAGTGCTAATGTGTTGGAGACCGTCGAGGGCGGGACACCAGGTGAATGGCTTTCAACGAGCAGAGGGCCTTCGAGGGGATGCTCGATCAAAAGTGGCCCCTTGTTACAACGAGAGGTCCCCCCCTCGTGTCCGTATGTACACCTACAGGTGTACCGAGATGCCTGGCACAGGTACTCGAGGCGTAGCCTGCTCTCTTTGGCAGAAATACCTCTTCGAGGCCTAACCCTTTCTTCCTCCCCGTCCAACATTGTTCCCGGCACCGATGCGTCTCGTCAAGGAATCTTCTCGGAGAGACTTGCCAGGATCCTCCTGGAAGTGTCTACCAGGAAATCCTAAATCCAGGACACGATGCCCTAGGTCGGGCTCCGCGTCTCTTGGGGCCGAGGGAAACGCTCTCCCGATCTCGTAGGGTGAAGTGTCTAAGGGTCGAATAGGGAAGGTTGCGGGGGAAACTCCGCAGAGGGGTCGGAAAATGTATGCACTCCTTGGGGGTACGTCAAATCGAGCCGAAGAAAATTCATCGGGTCTGATGGAAAGTCCTTTTCTTTTTTCCAGCCGATAGCAGCTTCCTGCTGGCGAACGCTCAAATCGTGGACTTCCCGATCGTCTACTGTAACGAGAGCTTCTGCAAGATTTCTGGATACAACAGGGCCGAGGTATGCAAATTAATCCACCTTAAGGTGATACGGAAGGGTCATTCGATATTTATAAAACGTAAAAATATTTATAATGCTTTCCTCCAAACCGGATGCCCCCGAATCGTTTGGTACCTCGGCACGTGATTATGCCCGGGCCTAAGGAACGTAAAAATATTTACGCGATGTTCATTGAATTTAATTTTTCAAAGGAAGATTTTTTTTATCTATCCCTGATTAGAACCGAGAATGTATACGTTTTTTACTGAAATTTCATGAGCACCTCAGTTAATGCATGTAACTTCTGTCGATGGGAATGGGGATTGAAGGAATGGCCTCGTTGGAAGAGAGACCAGCGCTTTACCTAGAAGAGCTTTAGATAATTCTTCAATTTCGATTATAAATTTTTTTTTTTTCTTAACGTTTTTGAGCGCATCTTCCCCTCGGAGTCGACCTCCCTTCCCGAGGGGGCGATTCGACCACGAGGTCGACTCGCTTCCGCGATTCCTTCGGGCTCGCCAGAGAGCATCGATTTTCCCGAGCGATCCGTCTAATGAGATTTATAACACCTGGATGGATTCGTCGTCGGGCCGTTTCACGGCCGTCGTTGCGATTCCGGTAAAGCCTTGGGAATTTTCCACGTCCTCGTGCCGGGTACCGACGATCCTCGCCGGGCATAACTCCCCCGTCGCCCCCCTCACGAAATTTTTCATCTTCCAGGTGATGCAAAAGTCATGTCGCTGCGGATTCATGTACGGCGAGCTCACCGACGAGAAGACCATTTCCCGGATCGAGGAGTGCCTCGAGGGACAGATCCACGACCAGTTCGAGATCCTGCTGTACAAGAAGAACAGTGAGTCTCCGCTCGGCGTCGGGCCGTGCGCACTTCCGGTCGCGCCGATACTTGACCCTCTGAACTTCCGGGGTCGGCGGGTCCTCCGGGACCTTCGGCCGCCCTGATTCCGGGGTTAGAGGAAAAATTCCGGAAGTGAAATCGACCGCCCTCTGCTTTCGGGACCTTCGGGGGCCGGTGTTTGCTCGGGGGAGAAAAAGCTCCCGGAAGTCCCGCCCGCCGCCACCGGAAGTCCACCAGGGGCGAAGCGCCTCCGGATGCCGCGGAAGCTCCGGGGCGGCCTCGCCTAGTGCATGCCCCGGACCGACCGGAAGTCGGCTCGAAGTTTCTCGCATAAGCTTGCAAGCTTACCGTGCGATACCGTGTGCTTTCGAAGTGGTTCGGAGCCTCTTGCCTTCTCGTTGGTGTCGCCTCACTCGTGTTGTCGCTCGTAAGCAGAGCATGCTCGTTTAGGGCCGAGCAGCATGATGGCTCGTCGTTTCCAGGAGGATGTTCCTGGTCGGCACCGGGTCCAAGAGAACGTCCAGGATGCCGCGACTCGGCCTCGGACGAGCCCATTCTCGGCGCTTTGACCCGGGTTATCGAGGGTTATCGCGCAATTTGACACACCCTCGTGGTAGGGGATAATCGGTACGGATCGGATGCATATCCCAGGTATACCCCGGGTGCAGACCAGGAACCTCTCCTCGAGTGTTCAAACCCGGAAACGGCCTCGAAATATCCGCCTAGGGTCCAGCCGAGCGATCGCGGAGGCTCGCCTCCAGATTTCCCGGTTAATTGGCGCCAATCGAAGCCGAATTAATACAAGCCGGCCGCTCGTGGCCCGGCCGTGTTTTACCCCCCGACCTACCTTAACACCCTAACTACCCCTGTAGCCAACTAAGTCGAATCGTCGCGGTGAATAATGGAGGATAATTCTGTTTAAAGGTACCCCACGAGGTATGTCTAGCACAGGTTCGCAAAAACGCACGCGCACATGCCCGTAAGTCATCTCGATCTCATTTTCTCTCTCTTTCTCTCTCTCTCTCTCTCTATCTCTTTCTAATTTCCGTCTCGCGCACCGTACAGTCCGAAGGCTGTGCGAGCAAGTAGTGATAGTCGACCATTGGGTCGCCGCTGCTGACCGCGGGTATTTCCAGATTTCTGGGGAAATTCGTATAAGGGGGGGGGACTTGAATTTCGGGATTACGATTAAGAAGATATTCCGAGGCTGTCGGAGAAGGTGGGTAGGATCGATCGGCTTCGGGAAGAGTGTCAGGGAGGGAGAGAATTTACTTCCCCGGAGGGACTTAGGACTTGTCTTTAGAGGCTTTCCTGGACTATTATCCCTTGGATTGTACATGGTATGGCGATGGTTGATGACGATGAATGCGTAGGCATCGAGGGGGTTGGCCCGGTAGGGGGGACTTGCATTCGAGGGCTCTGTGCCGAGGAGAAGTACCAGTCGATCGACTCGACGGGGACGACGGGGGAGGAAGAATACAACCGAGCAAAGGCTTTCCCGGGGAGGTGTTTCGCGTTCCCTCCCGTCCTTCAATATCCAATTATAGAGCCCACTTTGGGGAAATATCATTAATTTATGCACGAGGGGAGGCTGCAAAGGGCCCGGATTCACGGGACGTCGAAACGAAGCGGCCGCAGACACCCCCTTGAAGAAACCCGCCCGGTGAGAAAGAAGCCACGAGGACACTTTGACCTCGTCAAATTGCCTCCTGGGCGAGAGATATTTTTTAATGAAGACCCATCCTACGACGTGGCTTTTTTTAGCGCCCTCGCGAGCCCATTCTCACCCGGGATGTGGACGGATCGCGACCCAATGGCCCACGGCCGACATTCTGCGTTCTGACAAGGACGCTTTAATTAACCGGTCGCTGTCGAAAAGTTATCGAGTATTGTCGAAACCCGACCAAGGGGACCCTGGCTTACGAGGGGGTGACATCGTTCGCGTTTCGGGGGATGAATTCTTCCTCTGCGCTCGTCGGTAGAATGATTACTTTTTCATTTGTTTTTTGTTTTTTTTCCCTTCCGTTCCTGGGGAACTCGGTGGGCGGTAAACGGATCGGGCAAGTACTTCCCTGAGTACCAGTAATTGGGTAATCGAGGACCATTGTCCGCGTCTCGCCGTACCGTAGTGATATGGCTAATTAAATTTTTCCTCTACACGTGGAGCACCTCTTCGAGTTCGAGAGTGGGGTCTTTACCGTGTCTCATACCGTATCTATAATTTGTTAATTTAATCCATCATTAAGGATACCGACGCATTAGGAGGATGCACGTGTTTGGAACCCTTTCTCCTGTCTTGAGGATATGTAGCTGCACAGGGTAGCTAGCTGCATGCTCCTTTGCACCCACTTTGCAGATTCCTCCGGCTTTAAATGGTGCGCCGACGTGTGGCTTTGCATCTTGTCTTTAGCATCTTGCGACTCGAAGCGTCCGCGATGCATGAGAGGTAGCGATGTGGATGCAGATCCGAGGAAAGAATGGTAGAAAATTGGAGCAGTGCAGCGGTTCCGGTAAGGATCAGGCCATTTGTATGCAACGAACGTTTAGCGGTGCTTGCTTCCCCTCGGTTTGTCCTGGAAACATTTGGTAACGCTAACGAAACAAGTTTCCACGGGTTTGGGGAAAGATTCCTCGACTCTTTCGCCGCGGGATTAAGATCCAGTGAATGGGACCACTGTCGGTGATAACTCGACGAGGGTCGCCTGCACCGGCGAAAGAGTTAAAGGGATGCACGGGGTGCATCCCGATTTGTTCAGCTTTGGATATGACAACGCGGAAAGGGATGCTTAAGAAGTGTATGCGCAAGGAATCTTCGGCATGAGTTTTCAGGCTTCTCCAAAGACCCTTATGCCATTTCACTCACTTGGTAACGTTAGTGCACCCGAGCCTAATCCCTGCCGACGTGACAACGCGTTCCCAGTGGAGATGCGCAACGTAGCGTTTTGTCGGCCCTTCCCCTCGAGATGATAAATCACCCCGTTCGCTCATTCCCGATGCTTGTAACGGATCCCTCCTCCGAATGGTCCCCGAGGAGGGGAGATAGAGTTGATTTAATTTAAAGTCGCTCGACACCTAGATCCAGAGTTAGATCCCGACCTACGTCGATAGTGTCCCCAGGGAAGCTCGATAGAATTTTTCCTTTCTCTCGTTTTTTTTTTTTCTTTTTCTTTACTCCGCTCTTCGAGTAGCCCTCGACGAGTAATGGCCCTCTTCAAGGGAGCCCGAAATCCCGGTTTCCCACCGGCCTAGGTCTCGCCAGATTTATTTCCACTTCGGCCGGCTGATCGATTTCGTTGTGCCCTGCAGAGACTCCACTATGGCTGCTGCTACAGATAGCTCCGATAAAAAACGAACGGGAGCTGGTGGTCCTGTTCCTGCTGACCTTCCGGGACATTACGGCCCTGAAGCAGCCGATAGAGACGGACGACAGCAAGGGCGGCCTCTCCAAGTTTGCGAAATTGGCCAGGTCGGTCACCAGGTCGAGATCGGTCCTCGTCTCCCAATTCAGCTCGCACTTGCCGGCCCTGAAGGACTCCACCATGCCGACTGCTGCGAAGCAGTCTCAGCTCGCTCATGTGAGTAGAGGACGAGGTCGAGAGAGAGACTCGCGTCGAAGATGCATCCCTTGTTAACCGAGTGGGTTCTCGCTGGTATTTCGTGACATCCGCGACTCGGGCCTTCGTAGTCGAAGAGCAACAGGTAGGGAATGGAAACCCCGCCACTTTTTAACCCAGATTTCCATTTTTCCAGATGATGTCTTTGAGCGGAGACGTGATGCCGCAATACCGCCAGGAGGCCCCGAAGACCCCGCCGCACATACTGCTGCACTACTGCGCCTTCAAGGCGATCTGGGACTGGATAATCCTGTGCCTGACCTTCTACACGGCCATAATGGTGCCCTTCAACGTGGCTTTCAAGAACAAGACCAGCGAGGACGTGTCCCTCCTGGTCGTTGACAGCATCGTCGATGTCATCTTCTTCATCGACATCGTCCTCAATTTCCACACGACTTTCGTCGGTGCAGGTGGAGAAGTGGTATCGGATCCAAAGGTAAAGATAACCCGGAGAGCCAGGCAGCTGCGATCGCTCCTCGTTTCCGGCTCGTCGGTCCGACCTTGACGGTGGAAATGGCGGAAATAACGGCTGGGTCTCGTTTCAGGTGATCAGGATGAACTACCTAAAGTCCTGGTTTATCATCGATCTCCTGAGCTGCCTACCTTACGACGTGTTCAACGCCTTCGACCACGACGAGGACGGGATTGGCAGTTTGTTTTCAGCGCTGAAGGTCGTCCGGCTCCTTCGCCTTGGCAGGGTTGTTCGTAAATTGGATCGATACCTGGAGTACGGAGCTGCCATGCTTATCCTTTTACTATGCTTCTACATGCTGGTTGCTCATTGGCTGGCCTGTATCTGGTACGTCATATTAAGGTGATTCACCCTGTACATACGTACCTTATGTATTGTATATATGCAAACAGCCCTCTAGCAGGTAGATGATATCGCGAAGACGTTCTCCGACTCCACTCCTGCTCCCTGAAGCTGAACGGCGAGCTCTTGATATCGCCCCGGGCCCTTAAAAAGAACAGAACGGATTTTAATCTCACGTAAAGTGCTTTCAAATACTGTACACACTCCACCCTTGGTACTATCTTAAAATCTCCCGGGCTTGCCGAGGACGTTTCTCGGTTCTCCAGAGAACGACGCTTCGGCGGCTCTTCTCGGCGTCCGAAAATACCTATCCGTTCACGAGGAGGGGCTGCGAAAGGAGGTTTCGGTCTCTTCAAGGGTCTCCGTGGCCGGGAACTAGACTTTTATCAACAGTCTGTAGCTGTAGTTTAATTAGGAGGTTTCTAATCCACCGTAGATTGCTTCGCGCGCGCGTTCTGGCGCTGGCAAGATCTCAGACCTGAAAAGGAAGATGGCGGACGGTTAGAAAATCCACTGGTAGATATTTGAAGACTTGGTAGTCGGTACTTGGAACTTAATGGCTCGCTATCCTTGATGGAGCTGCAGGGGGTTTCGAGATCTTGCCGGCTGGCTCGACGCGCGATTGTGCCGTTTTCATGAATGCGAGCACCGCGTTACAAGCTCATTTGCCTTCAAGGTATTCGATAGGGAGATCCGACGCCGACGCCGGCGTTCAGTATTCCTGGTTGTGGAAGCTGGCCAACGTGACACAGTCGCCGTACAGCTACTTGTGGACGAATGCCAGCACCATCCCGGAATTGGTGGCCGGTCCATCCCGGCGCACCATGTACGTCACTGCCCTGTACTTCACGATGACCTGCATGACTTCGGTGGGCTTCGGTAACGTCGCCGCGGAGACCGACAACGAGAAGATCTTCACCATCTGCATGATGATCATTGCCGGTGCGGTCACCCCCTGATACCCATGCCGCGCGTAAACGCGAAATAGGATTTAATCATTTTAAAAGGATGTATCAGAGTGAGCAATTTATTTCTCGGTCCAGCTCTGCTGTACGCCACGATCTTCGGGCATGTCACCACGATCATCCAGCAGATGACCTCGGCCACGGCCAAGTACCACGACATGCTGAACAACGTGCGCGAGTTCATGAAGCTGCACGAGGTACCGAAGGCCCTCAGCGAGAGGGTCATGGACTATGTCGTGAGTACTTGGGCGATGACCAAAGGACTGGACACCGACAAGGTCCTCAACTACTGTCCTAAGGACATGAAGGCTGACATCTGCGTGCACCTCAATCGGAAGGTCTTCAACGAGCACCCAGCCTTCAGGTATGGAAGTCTACCTTGAGGGATTTAAGGCAGCCCTACCGGACGATTGGCTCTTCATATGCCTATTTCATGTCCCCTTAATGCTTGCCCTGGGTTCGGGGGTCCCTTCTCGTGGTACTAGGATTTAATGAGATCAAGGACTCCTCTTCCTGTCTCAGGCTCGCCTCCGATGGATGCCTGCGTGCCCTGGCGATGCACTTCGCGATGTCGCACAGCGCCCCCGGCGACTTGCTCTATCATACCGGCGAGTCCATAGACTCGCTCTGCTTCATCGTGACCGGGAGCCTGGAAGTCATCCAGGACGACGAGGTCGTAGCCATCCTTGGCAAGGGCGACGTCTTCGGGGACAGTTTTTGGAAGGACTCGGCGATCGGCCAGAGCGCGGCCAACGTGAGGGCCCTGACGTACTGCGACCTCCACACCATTAAGCGAGACCGACTCCTGGAGGTCCTGGACTTCTACCAGGCCTTCGCCAACTCGTTTTCCCGCAATCTCGTCCTGACTTACAACCTGCGACATCGGGTAAGTTTGATTTTTAAAATACTATACGCGCAATCGGATCAGCCAGACCTCGGGTGCACCCAGTGGGTGGTCCTTCTAAGGGCTTATTGAATTATCAACCCCGTGCCTTGAGAGCTGCAACTTTATTTCACATTTTTCACTTGTAACAACGGAGGAACTAGTTTTAATACTAGGGGGGCGATATGTTTGTCGGGGTGTCGAGCTTTAAAAAGCAGGGAAGTGTATAACAATGGGTCGTTGGGGCCGCTCGCGTTATTCAAATCGCTTTTCTAGCTACGCCTTGATGTTTTTGGCGAGTCCACTCGCTCTAATGTGGTAATCAATATTTCATGTCAAGGGCGGGAAAAGTTAGAAGCGTGTAAAGGACATCTTTACGGGTCGTTTATTATGTTTTCAGCGTCTTTAACATCAATGCGACGGGCTTGACCTGATTTGGCATTTAGCGCTAATCTAGATCCACTTACATGATTTCGAGCGTTAATAAGTTATTGAATCTGTAAGAGGAGAGTTTAACAGAGATCGTTCCGCAGTAGGATGCAATTGAGCTGGCAGACCGTTTTTCCATTCGTTCCTCCACCCGGAAATCAGTATTATAAAATTAGAAACATCAGGCACTAGACAGTGATAAGTTAGAAAGGTAATTCAAGATACGCACTTTCCGCGATGTCCCACAGCCGAGTAAATCGTCGTAACAAATTTTTAACAAGAAATAAGTTTAGCTTCGTAGATCAGGCCGTTCTGGTCTCTCTTAGAATTGTGTTTTTGTTTCTTTTTCTTTTTTTTTCTTTTTTTTTAACAGTACGCGAGACACGACTACCTGATGAGAGTATGCTAAACAGCCTATCACAATTATCTATTCACAGCTGCACACTACCGTTTATAAGTATATCTATGCGATCCATTCGAAAGACTTATTGTCCCTTTCCCTTCGTTAAGGCTCACCGGGCCGCACTTTATAAATAATATTGCACAATATATTAGCCATGCACCTTTGCATTTTTTTTTCTCGGCTTTGTACGCTAATTCCTCGAGTACTGCCCACTAGCTACTTTTTAGGAGTCTTTGCCTAAGTCGTAACTGCACATTTACATTATGAGATGTAAGACGATTTCAGTAACAGATAAGTTCCATCAAAAGCTCGAAACGTTGTTGCTACGGAATTAGTTCTTTTTATCTCTAAGTCCTTCCGAGTGCATCTTTCTTCCTGCGAGTTCCAGCATGACTTGAGAGGTAGGGTCTTGCTCCAAAATGGATCCCAAATCTCTGACGTTCTCTTCCGTCTCGGGGACGGGTCCCACTCCCCAAACTTCACAGTGCTTCACGGTGAAGTTCTCTTTGCCGCTGAGTTGTACATAATTCTGGAAAGTTGTGCAGGAAACGCTGGACTTGCCGGTACCGTACTCACAGTCCAACCATAACCCGGGATAGTTGAGCTGACCACCCATAAACATTCCGTTAGGCATGGTCTGTTGATGGAGGTTCAGGTACTGAAAGTGATTGTTGTAGCCAGTTGATGGAAACGTCAGGATGTGTGGTTCCAGCATGAAGAGGAAGCAACTTTGGTTTCCGAACATATTGGACCCCACTGACCAGTTATCCGAAGCAAACCCTCCGAATACGTGATCGTCGGTGTCTTGGACGATGACAAGCGTGGCTCCTTGCATGACTATTCTGCCTAACATAGTTGAAAATGATTCACCGTGCACTTGACTAGAGAACAGGAAACGCCATTCGTCGCGGAGCTCGTGAGGCAAACTTAGATTCAAGAATAGCACATCTCCTAATCCTAGAATGCTAGGAAAATGAGGAATGTTTTCTAGCCCCTTGCACATTGGTAGCAAATTGAGATCGTTTATACGAACACCTGTTGTGTTCTTATCACCCTTCTTTTGAGAGATAAGAAAAAGGCACTGAAAGACGTGCGATAAGATTGAATTAAACGTGGAAGCGTGTGCAAACCAGCTTTCTACTTGTTCAGTCGTTAATGTATCTCCATTCTTTACTAGATTCTCGCAGAGGCTACGTGAACGTAATCCTATTCGCCTGGTGTTCACGGTGCAGCCGATGCTACTCCAACTTTGATAGCGAGAATTGTTGCTATTCTTTTGCAGTCTTAAGTATGAGTTGATTATTGCCTGAACATACTGGAGAAATGTGGCAGTAGGGATTTCGGTCTTTTTCTCTTCCTCCGAGTACCCTTCGAAAATCAGTGTCGTTCGTTCATCAGGACTGCCACGTATGGCAAAGACGTATAAACGGCCGAAGTTTTCGCCATTTATCGCAGAGACCTTTTTCCCTGGTTCGTGACATAAAAAGCGCACAACAAATTGAAGCAGTATGTCATCCAAATGAGTCGACCAGTGTTTGAAAATGTCTTCACGCTTTATAGATCCTGAGCTACGGGACATAGACTTGAAAAGGTTCTCTACTAAAGTTAACTCATCCGTAGATAGTATATTTACAGACGAAGCAGATCTGCTGGATCCATGACCCATCTAAAATGCCGAATACACAGTATTTAAATACATACTCTATTCCAGTCGAGATAACATTAAGCATGTAAAAGTAATCATAATATAGGAGAACTATGATTTACAATGCAGATTCTTCGCGAAGCGTACTTACTTTGTCGTTTAAGTAATTCGATGTATTTTAAAAGAACTCGACAATGACTAGGGAAGTCATTCTTATTCCTCCATTGGTCTGCGATTATCAATTTTCCTGTGGGACGTAGAAATCTCTTGAACCAACCGTACTGGTTATTCGTACCGAACTGAGTTTCTATAAACACATTTACACATAGTGTGCAGAGTCTGCCAAAATACCAGAACAGGTCAGCAAAGATATTCTTGGAAGCAGAATCAATAAACGTTGGATATGCAACTAACCTTGCTAACGTTAGTACATAGGAAACACGACAACAATCCGTGCAAAGTGTGGAGTTTTCCCTAGGAAACGACGACTTCGCGAGTGGTTATCCAATTGTTTCACTAGCTACACTCACGGCATTGTTACTTGGCCTATCGCATGCCACCCCAATATATGTGTGTCATTCTTTAAATCTCGAATAGTAGCGTCCTTCAGCGCCCTTTTAAGCCGGTATTGCGACCGTTCCCACAGAACAAGATTCTTTGAGGTTATAGCAACATTCGTAGTCTGCTACTTTTCCATCTATCGACTCTGCGTGGTGCGCATGCGCGCTACTGCTCCACTCCGTATTGAAATGTCTCATCGATGTGCCCCACACGAAAAAACTTTTTATTTCTATATATTTAGCCTCCACTCGAGCTATTGATTGCAGATATTCCCCGAACTTCAAACTCGCGGATCACTTCAATATTAGAAATGCAGCAACGCGAGCTGCCTTCCCATTATATTTAAATACCGTTGATAAGTCGATCGAACGCGTCTTTTAAAAATGGCGCTAGGTAGAGTGATGGCCATTATACAGGAATATTCTCGGTCACGTGACCCCTGCGTCATCAAGATGGCCAATATGGCGGCAACTGGTGGCGTTCGTAATCCCCTCACGCAGCTCCTAGAACCGTATGATGTATTCATTTCTAGAGATTAGATTTTTATTTATTTGAATAACTGAGATAAATAAAATTTGACTCAGTGTTTTATTCGGCATGGGTCGCTCATCGGCCGTTGATTAGTTCGACATTGCGGCGCAGGCGCTGCCATTACGCGCACACTATCGATGTCATCCCATCCGGAGTTAGAAAAAAAGAGATTTCCATCTTGCCCGACTTTGCAGGTCGGCCTCCATGGGATGAGATATTTTAGTGCCTCCTTTCGTGCCCGAACAACGTGAGAGATTCATCAACATCGTCACATGATTCCCGAATATCGAGGCATCGTTATCGCGGACTATATTACACTTGTTTGCACGTCCCAAGAGGCGCGGAAAGATCAAGTAGAGGAAGATTATTCGCCCCCGATGTATCTTAAGAAGGCGAAGATATGCTGCGAGGTGGAGATAGAAAATATTTTCATTATTTCGGTCGGCGATAATGTATCTAACGATTAAGTCATTGTTTAAAAGTAAGGGTTATCAAGGGACTCTCGACGTTCCCGGGTACTCTTGAAAGACGGATCGATCAAACCTGTTCGACCTCGACGTAACTTTGGATTTACATTTTATACAGAGATTCTTCCAACCTTGATAACCTTTTCTGCAAGCGTGAATTAAGTAATCTATGCAAAAATCCTCCGAGGAATTAATCATCGATATGTCAATCGTTTCCAGCTGATTTTCCGGAAAGTGGCCGACGTTCGCCGAGAGAAGGAACTGGCGGAGAGGCGGAAAAACGAGCCCCAGCTGGACCAGTCGCAGGACCACCTCGTTCGCAAAATCTTTTCAAGGTAGGGCCTGCTCCTGCAGGATCGGCAGAGGTTCGATCCTACCTATACAAACAATCACCGCCATATTTCCGTCACTGTCCGAGTCTATAGGGCGATGCTTAGGTCGTCCTCGTAAGCAGGAACCATCGGACCCCGTTTGATCGTAACCATCCCTTGAAAGAGCTTGCACCGCGGGATCCGTCCTGGTCGATCGAATGCAGATCGACCTCTTGATCGTGCGTCATCGGTATTAATGTTACGGCGATCCGGATCCAGGTCACTGGTGGTGCAATCTCTTGACCCAACTTTACTTACCGATGGCACGTGCGAATCCCCTCTCAGCCCTTATCCCATTCGCAAGTAGAACAAGAACAAAGCGGAGGATGTAACTTTATATGACTGTTGATCGTTGCTATGGCTGGCTGTTGTCCGGAAAGGTTCAAGACTGACGGGGAACCCCAGATCCACATGACAAGAGCACTGTCTAATCGGCCTGCGCAGGATTCCGACGAGGAGCTCACCGTGAACGTCCTGCCACCCTGGCCCAGTTTTAGGCAATTTCATTTCTTACGTATTTATTTCTCTCCATTTCTTTTACCATCTCTGCTACGTATTATTATTACCATTATTATGATTATTATTACTATTATACTCTTATATATATACATATATATTATATTTACCATATATATATATACATACGATCGTATAATATTCTTACATGTATTCTAGATACATGCACAACGTGTATATATATATGTACTCGTACGTGCGACTCCATAATCGATGATTTCTCGCGTTCGCGTAGATCCTCTACCTTGTTGCTTTCGATTACTTTCGGGTACTTTTTTTCGGTACGGAGAACGGAAATTTGCTTCTGCGACGCATCAAGGAAATGGAATCGATTTATTTTCGCCCCGAAAGCCCTTTATCGCGGTGAATTCAATTTGCTGAGCGATCGCTACGCGAAATTAGCCCCTCCGAATTGTCGGGGATGACGGGAATTACGGTGGACCGGTTTTGCAGGGGTGAGGATAATTATTTCGATTAATTCGACGGTGGGAAACAATTGGTCGAGCCGCTACCGGTCGCGGTAAATTCCTGTTTCTCCGTATGCGGTGAATTCGATTCGAGCGAGCCGATCGCTTCGATGCGTTCCGTCCCAAAGCGTAAATACCCAGCACCTGCGTGCATACGCTTGAAAGTACTTAATGTACTCAGGTGTACGAGCATGAAGTAACGGACGAACGGCGACCAGGAGGCTTCTCGATGCGTCTTCTCGTGATCTCGGAATTCGTACGTCAGCCGATGCCCATAACGATTTCGTTCGGTCTGACGACCGGTCCGCCGTTTTACGAATGCTAGAGTGCTGTAAGATATACGCCTTTAGAGGGTTATGCGCATTTTTCTTCTATATACTCCTAGCAAGTAAAGACGAGGGATCCCCATAGGGCGGATTCGAGGTCCACCCCGTGTCTCTACCTCCTCGAAATCCTTCCCCCGAAGTCGTCCGGTCCTCGAGTCCCGCAGTCCAGGTCCTCCTCGAGACCTCGAATCCCTCTAGGGTTCTCCTTGCGGATAGCAAGACCGATTTACCGCTTGTTCAGCACGACCTCCGGAGGAAGCGGTCCCAGGAACCGCGAACCTCCGACCTCTGCGAGCGCCCGGGCCTCGCCGCATCGCGGGGTGCATGTAAAGGACACACTCTAGGATTCAAATATTTCTCTCTCTGTCACCTATATATTTAAATCTTTTATATACGCCCGACTGCTCGAGGCCGCCGGGGGCACGGAGATCATATCGCGCCCCCGGGATGCGCAATTTCGGAGCCCTCGTTAGTCCTACGATATTTATGACTCATTACGCGTGTCCCTCGTACCACGCACGTGAGGCTGACCGCGCGATAGCCAATTAATCGTAACACCTCGGCTCTGATAATGAATAATTGCATCGCCACCTCGGCAACGCGCACCCTGGGTGCAGTCGTCGAGGGCCATCCGGCGCCTCTCGAGCAGTTTGCGACCGTAATTACGGCATCGCGAGGACGGGGGACCGGAAGTCCTTCGCCAGGACGATGCATCGGCTCGAGTGGTCCCTCTGGTCGCGAAAGGCTGCCCACCGAGTCGATGGACGTCCTCGGGGTGGACGTCACCAGGTCGCCGTCCTCGGTCACCACCCTCCCGTATGTTTACTGGCATTTCATATCACGAGGAATACTTTGATCCCGTAGGCACACCAAAGTAGGTTGCTCGTGACACCGCTGGAGCTGTACCCTATAGCCTCTGTAGCGATCTCGTAAGAAAGCCCGTACTTGTCTAGTACGAAAGCCCGTACCGTTTAGCCTGACCCGGGGTCGTAGAAAGGCCCGACCAAGGCGCGACCTAATCCGCCCGACGTAATCCACCGCCTAGAAACCGGCCTTCCACTTATATCTCGCGACCCCCCGCGAGGCGAGGATCGCCCCCATTCAAGGTGTTCTTTGTGTTCTCGGTGGCCGCGATCCAGGTTTCGCCGAGAGAAGCACACGGCAGACGTGGAGAAGGGCGACGGAAAGGACAGCAAGGACGGGGAGTCCTCGCACGTCAGGAAGTCCTCCTCCGGAGAGGAGAGTAGTGCCGCTCGCCCTCGGCCCAGCAAGTGGGGTCGTCTTCTAGGTGAGGACCCAACGTGTTGTCGTCATGTCGTCGCTTGAATAAGTGGAGTGACCGGGGCGAGGCTTTCGGTGATTGCGGTTATCTGGGAAGGAACTGTCTCTTTCTCCTCTCCCTGCTTTTTATTTACAAGCAGATAGGGGGTCGCGTGAGGTTGAATCCGGAGCGGAGCGGATGGCACCGGCCAGAGATACGCCGAGACCCGTTCGGCCCGCTGGCGTTGGCGATAAACCCATCGCAGGAATCCAGATGCGACGAGAATTATTATGCGAATTATTCTTCCAGGAAGCTCGAGCTTGGATTCTGGGAGCGAAGTCGGCTCTGCGGCCGACACCTTCAAGAGGTCCTTAAGTGCCAGGGATTCGAGGCCCAGCTCGAGTGCCGGGACGAACAAGGTCTTCCCGAAGCTGGGGAAGCTGAGCGGGACCATAGAGGAGGTCAGCGACAGCGGGGACCACGCCAAGGACCAGGGTCAGAGCCTGGGAGTGGACTCGAAACAGCTGTCGCTGAAGAGGTTCGAAAGCTACGACGGGGGCCTCATCACGAGCCAGCCGAGCCACGACAGGGAGATGCTGGCTGCCGTGCTCGAGGTCAAGGTCGACCTGAAGCTCGAGGTCCAGCGGGTGAACCAGAGGCTCGCGAAGATCGAGGACATGTTGCAGAACCTGATCACCAAGATCCCCGTCGCTGGGACTCCGCAGGCCAGTTCGGGGACCCCTCAGCAGCAAGTGCAGTCTTCCCAGAGGGTGGCCATCCCCTCCGTGGTCGCGTCCACGGGCACCTCGCAGTCCCAGGGCGGGTCGGAACGCGGACAAAACGGGACGCCGACCACCTCGTCCCCAGGGAACGGGGTGGACGTCCAAGTCCAAAAATCAGCCTCGACCTCGAGCACCACGGCCGATCAGCTGACGACCAGCGAACGTCTCGCGAAGGCGCAGCAGCAGGAACAGCAGCTGCAGCAGCTGCAGCAGCAGCAGCAACCCCTACCGCAGCATCATCACCATCACCACCATCATCATCATCCGCCCGATAGGCTGAAGGACATCTCGTTAGAGGGACGGCTGTCGGGCGGCTCCTCGGACTACAAGGCCTCCAGGGAGATGAGCAAGGAGCTCCTGGAGAGGCTGACCCAAGCGTCCACCTCCAGGGAGGACTCCAGCGGCATCGGACCTCTCATCCTGAGGAAACGAAGGAGCAAATCTCGCAACAAGGGCGCGGCGCCTTTGGCCCCTCTTGCCACGCAACCCGTGAGTCCTACGGAACCGACGGAGACCACGCAGATGCTGGAGAGCTCCGAAGACCGGGAGCAGGGTGGAGGTGTCGAGAGGACCGAAAGGTCGGAGAGGAAGAGACCGCCTCCGAGACCCAGAGAGTACTTGTGAAAATTCGTCAATCCCCTAATGCTCGTCCGCAAGGTCGCGGGTGCCCCTCGGTGCTCTTTTTCAGGGGCTTCTCGACGAGGCTCTTCAGGGTCTCTGGCCTCCGGAACTGTCGGGGTAGCCTGGATGTGTGTACATATGCAGATTACGACCGTCCGAAGCATCCAGTCGCGTACGATATCGGCTCTAATGCAGGCAGAGGATTCGATAAGGAGGATCTTCCGCCCGGGAACGTCGAAGAGTCCTTGCTCGTGGGTCGAGTTATCGTTAGACCTCCTTTACCGGGGAACGTCGATTTGTATATCGTAGGAGGACCGTTCGAACGCTCTGGCGAAACGCGCGAATCCCGGGGACGTTCGCGTATCCGTAATCTAGGAAGGAATTTCTGTGATAGGATTCAACCCCGAGGCCGACTACGAGCCTGACGTCGTATTACGCGGCCTGACGGAATTCGACGAATCGCGGCTCCTTTCGCTTGCGCCTGCTTTTCCAAGACATCGAAGTATTCAGAGCGATCTCACGTATTACGAGATACACAATAGGTATACTACACGCAATAGGATGATGTACAATAACGGTTGAATAATCCGAGACGTAGGCTTAAGTGCGATCGGGTCGTCGTTGGGAAGAGCGAGTCACCGTTCAACGGAGGGTGACGCCCTGACGGCGCAATAATTCCATGGAGATCCTGTGGATATTCCGTGATCACGGGACGTTCATGGAACATTCACGGGACATTCGCCGGATATCTGCGCCGTTAGGGGGGATGTTTTAACGGGCGAATGCCGAGCGAACGTTCTCCTCGAGCAGCTGGGAGCCAAGAGTTAGATGGAAATCGTCGTCGAACGGCCCATTGCGGGGGGCGAGGTAGAATTCCGAAAAGCTTCCTCTGGCCTTGATGGTGCATGACATAAAAACGGAGAGAAAAAAAACGAAAAATACGCAAAATATATAGGGGATTTTGTATTCGATGCTTAGCGTTTAGACGCGCCTAAAACCATTCCTCGCGCAATTGTCAGATCGGTGTCATCTCGAGGACGTCGAGGATTAGCGGAGCGTCTCCATCCTTGTAGATTCGAGGGCCCCTTCGAGGATCTCTGTTCACTGTCCGTAACGATTAATTGTCGGTAGTCTAGCTAGCGAGGGATTTCCTGGGACGAGGACACTATCCGCAAGCTGTTATCAACTTTGATATCGGACTCTAGGTGACTTTGATATACCGGTCGGGCCGAATTCATTTGTTAAGGTTAGCCTTAGAGCCGCTTGTTTCGGGACGAATCACGCGGCGAGTACCGTCGACTGCCAATCTCGCTTATGAGGGGAAAGGATAAAAATCGGTGGGAAGGGCTTCTCGAAATCTGCGATCCAACCTCACGTTACGCCGTATTTCATGTATTCTAACGTCATAAGGTGCGCTATGCCCCGTGTAATCGGGCCCAATCGCCGATCGTACGACGCGTTTTGGTACTTAGGGTGCGACCTGGAACTTGGGAATAAGACGAATCCTTGTTCGTTTTCCACGGGCGTTCCTCGACGCGGTTCTAGTGTGCGACGAGTCCTTCCTCGGTGTCGCACAAGGCACGCTTCGCGTTATCACTCGAGTCATTTTCCGATGTCAGGAGGGGATTTTATGGACGACCTGGGCCCGGGAGCTCGGGTTCGAGGTGGACCTAATCGCGCGTACTCGCTCGGTACTTACGGGAGGCAAACAGCAATATTAGGTAAAATTGTAAGCCGAGAGGCACGTTTAAATATATATAGTATACATACGCAGGGACACTGTAACTATGTAACTCGTATCGTACCGTAATTGTAGCGTAGGACGTGCACTCGCGGTGCAGCCTAAACGCAAACGGGTCGGTTTTTGGAAAATGGCTGTTATTGCTACACTGGCGTTTGAACCGCTACATGAAATCGAGGAGCGAGGGGTCCTCGGATAATGAATCACGTGTCTTTGAAATTCTTTAATGTCCCTGAGTTGGTTATCACGAGAAGTTAATTTACTAGAGGTACGACCGGTTGCGGGTGCGCATGCGCTCTCTTCACTTCGCCGAATAATTTTTAGATATCGATAACGGCTTGCATTGAGTCAACACGAATCGATAGCGCGGATCCCACGCTCCTTGACAGAAAAGCGATTCTTTTTTTTTTCTCCCCCGAGAAGCATAATGGCCTAGGAAAATTCTGGCACTAATTCTATCAGGCGTTTAATCGAGCATGTCGCGTACATCAAGTCGTGCCGGGTCGATGTTAATACAGGTTGCTGTAAAGACGGCCTAGCCCAATCATCCGGAATTCCGCCGACGCAATTCCCCCTGTACAAAATCACCGGAGGTTCCGTCAAGAGTCGCAGAAGTCATTCATTAAGATCGCGGCATCAGATTATTCGGGGCGGTGAAATGAAAGTCATAGCTCATATCGTAGTCAAAATTCGGAGAATGCAGTGCATACGAATACATCCATAAATAAATATATATATATATACGCGAGAAAAGACACGCGTGACATACGCAATGAAGTATATGTATACATATTGTATAGGTAGCTGTGGGCGACGAATGACTAAAGCAACTATTTCACGTTATACAAATGAATTATTGAGGTTACGAGAGATTTGTTGATTAGGTTTTAGTAAGAGAGACGACATAGCTGGCCCTATTCGTAGTTTATATATGAATATAAATATAAATATACTAGGCGAAAATGTTGAACGCTCTGGCAGTCTGCAAGCCACATATCGCGCCTTTTGACGGGCGCGGATTTCATGTGCCCTCTTGTCGCGCAGCGCTGCGCCTTTATTGCGTATCAAATATTAATAAGCGACGTACAGAAAATTTCATTGAAAGGAAAAAAGAAACCTGCATTGAGGGTGCTTGCACCAGACGAAGATACGTCATTCCATTAGGGTCGAATCGGAGTAGAAAGGTGCAGAATGATCTTTCAGCACGTTGCAATGCATGGAGCCGAAGTGCTGCCAACGAAATTACCCGCAATTAGGGAATGGGACACGGTTCACGGTGGAAGGGTTCTCCCATAAAATAGCAAACCAACGTGAGGTACCTAGGGAGACGCGAAATAATCCTTTTAACTTCGTTGGTGCACTTAACGCTGGGCCGCATAGTGGTTGTACATAAAGTAAAACAGCCGCGTTAGCGCGCATAAATTGCATAAACGGCATGAATTGCATGAATTGCATAAATGGCATAAATTGCATAAATTTCATAAAACGCATTAATTACGTAAAACGCCTAGAAATAACGGCGAGCGCTAAGCGCGTAAGATCGGTGCCCTCGCCGAGTAAAAAGGGTCGCCGGGTCGCGACTCTTTTTACAGGGCTGAGTGGCAGGAGGGAGAACAACAAAAACCATGTGATACATACTCATACATATATATATATATATATATAAATATTATAAATATTAACATTTTTTATATCTGCTACTTTGCAATAAATGGACAATCGTCCCTGCGTGCGGGGACGTCGCGGCTCATCGTGCTTATCGTCTCGCATTTGTCGCGGCGCGTTCGCGGTCGCAGTTCAAAGTGTACTTAGGCTGGGAACCGTAGGTCTGTTCGTTTGCAAAATCGCGGTATCGTCGGTCCCCCGATTTGACCAACGTGCCAGAATTGTGAAATTTTGTTCACCGATATCTCCGCTCGGTACCCGGAATTTCGCTCCCTTTCGTTTGGAACGGTGCGTACACTTCCTCGCATTACCAGTCCAGCAGTTTGCGTAGAAGTCGGCAAAGATGAATAGATAACTAATTGAACGAACAGCCCCACGTGTCTCGGGATTTATTCTCCACTGTCCCGAATCGATAGGTCGCGACGCCGCTCGAATCGCTCGACGATCGACACGTCTTTAATTCAGAATCTGCTCCTTCGGGGTGCTCGACAGGAGACGCGCTGTTGTACAGGACTAGTTGTAAGAGTCTAAGGAGCAAACCCCGCAAGAGTTGCCGCTCGAGAATGGCTCGCTCTCTTTGCATTTAATTACCGATGTTAAGGGAACCTTAAGCCGACGAGGCCGAACCGCTGTAAATCTTGGAAAAAGCTCTCGTCGCACTTCGGCACGAGGGAGCCGCCGACTCGTCTCCGCGAATCCGTCTCTCGTCTTTTCTCCGATTATTTTCCCCTCCGCGATCTAATCGGGAAGGAGGCTCGATAAGCGCGATGCACGATAAGAGGAAGCAGACGATTAAACATTCGAAAGAGACGTTCTCGCAATTTTCCAGCCCTTATGTCGCTTCGAGAAATGTCGAGCGTGCATCTCTTTGCCGGATAAAAATCCTACCGCTAGCTTATCTAGACCTTATCATCGAATTTATTTCCGACTCGCCCGTAATTTATCTCCGGATAATTTCTCCACGTGGAAAGCTACGAGATGTGCCTGTAGTATTGACAAATGCATTGGAAAATCAATGGGGCTTTTCATTTCGGGGGATGGATTTTCGGAGATGGCGACGAGGCTAGACGAAGTATAAACTCTCGGCTTGCGAATCCAACCCTGATAACAAAGGATATCAATTGCACGTTGAATAATGTTTTTTTTTTCTTTTCCTTTTCCCTTCGCCGATTCTAAGATTCTCCGGGATGACGTCTTCTGTGCGAGCTACTTTTGTTATCAGCGGACAGGTAGAGCGAAAGTCTGGCGAGTGTAATATCGAGAGGAGGAGATATACATATGTGTACACATAAATTACTAGGAGGGGGGACATTTTTGCTATAACCGTAATACTTCGTCCATTTTTCTATATGGGCAGTCCGTTGCGCTATCAGCCCTCGATCTTGTAACCTCGCCCTCGTCATTTTCTACACCTCGATAAGGAGTGCCGAAACCGCGACTGCAAGCTGGAGGGAAAGACAACGAAACCGTCGAAGCCAACGAGAGCGACCCTCTTCGGCATCCGTTTCGCATCTTAAATAGCGCCGAAACTCACGAGAAATCTCTCCTCGCCATGGGGTCACCTGGCGAACGTTCATTTTCACGTTAAACGATCGTTGGCGGCAACCCCGGAGAGGGGAAATGAATTTTCCGAAGTCCCTCTCCGGAAAGAGGATCCTTTGACTCGCCTCTCGGAGGACACTTGAGTAAAGAGAAAATCCTCGTGCTCCCTTCGGAACCAGCAGGTTCCTCACGCTTTAACATTTTCACAAGAAGGAAGAGCCTCGAGACGATTCGTAACCCTCGATTAACGTTGATACGGGATGCCTGGAAGGTCGCTTATCATTTATAAACAATTTCTAATGGACCTTCGGGACGGCCGTTCCTTACAGAGCCTCGGTTAACTCCGGGGAATTAATTTTAATTTAACATATGGCTTGTTAATTTCATTTTACCGTAATCTTTACGAGATTCCGGCTTCCTGGGAATGCCTTGAACGTGGATTAGCGTAGAGAAAGAATAATCGACTCGTCGTGTAGAATGATCGAGGGTTAACGTCGTCGAGGAGGGATGCCACCCCGAGCAAAGATGTCGTTGTACATACATAGTGTGCCGCTAACGTTCGTTCGAGAAGCCCTCGAGAAATCAAATTGTAGCATCGAACGAAGCGCCTGGCTAGAATACTCAAAAGAGAGCTGCTTTCGAACTTCTAATAAAAACGTCTGAGACCAATCTCCTATCTTTGGCCCTCGACCGACGACCCTTATTAATAACCCATTTTTTGCTTCTTCGTGTATTATATTTTATGGCCAAAAACATCCTCGAAGTGTATACAATAACGTCAAGACGCGTTATCAAGGACAAAGGTCTTGCACTGATTTACCGCAAACCTACCCTATTATCGCGGCTGTATTTTCGTAACGTGAAGTCGAAATGCTTCGGTAATGAAGATAGGTACTAATCTCGCAAAAGGAATCCTGCCGAGCTCTTCGAGATCGTCTTCGGCAATGCACGCGCCTACTATAAAGAATATCTGGGCCCGATTGGCGAGTAAGAAATAAAAAGTGGATACGTAAAGTCAATAGATAATTCGTCAATCGGCATTGACAGTGATTCTTTTCCCGGGGAATGCATCCGTGCAGATGCTTCCTGGTTCTTCCTGTCCCTCCTCGGAGAACCCTCGCAGTGATGACTTCTTGCCCCGATGATTCAAGTTCCTTATCAAGGATAACGTATTTTTTGTTTACAGAGGAATCCACGCGGGGCCCTACATAGGCTTCTCTAACACGTGGATATAGAACCCGGGACTCTGGATCTCGTCGAGAGGTTTGAAATCTCCGTAGATGGTGTGTTTGGCTCGGAAATCGAAGGCTTGGGAGATCATATTGCGAAACACGTTCAGCCGGTGAGGGTAGTATGACAGACGGAATTCGCTGACATCCACGTTTCCCTGATTATCCAAGGATATCATGTAATCCAGGGTAACGATGGTGGGCTTGCCGCACACGTACAGGACGGAGGTTTTTATGTCGGTCATGTGCTTACTCTAAAAAGGCAAAGACATGTCAATATGGATACACGTAACGGCGTAAATTATACAAGACTTATGCTTAGTTAACACTGTACAAGCTACGTACATTGTAGTATATGCACTTTGACGGTGTATCTCCCGTGGAAATGATGTAATCGTAATTCCTATGATCTATCAGTAACAGGCCACCAGGCTTTACACAGCGCTCGAAATTCCGGAATGCTTGTCTGGAACGAGAGGAAAATTGTAAAATTATTGGGCATCTCCGGGAAGACTTAGACACGATAAGCATCCGAATTTGGCTACTCACTTCTGCTCCCTTTGGTCGCCGAAAGAATCGGGCATGTGAGCGAAGCTGTTACCCAGGCAAATGACAGCGTCGAAACCATCGCCTATGATGTCACTGATGTCATCTGCCAGTGTCAGCCAATTAGCCTCCTCGATTACTGCAAAAGTCGAAAATCAACGGAAGCGGTTACGCCTTGATTAACATTTTCGTATCACCTAACTTAGCCGATTGTTTATCAAATATTTCTCTTGATATTTATCCCCGTATTTCTATGCATGAGGGTAAAATCGCGCGCTGCCGTCGCCGATAAGCAATGATGTCGCTGGATAACACTTTGCACCATAAGCGGTGTCACAGGGATCATCAAGATTGACCTGCAGCGATAAAGACCCGACCCCTTTCCATTATAAAATTCCTGTTTTTTGTTTTTGTTTCCACTGGTAGATACCGAGGGTCCCGTCTGTCGGCACGTACAATTAGCTTAAATGATGAAATCCAGAAGACCTGGCGTAAGGAAGCAACGAGTATATTTTAATCGCTTGAAAATTCACCTTCCCAGGTCAGGTGAGGAAACTTACTCCAGTTATCGAAGGCGACTTCTTTCCGCCGTTCCCATCTGGACTTCAGGGCGTACTTCAGCATCTTATCGGACGCATCCACGCTGACGACCTCAAATCCTTCCTCGAGTAGCATGACGGAATCCACTCCCGTTCCGCAGGCCACGTCCAGGATTCGGCGGCATCCTTTTTCCCTCAGGAGACCCACCAAGAAGTCCCTGTAATTCTGCGTCCTCTCCTTCTTGTCGCCTATGAAGACTTCCCAGACTTTGGCGGCTTTGCCGTCAGCATATTGGTCTCTCAAACCTTCCGCTGCGGTTCCCAGAGAACGGGTGCGGAACACCGAGTCGGCCATGACTACTCCAAAATGGGATGCTACCGGGGACAGAGATATATTAGTAATCCTATAGACAATGCTCGAGAAAAATTAGACTTGCGATTACACCCAAAAATTGTACGGAAAAGGTATTATTTTTCAATTTTTTATTAAGTTTCACGAGCTAATTTCAAATCGTCGAAAACTGTTTAACCGTACCGTGAGTAAGCTTAATGCGAGACACGGCTCGCCGGGACAGTCATCGTGACGATTCGAAAAGTAATGCGAGAAATAGGAGATTAAATAATTACCCGGAATATTGAGCGATCCTCGGTCGTACTTACGTTTAAATTAATTTCAGACGAGGCTCCTAATCCAAAGCGACGGTTAAGTCGGACCGCGCGAGCGACTGAACTTGACTATACTTGAAAACTGACACGACACTTCCCTTTTATATACAGAGAGGAGGACTTGCATCATCCGTGTTGCTCGGCCAAGTTTTCGATACGTCATTATTCCCCTGACTGGACTTGCCACTGATGAAAGATCAGTTCCATCGGTGAAATCGTCGACCCGCTAGAACGGGAATATAAGCGACCCTCTAATTAGCGTCGCAAAATTAAGGGGGGAATTTAGTAAACCTAATTAAGATAAGCGGTTCCTCCCGAATCTCTGCACTATTTGCCGTCGAGGAACTTACGGATTGTCCGGGGCGATGATAAATTGGAGCACCTATTCCCGCTAAAGGAGTTTTAATTCGGAAGTAATTATAACGATTGCATCTCGCCTCGCGAGCAACCTCGGACGTTGATAATCAACTATCAGTAGCGGTCGATAATTCTATCGAACCCATTGTAGCCTTCGCCGCTGTTTGACGGGCGGGATCACTAAAAATAACAATCTGTTAGAGGAGGATAATATATCGGAGAAGTGAACAACAGCTCGGTTGTTTTAACTGACACGCTTCAACCGTTACGTTTCTACCTTTTATTCATTCTAGTAAATGTAGGAAATGATAACAGAACAGGTGGTACATGTGCTCCATGGTTTACCCCGAATTATCGTCTACGGTGACGTTGCAAAAAAAAAAAAAGAAGATATACCATTTGTCTCTCAGAAGTTCAGCCTTCAATGTTCATTATTACACATTTTTAATGCATAATGATCGTCCTTTCGACTTGATTTCGCAATTCAGGTTTCAAGATATTACAAATATATCATGTCACGGTCTAATCGCGTTACTCAATCATGGAACATGATTCCAGCGACACCTTAGAGAACGAACCGGAGGTTTATAGAAGATTCGCGGAAGATAATATTGGGAACTGTCTCCTTTTCCGCGCAGCGCGTTGATATCAAGGTTGCCACTTCCTCCGCTATATGGCGCCACCGTAGAAAGCCCGCGGCAGAGGAATCACCATCTGTGACAAGAGTGGCCAAGGCGTCGGCCAATCGGTGCCACGGTTGTATGGTGTCCGTAAGAAACGTTAAAAGCTGTCAAAAGCTTTTAGGTTAAGTCAAGATTTTTGTAATTGACTCTTCTATGATAAATATTAACGAACATACAAAATGCTACGATACGAAGGAATTAGATATGTTTCCGAGAAGCAGGTCGTCGTACTCGATATAGGCTGTGCATATACAAAGTACGAGTACATGGGGAACGTTACCATTTAGTTTGATTTCATTTTATTATCTCGTTTTTCTAGTGCTGTCTAATGTTTCATCGAAACGATTCATTTTATTTTATTATTACCTTTACATAGGTTTGGATATGCTGGAGAAGCGGCTCCTCGTGGTATTATAAGAACCGAAGTTAAATGCCCGGAAACTAAGGAGATCCGACAAATCTTTCATTACAAGGATACTCAGGATCTTTATCAGCTGCTAGTAGAATTTATTCATCAGTTATTTTTCAAGTAAACATCTATGATAACTGACGATGATTGAGGTACATTAACTGCTTATGATTAATAAGTCTCAATTCATTTACATTTTTTCTAGGCACGTTGTCATTACTCCTAAGGATATAAGAGTGGTTGTGATCGAGTCACTACTCAGTCCTACACAATTCAGAGATACACTGGCAAAAGTAATGTTTCGTCATTTCGAGATTGGATCTTTAATGATCTTACCGTCTCATCTGATGGCTACTAGTTCTCTTGGAACTGATACCGCCCTTGTATTGGATGTTGGGTACCAAGAAGCAACGCTGATTCCTATTTATAAAGGTGTTCCAGTCCTAAAAGCATGGCAAGCCCTGCCCCTTGCTGCTCAGGCAGTACATCAGTTAGTGAAAATATTAAATTAGTTTTGTACTTATTGTTTTGAAGATTGCTTTCTACAATGTTGCTCAAAGTTTTAATAATAGTATATTCAGAATTATTTTATACCATGTTTTATTTTTAACAGGTATATTAATCAGGAATTAAAAACAAAAGTACCGGATGTGGACATAACGGAAAAATTGATTGAAGATATAAAAGTTCGAACGTGTTTTGTGACCACTTTGGAAAGGTCGAACAAATTGGAGACTGATGATTTTCCCGCACCTCCACCTTCGGTAAAATACCCTGGACGAAAAAGTTTTGAAATTCCAGGGTACATAAGGGAGAAGTCATTTGAAGTGTTATGGGAGCGAGATAATGACAATCTCAGTATACCGACAATGATACTTGATGCTATCGTTAAGGTAATACATGCATTTTGTATTTCTTAAATTCTACTTAAAAAAAAAAACGGCATTATATAACAACCTTTTATATTTGTAATTTATTTTAGTGCTCCATCGATAGCAGAAGGGAATTAGCAGAAAATATTCTTCTAATTGGTGGAACAACAATGGCTAAAGGTTTTGTCAGTCGGCTTAAGACTGAATTGTTGACTTTGCTGCGCAGCAATTTATATTCTGAAAAATTGAAACTGACAACATTTAAATTTCACACCGCACCAAGTAAACCCAATTATACTGCTTGGCTTGGTGGTGCGATTTTCGGCACAGCTGATTTACCATCCAGATATATTACAAAGGAAAATTATTTACAATTAAATCGAGTACCTGACTGGGTCTGTCTTGTAGACAACCAGAAAGAAACCTTTAGCTACAACATGTAATGATCATTCACTCAATTTCTATTTCAGAGTCTCATAAAATCGTAACTTAATGATCAATTTATATGAATCGTCACCACTTTGCTATTGTAAGAAGCAGCTTGAAGTAACTACCGAGATTTATATCGAGTTGTACTTTAAGCATGTTTTAAGTATTTACACAATGAACACATAATTGTATATAAATAAATTAACACAGTTGGACAGAACTGATAGAGTTACCCGTAATTGTAAGTAGCATCCATAACTGTACGCTTAGTAGGTCAATTAAGCACTGACGGGAGTGGCAATTGGAGCAAATGAAGAGTCAATCTTGGAAGATCAATATCCGCATCCACGTTTATTGTACGAGCGCGCTTCGAGTAGCGGTCCTTGTTCAACAATTTCATGAATAGCCTCGTCGAGGGAACGTCCATTGCTCGACCTACGCCATCTCCGAGCATCGGTAAGTAAATCATAATAATTAAGCAATAATGCTGGAACATCACCATCCGTAACTACATTAACGCTTTCAGGGTGTCCATCGGTAACTCATGCCTGCAGATCCGGTAGCGCAAAGGCGCTCCATCAGTCAAGGGAGAGGTTCGACTCCTGGGAAGACGCGCATCTGTTCATGTACAGCCTCCGACACCCAAGACAGGTCACGGGATCACCAAAGGGTCGTCGACGGCCAGGAAAAAAGAAGATCGACGTCGCGATGCCTGGACAATTAAAGATATCAACATGAGTGCACTTCGACGAGCGATCTCGCCCTACGAGTATTTTGTACTGACCTACCGGGTTCTCCAGTAGCTCCGGGCACAGTCTCTGTCCGGCCATCTCGCCTCTGTCCACCTGCGCACCAAAGCATTGGGATGAGTTCAACGAGTTCAACCCAGCATCTAAAACCGCTAATTCTTGCACAAGAGGAGCTACGTCCTAGAGGGAACGAGTTGGCTTCGGCAGCTACGGAGGCGTCTGCGGCTGCGGCGGCGGAAGCAACGGCAGCGAAAAGCGGCACAAATTCGCCCGCTTCCCGACAACTTTTAACTGCGATTTTTTTTTTTAATTACACATGTCTACTCACTAGATTAGTGCTACTTATCTCTTTGTACGTCGTTGGGCCTCGAGGTACGGCCCTTTACCTTTCGACCGTGAAGCGATTCGACGTCTGTCATGGGGAACGCGGTTTTCGGATTTAGATCAGCGTTCCCGGTTAAGGTCTTTCGAGGCATGTTAAAACGAACCTCTAAGAATTAGGGCCGGGCCTCGGAGGTCAAAGGAGCTTCGGGTTTGGCGTCGACGTCGGAAGACGAGGCGTCGTCCCTGGCGGCGTCGAGGGCGTCGAGGGCGGTGATGGCGGGATCCGTCCAGTCTTTGGACTGGCTCACCTGTGAATCAAACTCTCCTTAAGACGTACTTTCCCCCGTCAGCTCTTTTCACCTTTGTCCACGAAGGGACTCTTCAACGTCGCGTACCCCGCCATCGCAAATTGCAGCGACTCGATCGCGAGTTTTCTCTACCTTTCTCTTACCCTCCTTGGCTCTGCGAGGACGCAGGAGCTACCGATAAATCTAGTTTCCTCTTCTTCTTCGTCCTCTTCATCGTCCGCTTCGTCTTCATCGACCTCTTCCTCCTCCTCTTCCTCTTCCTCGTCTTCTTCTTCCTCCTCAAACTTCTCCAGTTCGGGCTCTTCTCTTAGGTCCTCCATGGGCTGAAAAGCGACGAAGGAACGGAACGAGAAGAAAAGACAAGAAATTGGGTGGGAATGGCAGAAGAGAAGTGAGATAGCTAGGGAAAGTAGAAATTAATTCGTTCTCTCTTTTGCAGTGAATGTTTAGATGCAGGTGTCCGTCTTGCGAGGAAAGAGCAAGACGGTTCTCTTCATGTATCTTGTTTCACTGGCGGTCATGCACGAAGAAGCAATAAAAGAAAATAGAAAGCATATCCTTAGGGGCGATGCTTAGCCTTTGACACGACTATGGACTAAATTCTGCAAGCTCCGCAAACACAGGCGACAAGCAGTTTCAGCACGCCGAGAGAGAAGACCAGGTAAATCTTTACAAATGGACTCGTCTTCGGGATCTTGGGAATGAGGCCAGTGTCCATCCCGAGGAGCTCCTCCTTCTCCGACTCGTCATCAGCTGCTGAGTCAAACGGCGAGAAACGAGTTACAAGGTAATTACAGGTAAAATGTCTAACGAATGAATGTAATTAATAAATCTAACGAAACCATACATTTCAGGTGCACTCTCTTCTCGAGCGGTAGTTCCGAGGATTTGCCGAGCTCCACGCCGGACTTGTAGTCCTTGCCAGGGATCTTCAAAGGTTGCGGCAGGGCAGTACCATTAGGCCTCTTGTCCTCTTCCAAGGTTGCGGAGGTCGGAGAGGTCGGCGACGCCGGGGCGACCGCGACGACGCCTTTGAAGGCCACGCTCTTCAGGGGCGTCTGCCCCGTCGGCGGAGGGGCCTCTTCGAAGCCCCCGGTCGATTGCCACCTCTGGGAGGACGAACTGCTGGTTTCCTTCCTCGAGCTGCGCCAAACCTCGTAGACGCAGCCCAGGATCGCCCCCACGAAGACGCAGCAGAGCCCCACGAAGATGTACGTGCCTGCACCTTGCTCTTCTTCGGTTGCGTCCGAGTACCTCGAGGTGTAGGCTATCCTCTCGGGAGGGTCCTCCACCCAAGCTCGATCACGACCCTAGGACGAGGTAGATGAAAGTAAACGAACAGAACCTTTGGAACATCACTTTCTTCGGCAACTATTCTCTTCTCTTCTGGTTCCAAGCTGGACCCTGATGGAGGTATTCGTAAGGTGTACTTACCACGCTATCGTTTCTAGGAGGGTCCAAGCCCCGAGGCTGGGCGTGAAAGACGGCACACTGGGCACTCCGCACCCCTGCCGGGGTGGTCACTCTGACCGTCTCGCTACCCTTCTTGGTGAAGAGCATGTACTCCTCCAGAGGTTTCATCCCAGCGCCTCCGTTTATGGACACCACCACGTCTGATGGGAATAAAAAGAAGCTGAAGGAATTCCGTACCCTGGGTAGGTTACCTTGGATGTCATTTTTTAAGAGGGTGGTAGAGAATGGCCCTCACTGCTCAAGCACCCGGTGTACCCCTTGTAGGCCGCAAATCTGGGGTCGGTGGTGTTCAGTCCTCCCAGCTGGATCTCCGTCGAGCTTGGTGCCTCGTCGGTCTCGACGTCGTCCTTTTCGTCCTCTTCTTCGTCAACGTCGTCGACCAGGCTCAACATAGGGATAGGTAGCAGCTGCACCGGTTCTCTGTCGATCTGGAAGTAATTGGATTCGATGAGGAGGTAAGAGACAAGGAGAGCCATAAAAAAGGTACCCTTTACCTACCAGCAAAGTGGCGGTGCTATTCTCGCGGACGTAATACACGCTGTGTCTGGCTCCGTTCGAGAAGTTCCTGTCGTTCAGCCGAACGCCGTATGACGAGCCCTCTCTGTCCTCCTCGAAGATCAACTGGCCCTCCGACGTGAGCGCCACCAGGAGGTAGTAGCTCCTCCTAAAAGGGTAAGGACCCCTGTCTAATTTTTTAGCGAATGCCCATCTTTAGGTCCAGCTTACCTGGCCTCGGTGCGCAGAAGAAGCAGCGCAGCAGTCCTCTGTCGCAGGTCGTTGGTCGAGAAAGCCAGCTGAACCTTGACCTGGGTCACCTCCCCGTCGAGCTGGAACTCCCTTTGGAGCACGCTCTCTCCGCTGAAGTCTGCTCCCTTTTCTGAAGAGACGAATCGAGAACCGAGTACATATGCGATTTCCTGGCTCAATATTCAAGGACCCAGGGGAATCCGAGGAGAAGACATAAGGAAGGAGTTACCATCGGCGCAGTGGTCTCCGAAGTAGGAAGTCAGCTCGCAGTTGCAGGAGGATTCCTGCCTGCCGAAGTCCTCGGTGCAGACGCCGAGGTTCTTGCAGGGCACTGCGTCGCACTTCATCTGGCAATTCGGCAAGACTCCTTTGTTGCCCTCGTTGGAAGCCTCGTTGGCCAAGCCTGCCAGGTCGACGAGGTAGCCCCCGATCATGAGACCCCTCAGACACCCGACGTACCCTCGCGTGGACTGACCTTCGACACCCACCCGGAGCAGGTTGGCAGGGTCGAAACCTCCCAAGTTCACCTGCAAGATGGGTAGTCACGGTATTCGCGTCGATCTTGACCTCACTTAATAAGGATCCACTCAAATCCTTGCCTGGAAGTACTCGGTAGGCGGGGCAGGAGGTCTCTGGGGTGCCAGGACCTCTTTCTCAGGATTGACCCACGGCTTGTTTGAATATGTATCCAAAGGCACCGGCTTGGCGTTCAACGTGACGTTGTGCTCGTTCACGTGCAACGTCGTCGAATTGTCACCTCGAGTGATCGCAATCTGCACCGAGATGCCGGTGTTCGCACCTGTCGAGCAGATCGGTCACGAGGGGTTCAAGGATGTGCCATTCTTGCTTCGAAAAAGGACGAATGCCCTCACCGGGGTATTTCACCGTGATGTTGCGGATCTCGTTCCCAGCGTTGAAGAGGTACACGATGTTGGTCCCATTGGAGATGTAGAGGTGGGCGAAGTTGTTCAAGTGGTCGTTGGCGTAGAGGATGAGCGACTGCGTGTCGTAGGTTCTCAAGTTGATCAGGATGTTCTCCACGAGCACGCTTTTGAGGAGCAGCATCTCCTCGTCCTGCCGGTTCCCGAAGTAGTTCTTCTTCAGGAAGGCTTCCGGGGTCGTGAAGGTGAGGGCCTTGTCGTTGATGTCTGGGGATAATGGGTAGATAAGAGGAATGATATCTGTTAGGGAATACTTCGGTCCTTTAAAAAACGGTATTTTACTGTTCTCGCAGAAGGTGCCCACGTGGGCCCACTCGTTTTCGCAGACGCATTCGAAGTTGCTCCAGAGCTCGACGCATCTGGCTCCATTTTGACACTTGTTCGGCTGGCAGGAAGGTTTGCAGTCCTTAATTATCTCCGAGAGATGAACGGACATGTAGCTATGGATATCCAGGATCTCGCCGTTCACCACTAGTCCTCGGAAGCATCCGATAAGACCTTGCCGAACCGAGGAGGTCTTTAGGTGTTCCCTGCAAGGTAAAACAGTTTCAGCGTTTTCAACAATATGATTCATCGAGATATTAATAATGAATAATTGTTTAGCTCACGCCGTCGCTCCTCCGATGAACATGGACCCTTCGAACGGTCCGAACTCCTCTTCAGGCAGCAAGTCGACCATCTGGAAGTCGGTGTTGATCATGAAGCGGACGTGGTAATCGTTGTAGTCTATCCAGATCTTCTGCCACTCGCCGTTATTGAGTTTCCTCCGACTTTTGACCTCGAGCTCGCGAACAGTTCCTGTATTGAGAGTGAAGTTGAAGGTCAGTCGATAATCGGACGTAAGGGCGACCATGAAGGAAGGGTAGTTGCTTCTGATGGGCGGCTGGTACAGCAGGATCGCCTTTTCTCCGGTGGTTCGGAAGCTGAAGGCTATGTCGCCTTTACGCCATCCTGGGACCTCGATGTAGGACTGCGAGGTCGTGAAGGTGACCACGTACTTCTGCGTGTCTGGGGAAAATCCAGAGAGTCACTCAGGAACGACCAACAACGAGGTCTTGAAGAAGCTTACTTACTGGTTTCGACACACTCCAGGGGCCCTAGGGTCACTCTACCCTGAGCGTCCTCCTCCAGGTCCCTCTGTTGCAGAAACACCATCCCCGTGATACCTAGAGAGTCGGGACTCTCGTAGAAGCCCTCGTCGGAGAGCCATTTCCCGGCAGAGACGTCGCAGTTGCAGCTGAGATTAGGGTTCACGCAGGTGCGGTTCACTGGAGGACAAGGACAATTAAACAATTCCCTAACTTAAAATTGAAATATATGAAGCTAAGCTTACTTCCGCATGGACAGGATCCTCGGTTCACGTTCCCGATGTAGTCCACGGTGGATCCCTTGGACCCGACGAACCAGGTCGCGCTGTGCAGCTCCAGGGGAGCCTTGTAGCAGTCGTACTTGACGTACTGGCTGCAGTACAGCGAGTGAGATATCAGCTCCTGGAGCATCTCTGCAGTGAACTGTCGGTAGGTGATGCTGAACGAGAAGTCCGACTCGGCGATGGACCTGACATCCACCTGGGAGGGCAGATTATGCTCCACGATGGTCTTGGTCGAGTCTTCGATGGACTCGAATTCACACTTTACCAGGGCCGGAGGGAACCTGCCGTTCCCATCTATATCTATCCTGTAGACGTCGTCCTGGGTGTATCCCAGGAGGGCGAGCTCCTCGCAGGTCTTCCGGTACCTAGCTGCAGGATCCAAAACTTCTTTAAATGGGTCCGACAGAAATGGAGATCCGGCGCCAAGGACGACGAATCCTCACCGAAATGGCAGTTCTTCCCGATGTAGCCGGTGTCGGTACAGTCGCAGGTGATGCGGTCCTCCTTGACCGAACATTTGCCTCCGTGTTCACAGGTGTTCGGCCTTTTGCAGGGATCGACGAACTGGCAGTTGTCAAGGGCCACCTCGCCCACCACCCTCTCCGTGTTCACGACGTACCTAGGCTCGACTCTTTCCTCGTTGACCCGAATGTCCCTCATGCAGCCCACCAGTCCTGTTAGGAGTGGACCAAGGATTGCAGCATCTTGCTGGTAACTAGGATTTTACTGTATAGAAGTTCACATTGATTAGAATCGCAGGGCTCACCAGCGTTCCCATTCCCACTGCCAATGATGACCCTGTCGCCCAGTTCGAAGGACATGGCGAAGAACTTGCTCTGCTTGTTCCTGTAGTCCACGAGGATGCTGAGCTCGTCCCTCGTGTAGTTGAGCTCGACAGCATGCCAGGAGGTGTTGTACGGCGGGAATTTGACGGCTGCTGAGACGGTGACGTTCTCCGTCAGAAGGGGGATGAGCTGGAACCGGATCTCGTCGTTGACCAGCCGCAACTGAAGAGAAAAGAACAAGAAGACCGTGTCCTTGGCCAGGGTGGAGGAAGACGAAGAGTACCTCCCAGTATCCCAAGCCTCGTTCTCCGACGATGTCTCCAGAGGCGATCACGGCCACCGGTTTGGAACTCTTGAAGTCGAAGTTGAGCTTCAGCTCGTCGCTCCTCTTGATGGGCCACCAAATGTGGCTCCCAGCAAAGGGGTAGGTGATGGGGATGACCTCGACGTCGGCCTCGTAGTACTCCGGCTCCAGGACTCCGATGTAATGGACCATTGGATTCGATCGCTTCAGCTCGTAGATGATGGACTTGTCGTTGAAGAAGACGTACTTCAGGGAGCCTGAGGGAGGAACCGTGGATGACTCGAGCCTCTTCTATTCTTTCCAAGGGCACTAATTATTTTCTCCGTCACTTAGTTCACGGTCACCTGCGAAGTTGTTGTGCGAGCGAAGACCCTCCCGCTTGTGGAGCTCGGGCCCGCCGCCGATGTAGATCTCCGGGTCGATGATCATGTAGTCGTTCTCTCCGGGTACCTCGAGGACCTTGACCTCGTCGTTCAGACTGACGAAGACCAGCGACCCGTTGTGGAAGATCGTCAGGTTGTTCCAATAATTCGAGGTAACGTGGTCGCCCAGTACCGCGCCGACCTTCGACTCGTGCCCGAAGTCGAGCTCCACGTGCACCGAGCCATTCAGGATGTAAGCGGCCACGTAGTGCGCGGTACCGTCGATCTCTCCGGACGCGTAGAAGAGCACCGAGTCGTCCCACCTTGTCTGAGGACGTCAACAGTGGTTACTCATGATCGACGTATGATCGACTCGCGTACCTTGAAGGCCAGGCTGATCCTGTTAACCGAAGAGTGGACCCGGTCCTTCCAGTCGTAGACCCGGAACGAGACGTACGAAGATCCCCTCAGGGTGAGGATGGTGGCAGCTAGAAGAGACACCATTGCTCAGCGACCCTTGAATCCAGGTCCTTTATCCACGATTTCCAGTACTCACTGTAAACGTCGCACCTCTCGCCTTCGTACTTGGTCCCGAAGCAGTCACAGGTCAAGCTGTTGTAATGGTTGACGCACTGGCTCCCGACGAAGCAGAGGTTCTCCCGGGTCTTGCACCTGTAAGAGGAAAGAGATACAAAAATACAGCGAAGGATTTCCGACCAGGTCGATTCCCCGAAAGGAGCGACCTACTTGTCGATGCACCCTTCCTTGACGTTCTCGTGCTTGGTCGCGATCAGGGGGCGAATCGGCAGAAGGTCGCTGGCGGATTTGCCGGAGCTCAGGACCATGTCCCTGATGCAGCCCACGAAGGACTCGATGATGTACTTGACGCCGTGCAGCCGCTCCTCGGAGCTGAGACCTTGAAGAAGACCAGGGATAACGCGCCGTTTAAGTCCTTTGATCTCCTCTTTTCGGCGTTCTCCACCGCCAGGAATCCTCTCACCTCCGATGAGGACTACCGAGGCCAGCTCTTCGGAGACCCCATAATTGGTGGTGCGTTCCAGGACCTCCAGGGTGGTCTCTTCCTGCTTGCCGTCCACCCTGGCGATCAGTCTGGCCCCGTGCACGTCGATCCTGACGAGCACCCCGTGCCACTCGTCCCTGTTGAGGCCCTCCCCGACCGTCAAGCTGGTGGACCGCTTGCCGAAGACGTGGACCACCTTCAGCTGGCCCTTCTCCACGATGACGTACAGGGCGTAGGGCTCCAGGCCCTCCGGTCTGTCCTTCACGCTGTGGTAGACCAGCAGCCCGTGGGGCAGCTTCGTGCGGAACTTGAAGGATATCTCCCGGCACAGTCTGACCGGGAACCGGGGGAGATCGTCGGGACGTTGTCGGGACATCGAGTCATCGCTCGCCGCGACTTACCTCAGCTGGAAGGTCTTGATCACGCTTCCGTCGAGCTGGATGAAGGTGTTGCTCTGGGCGAACATGAAGGTCTTCTCGTGGCCCGACTCCATGAAGGTCAGCTCCTGGAATCGGAGGTCCACCGTTTAAACCACATTAATTATCGTTACTCCATCGCTCTCTGGGAACGATAACGCGGTTATTTATATCTCGTTAACACGCTGGCCCTCGTGGTCTGTGGCAACCAAGCGCACACCGTAACCGCGTCGGACACGAGGAGTATCCTTTTCAGCGCGTTACGCGGTGTTGGATTTCAGGTGTTCCGTCGATTCGCTGGAATAAGATCTTCGAGTACTTCGCACTCGCCGGGTTATCAGGGTGAGCCGATGATTTTTTTAGTATTAAAAAAAAAAATTGTCAGGTCGTACCTTGCCTCTTTGGTGTCTGGGGACCGGAGCCCTCGTGGGCTCGGGCGGCACGAAGGTGGGCACCGTCGCGGCGACGCTGGTCGTCGGGACGCCGGTTGTCGTACTGGGACTCGTCGCGACGAAAACATTCCCCTTTGTGATCAAGTAGGTAGGTAGGGTGTCTGCGAAAGGAAGACCCAGTGAGCCGAAAAAAAACAAGTCCAGGATCTCTCCAGGACATTCTAACAGACCGCACACCAAAGACGCGTACGGTAAACATGTCGTTTCACCATTAAAGCACTCGACGCAATCACGTGCCCCTCGCGTCGCGTTCTAGATGTCTCCCGACTATAATAAATATGAAAGAGGACTAAAAAAATCCAACGAACCCATCCTTATAATCTCGGCTAGTCTTAGGAACTAATAAACAAAGAAAAGCTTTAATTCTTACAAGGTGTCTCAAGCTACTTCCGAATCGCCCTTAACCCTTTGATTACACAACGCCAATATAGTGGCTCCGTACATTCCCACGTATTCAAAGCGACAAATTAATATCGTATTCATATAAAATATTACCACTCCGCGACCGAGCTATCCGTACAGGATCATCTCCCCGTCCGACTCTACCGGAGGTAAAGGGTTAAATTCCGTCGAACCGAGTATAAATGAAAACGGAACACACGGGGAATAATTGTTGAAACTCGAAATCGCCTTTCATAGTTATCAACGTCGTTTGGAATTGTTCACCCTAGGAAAATAACGTCCACCCTGGGTGCGTAGAGGTGCACGAGTACGCGCTGAGGAGAGGTCCTGGAGGCCCTTGCGCCGTGCACCCTGACTTACGATCGGGCCCACCGACGCAGCGGTGCATGCACTCGATCTCCGAGTCGAATCGGTTGTCGTTGCCGGCGCAGCCGCCGTAGACGAAGGTGCGGCATCGGCCCTGGGTCCTGTCGAAGGTCCACTTGTGCACGTAGTGCCGGCAGGGCCCGGGCTCGGTGTCGAGGAGGCAGCGGTCGGCGCGCTCGGGGCCCGCCGGTGGGGCGTCGGAGGCGGCCGAGGCGAGCGCGGGCCCCAGGACGAGCAGGGCCAGGGCGAGGCCCGGCGCGAGGGCCCTCATCGGTCTTCCTGACGGGGACGCGCGGAGTCTCGGTCTCCCGATCGGCCGGCGAGGTGATGGCGGGCCGGACGTGACGCGGCCTCCACGGCGACGCGACGACGAGTCAATTGTCTTCGCCCACGCCGGGCCGCGCCGCGGCTGCCCCACCGACGGCCCCGGCGAGTTAACGCCGAGCGAGAGCGCTCCCTAACCGAGGCGCGCGTCTCTCCTTCCTGCTCTCTTGTTTACTCCTCGTATGCGTTACGCAACTCGCGCGACCCGACCCGCGACGCAGGAGACGCGTCCTGTCGGCCCAGGACCCGCGGATCCCCGAAGTGGCGACGACCGGACGGCGCTCGCTGCCGAGGCGACCCGGCTAATTCGGACGTCCGGTAATCTTAGCTGGGAGCTAATGGCCCGGCTCTCTCGCGTTCCTCGGGATCACTTTTCCGCGCCGCTAGGTTTCGCGCCGGCGGAAGAGCCGGCCTCGGTGGAGGGCCGGCTCGGCGGGGGCGGCAGAGAGAGAGACACCGAGAGAGGCGAGCCCTAGGTCGCCGCAGCGCGTTGATACGTCGCGACGAGGCTCCTCGATTAGGCCAATTGACGACTTATATCCCTGCTCGCGAACCCGGCGTACGTGGCGTGCAAGGACGCGACGCCGAAGGGGACCGGCTTGTACTTACGTCCCCGTTGACGCGCCTCCACTTCGCGCGTGAACCTCCATCTCGCTCATGTGAGGCGTAGATGGGCTTGCCATGGAGGATTAACCCGCGAATTACGCAAGATTAGGGACTTACGAATCGCCTTCCGGTTTCAGGTGTCCAGGGATCGACGCGGGTAATGGAGGTCCTTGGGGGGAAGAGGATGAAAGCTTCCGGAAGTCGGGGAAGAACGGGGGGACGGGGCCGAGTCGAGTTTTCCGAACGGAGGCGCAGGGCAATCCGGAGAGCTCGAGATAGAGAAAGAGTCTCGCCTTCTTCTCCCTCGGTGGGAACGACGGCCCCCTCCAGGAACCGCTTCTCGGACCTACCGGAAGCTACTTGTTTAAAATCTCGAGAAATGCCAGCAACGATTGCCGGACGTCTTAACCTCGCGCTTCCCTCCTCGCGGCCTCATCCGGGCGCGTGACTTCGGCCTTGGCTGCAGCCTCCTAATTGACAGATTATAACGATCGAGATAATTGGGATTTCGTGATACGGAGTTACGAAGCCGAAGGGGTTGGGCTTGGCGATCTAGAGACCGAGAAGATCCTTAACTCGACGAATACCCACAATTACTAGTAGATATCTTAACCTCGCGCTTCCTTCCTCGCGAGCCTCTTCGAGGCGCCGAAGACCTTACCTGGAACATTTAAATTTATTACAACAATTAATGAAAATGAGGAACAGCGGTCGCCACGATAGGGATAATCCAGATTTCGGGTCATGTCGAATTTTTAATGCGATCAGCCTTGACGATTGAAAAATGCCGAAAAGTGACAACTCGACGGGGTGCGTTTTTCCTCCGGATGTGTCCACCGGGACGTCTCGGGCAACCGAGAGAAATGTCCGGTAAGGTCGCGGAAATCTCGTCTGGTTTAAGGAGGGCAACATTTACCGGCGCGGGAATCGAGCGGAACGCGTAACTGTCGGTAACGATCGCTAATCGAGGCGCGCTCGTTTCGTTTCGTTTCAGGCACGACTGGGATATCGTTCTGTGCATACGATGCGAACGATAGTACACCGGCTGCCATCTCTTGTCACTTTCCGAGTGCCCGTGATTACAGCCACCGATATTACCGATATCACGACGTACGTCGCGAATCTTGCGAGGGACGTAAAAAATCGGCCCTCCGCGTTCCTATCCACCCCGCGTGCGTGGGCTCCCCCGTTTTTCTAATTTTATCAAGTTAATCGCGAGTGACTAGCAATTAACTTGCAATTGCCGGGTACGCAGCCGCTAAGGTGCATTGCGTTACACGCATCTTAAAAAGGGGTCGCGTTAGCGGGCCGAAAGTGTTACGGCTGCGGTACGCTTTCGGCTGTGGTATCGGTTAACTGCTTGCTTTCGATTAGCATGCATTAAGGCCGATTAACATCGATTAACTGTGGTTAGCGGCCGTCTCTCGAAAGGCAGATAGGACACGCAAGTTCTTCCGAGAAGCTCGAAGGGAGGAGGCCGATTTCTAGGTACATCGGGCTCCACCTTTGTGCCGACAATTGCGGGAACACGTACGCACGTTTGCGATTTCCCTTCTCGAGAAGAAGGCCTAGGGACATCGAGGGTACTCAGGAGATCGTGGATGTTAACATATTATTATATTATAATATATTATATTATTATTTTATATATAATAATTTTAGGAGGATGAATCGAATCCCAGCGGTTGGCTCTAGACAAGGTGTACTTTCCACAGATTTTTATTTGACACAGTATTAAGGTTTTACACGAATTTCCACACATCTTGCCCCTGTCGGAAATGAGAGTTTGTACGGTAGGTAGGCCGATGGGCGGACGGCTAGGTAGACGATCGATCGATCGGTTTGCGGAGAAGGTAGGAATGCCGTTCGGTGAAGTCATACGCGAGCGATGGGGGGAAAGTGGGTGGGCCTTCTTTCTAGATTCAGCTTTCTTTGCCAGATATTTCGCGGTTACTTCGTACTCCAGCTTTACCCAAAATGAAGAGCTCCAGTGGTCTCGCGTTTCTCGCTGGGCGAGAGTCGAGTGGAGGGCTCACCAAACTGCAAAAAATGTCCCCGAGTTCCGAGTTCACGGTTCCACGTCGCGTAGAACTCCCTTACGCGACACTAATCACTACGAAATAAGCACCGAAAGTATCGCAGGCCATACATTACGCGGTTACTCGTTGCTATATAGGTACCGAAATTGACAGAGCTCAGAGTCGGCAAAGTGGAACTCTGCGAAACAGTGCACCCCCCCGGCAGCAATTCCATTAGCTTAGGCGAGCCCTTTTCGTTCATATGTGCCCGCTTATTAAAGTTATCATTTTTTTTTTTTTTAGGTGGACGAGATCGTGTGAATCAAGCTTTGATTTTCCGGGACCTCGACCTCGACCTCTGCGAGAAAAGGGACCTAGGGCTGGTCGCGTCACTTTTAGGCTCGGATATCATTATAAGACGGATTGAAATGAATGTCGCGAGTCGAGGAACATGTGACAGGAGATACTTAGGCCAGGGCCAGTCTATAGGCATCGCGGAACGTCATCGTATAGAAAATAGTCGGCGCGTATAGAAAAAACGGGACGTCGAGGGTTCGACTTTCGACGAGAGGTATCTGAGCGCGAATCGGCACCGACTAATTGTGGAGTAAGACCTCGGAGCATATTAGAATGATTTTTTTTCTCTTCCCACAAGCCACAAGGATGCTCCCCAGAATGACTGCTCAATGATCAGCCAGTGATCGGTACCCGTGGTCAGGGGTTTCAGTGAGAACGAACGACGTCACGTTCTATATACTTTTATAATATACATTTTCACAGATACCGGCTTATATAATTTCTCCACTTCCAGGGTCGTGCTAAAAGTGCCCTCGAAAGTACCAACCACTTTGCCTCTTACTCCACGGGGGCAAAATCACCCTCGCGCCCAATCGCCAGGTTCGACTCTCTCGTCGAAATGGCCAGATTCGATAATTACGAATAAACGATTGTCGGTAGAGCGAGAACCTCGCCCGATCGCTCGATAGCCTCTGAATATTAAAAAAAAAAAAAAATTCCAGGGACAGCAAACTAATTTCCGATTTTTAATCCGTGCAGTTAAATCGAGTGCTTCTATATCGTCCACGCGTCAGTTAAATCTGCACAGATCGGTGCGCCCAGATTAATCGGAAGAATTTATCATTACGTGTGAATCCTCTTTTAGGCCGATCTATGTGTCGGAGATTCGACTTTTTTACCAGAAAGTCGAGTATCGGGCAAGGTTCGCATCGCGCGAGCGGAGATCGACGATCGCCTCACGCGGGGAACGATACATACGTTTAGAGTACGCTAGGGTCGACTAAGGGCGCGGCCACGAGGAGGGCTCGACTTTATTTCTTCCCAAAGAGGCCCTCGAATGCACCTTCAACTGCCGAGGTGTAAAAGGCGCCACTCCCACGGTTGATTATCAATAAACCGAGTCCGATTACCGGGCAATCATCTTGTAACTGCACCGGGGCTGCGAACTGCATTGCACCGGGTCGCGTACATATCCGTGCCCCAGGTGGTGGGTTGTCGGAACCCTTCGGTCCGCAGCCCCGGGAATTTCCTGTCCCACTTTCTACCTTTCCTCCAACTTCCCCGTCGATTATCCTGGGGGAGGTATGCGAGCTCGCTTTTCATGCAAATCTCAAAAATTCCCGAGAATCCCGACTTCGCCGAGGGATGGCCGCGCCCTCAGGGTGGCTGGACCTCCGCCATTTCAGGACCTCCCTTCGGGATCCCTTGTGCAGATTGCATCTCTCGAGAGTAATATATGTCATCGAGGGTCCGGCTACCCTCGCTTAAATTCCTACACGCGGTGGTAACTACGAGTTGTTCTCGTTAGGCCCGGGACGAGGGGCCTCTTCGAGGTCTCGATGAGTCCTCTCTCGAGGTCTTGATGAGGTCCCTTCGAGTTCTCGATGGATCCTTTCGGGGACCTTAAAACGTGGCCCCTCGTCAGCCCCGCCACTCCCATGGCTAAGGAGCAGCGTGGACTGCCTTGACCTACCTCACGGCGTAAGATTAGACCACGTGTCACCGCGCACCTTATACGACTCATACTTTCCCACATCCTCGCCATCTATCTAGCTATAGTCGGTAGATTTAGCCTCACCTCGCCGGAAAAGGGACCGACGAGCTCGGCCAGCATGTCCGAGTCTCCTCGACGTCATGGCGACCGCGCATGTCGCGCAGAGACGCGACTCGTTGTACAGGACAAGTTCCGAAGCTGCGTAGAGAATAGCCTTGAGAGGAAAAGGGCCCGATAGAGGGGCCCGAGAAAAATAGATGCCGCCGAGCGATGAACCGTTCCTCACACCCCGGCCCAATCAGTCCAAAATGCCGCCGGAGGGTGACTCCAAAAAACCTCCCCCATATCAAAGAACCCCCTCAAGAGCCATTTCGCACCGACTGGGGCTGCTGCGGATTTTATCAGTGTACGCATTTGCTTTTAGGGGGCCGCGATTGCGTAAACTCTGCCAACCCTCCCCCATTCACCCCTGAACATAAAAATCGTTTCTCCATGCTCGATCCCCGAGTCGGTTCAAGGTGCACCCTTGAAATTGATAATTCTTAATATCACCCCGTGGCGTCCGTTCCAGAATAATTCAGGGTCGATCTGTGACGGTCGACAGAGCTCGCGCACGCGCCGTACTTCAATCGTCGCGGTCGCGGCTTAGCGACTCGCTTTTTAGGCCAATTTTCAAGAGCACTTCTTATCTAGCTTTAATCGCCGCTCGCTTGAGGCGACGACTAGTCGTCAGCGCGGCTAGTTCGCGCTAGTTTGCGCTAGTTATATATATGTATTTCTTTTTTTTTTCCTTTTTTTTTCTTAGAGATTTCGCGATGCAGGAAAAGTGCGTGGTGCGCGTCTCCATCCGGCCGCTGTCCGAGGACGGCGGGGGACAAGACGCGTTATCGATCATGGAGGCAGAAGAGATACGAATACGAGGTCGTACCGATATCCGACCGCCTACGCGTGCACATATACGTACGGACGCGTGCCGTACCTTCGCGTTATTTCCTCGTAGGACGTAACATTTAATGTTTAAGTCGAGGGGCCGAGCGCCGGCGCGTCGCTGCACGGGCGAATTGCATGCCGCTTGCGGTAACCATTGCACCGAAAGGTAAGTGCTCGGTGTCCGGCATTTACAATCACGACACCATAAAACGTGCCGGTTACCCTCACGCGCGCCTTTTCACTCGTTACCCTGACCTCCTGTCGGTAAATGGAGGGGTAAACGCGCGACAATGTCCACAGGTCCGACATCGATGTACAAGAAAAATTGGAGGCCGTCCAAAAAAGATCCCAATTGCGCTTATCAAGAAGAGGACCATTATGGCTACATTCGATAGTAATTAGTCGAGGGCGCAGAAGTCACGACAAGACGGCATGCCCGGGTGCGCGACGATAATGCTCGCCGTTGGCGCTCGGCCGGATTGTCGGACACTTAAAATCAGCTTACAACACAGATATGTAACGTAAAGAGGCGACGGAACGGAGCCAAGCGCGCGTCGCGAGAAGTGAACTTTCGCGCGTTGCCCCCGAGGCGTCGGGACGCCTCGACGGGGTCGGCTGGGTCCAAAAAGGTGGGTCGTGGATGGCGATCGTTAGGGACCCATAGGCCGAGTTGCCGGTTTCGATAAGAGTCCACGGGCTACAAAAGATACGCTTGGACTCTGTAAATAATTTCTCCGTAGAATCTCCGTAGCGCGCTCGTCCTCAGGCAGGGCTCGACCAGCGAGCCCGGAGTCCGGGTGGTCCTGGGGATAAGTCCCGAGGGTGTTCTGGGCTCGTTCCAAGCCACGTCCTACACTCTAAAGACTAAAATCGGGCCTTGCGTAGCGTCGACATCGGGTTGGGTTGGGTCGGGGTTCGAGCGCTTAGCGAAGGGCCGCGTTCGGCGAGGCTCGACCGAGTCGGACCGGTCGCGGGGCCCGGTCGGGTCGGCTGCTGGCGACCGGTGGGTCGATCTCCGGTCGACGACCGTTGGGTCGATCTCCGGCCGACGACCGGTGGGTTGACTCGACGGTCGCGGCGACCGGCCGCGTCGGACCCGCGGGTCGGGTCGGGACGTCGGTGGACCCTCGCCACTCCCGGCGCGGTTCGGTTCGATTCGAAGGGGTGGACGCGGGTCGCCCTTATTGCTGAGGTCGTTCGAGGTGTCGTTCTCGTATTGCTTAACGAGGGAGTCCGAAGGACCTAACGGAGGGAGGCGTCTCGTTAGCGGCCCGAGGTCGCGGACGCCGGCCTATCGGAATTCTCCCCGAAGAGCGGATCATCCTTACTTCGAAGAGGTCCAACGCGGGCGGAGAGATCGGCGCGAGAGTCTCTGGGCGCGCGCAAACGCGTCTGATTGTCGGTTTTCCTTAACGAGCTTAAATGTACGAAGGTACGCGAGCGAGTCTTGATTGTCCGGGTCGAGCCGACCTCTCCTTCCGCGCGATCTCCGGGGTCGGATCTAGCCGCGCTTCTCGCCGACCGGTCGGTCGCTCCTCGGGCCTCTAGGCCCTGCCGATCAGGAGGCAACCCTCAGGACGGACCCGTCCTCGCCCTTCGGCAGGAGACTGAGTCTGAAATCGAGCTCCCCGGCGTCGAAGACTCGATTTCGCCGCAACCATCAGGGCGAGTCCGCGTGCGAGTGGGAGCCCAGGGCGTGGATGGGAAAGAGAGGGTACCAGCCGACTGTGTGCCGAGACTGCGGCAGCAGGCCCAGGTCGATCTCGGCTCCTCCGAGGCCTTGGTTGCTCTCGAAGCCTAGGTTCCTCTCCCAGAGCATTACCAGCAGGTTCCGCCCGAAGGCGTCGCAACGGCCGTACTTGATCGTCTGCCTGTACTGCGGTTCCGTCGACTGCCGATAGACCCGGGTCTTGCGTTTCAGCAACCAACGTTCTCCATCCAGCAGATACGTCTTGACGTAGGTGTCTGGAAGCAGGCACGATTTCGGGGATCTCGACCAAAATACACTCGCCATCTCCCCACTCACCTGGTTTCTCCCGTTCGCCGGGACAGATCCCTCTAGCGCAAATCACCTCCACCTCGAGCGTACCCTTGTCGAAAGAAAACCCCAGCTGAATCTCGCCCTGCATCACTCCTAGAAAATATAAGAGGAACCCTTGATCGAGGTGTTATGGATGTTAGAAGGCGCAGAAGGAACCGTCCTCACCTCCTATGATCTTGATCCCCTTCGGCCTCACCTGGCCAGGTCCCAGTCTCGCATGAACACCGTTCTCGCTCCTCACAGGCTGGCTGCAACGATACCGACCGATTCCACCCTTTACCTCGGAAGGACTTCGAGCCAGAGAACAATGAAAAAATGTATTTAGCTTAATCTGAACGTCACCTCCATCTGTCGTCCTCGTCGGATTCGCTGTTCCGATCGAAGAACCTCTCCGACATATCCAAAACACCGTCTTTGCGCTCACCCCGCCCTGCAACGTGATTCGCATCGACTGAGGACATAATCCGTGTCTTTCCGCAGCCCGACATAGTCCAGACCTCGTCATTCCGCGACCGGAGGACTCCCACAGCCAGACCGACGTCCGACCGGTGGGTCGCACCGGTCGGCTCGTCGAGGTCCAGCTAGAAAGTCACCCCGTTCGTCTCAACGTCATCGGGCTGTCATGTCGCCATGAACCCGACTCGTCGACCTTTAGGTCGTTCGATACGAAATTCCGGATCTCAAGCGCAACTTCGTATCGAGCAACATTAATTCCCGACCCAATCGAGGGATCGATTCGTCCAACATTTCCGACCGACGTCACCCGAAAAGGAGTCACCGTTCGTCATCGGCATCTCTTATCACTTTGTCCTCTCACCATCGGCAGGATGGAAAGGGACGAGCGAATCACCAGAGGAGGGAACCGACCGCTGCAGAGGTAAAGGGCAGACCGCCTGGACTGGTCAATCCGGCGTCCCGGGTTTCGTCGTCTCGTGCACCCTGACATCGCCTGACGGTCCTCGGGGGCCGAGTCTTGGTCAATTACGAAAGACAAGTAGGAAGGTGGCCTCCTACCGGGAAAGGGCACCCGGCACACAGGTGGGGCTACTTTGGCTCCGTCTTGCCTGGGAGCAGAAGTCTTGAGTCGGAGAAGAAAGGCCGCGGGGTCAGGGGTCAAGCGGGGTGTCTCTCGGCCGGGCGCTGTCCACTCTTCCGGTTCGATCGGTCCGAGATAGACTTTCGAGGGCGGAAACGGCCGATCCGTCGGTTCCCTTTTCCTTTCATTCCGAAGACGTCGACGATCCGCCAGCTCGGCAGACTCCGCCGAGTTTGGCCCGTATCGAGCGGGCGGAGGAGTGGGGATAGGGGTATAAAAGGGCCGTCGGAGACCGGTCGGTCGCGTAGTGCGCGCCCGACCGCGCAGGCCGCCGCTTCCGGTAGCTCCGACCGGTGCCCCCGACGGAGGGATTGCCGGGAGGTCGGGACTCCCCAGGGACGTCGATGCGTGTTCGGCGAACCCGTAGAACGCACGGAAAGGCGCATTCTCCTCCGCTGCGTCCTCATGAAACATTCGGCGTCACCTGTTGAATGCATATACCCCCCGTTCGATGCACCTCGCGTGGCGTTTTTTCCCGCATGACGTGCGCACCCACCCACGCGATGACATTTTTTATCCGATCGCGGAGCACGACCCACACGAAGCCACTGGATGGCGGTAATTACGATTGCGTTATCGCCGAGCGGATAAAAACTGAGAGAGAGAGAGAAACGGACTGAAAATTGAATTCCACGATATCTCGAAAATGAAAAATCTCGAGGTGATCTCTTTTCACGACGCGTCGAGTGCCCTTTGCAGGGATCGGACCAATTTCGAGGGAATCTCGGTCGAGCGTCACCCTGGGGGCGGGAGCGAGGGGTGGGTGGAGACGGACAGACATAGTGAGAGAAAGAAAGAGCAGCCTTACCAAAATCCCGTATCGGCGTTCAACGATGGGGTAATTTATCTGGGTGGTGCGGAGTGCGGTAGCGGTAGGGAGGCCGAATTAGCGGTCTTCGAAGACCCAGGGTCGCACTGCCACACGGTAACCGTCGGGACGGCGCAGTCTGTTGCGAGCGGACCGTCACTCGCAACGGCGGGTGCAGGTGGCGGAGGTGACGTCGACGGCGGCGGCGGCGGAGGGGCGTCGGGGCGCCGAAGCGCGTTTCTCGCGTCCCGACCGAGCGGAGGTTGAGGGTTGGGATCGGTATTAATCGGCGTTCGCAGGTACGGAGGAGAGTTACGGAAACAGAAACAGAGACAGACCGGTCGGCGGGGTGAGAATCGGCGAATGGCTGACGGAGGAAAGCAGGCAGACGGCGGGCCGAGCTAGGCCTAGCTAGAAGCCGGGCTGTACGAGAGAGACAGGCTGTGAGAGCGAATGAGAGACGACCGTGCCCTGACGAGGGCACCGAGACGAGACGAGACGAGGCGAGACGAAGACGAGACACAGGGAGAGCTTTCGCTCGCGGGGACGGGGAGCGGCCGAAGCCACGTGGCGTGGAGGGGCGCTTAGAGCCCGACGCGACCATGCGACCGCCAGCTGAATCGGGCCCGACCGTGAGGTCTGATCGGACCCAACTGAGCCTGACTCAACTGGACCCGACCAGGCGCAGTGGGCCCTCATCCAGCTGCCGGAGCCTGGAACCCGATTCTCGAATCTATACGATTAACTTTCGCCCGCGAGACTCACAGTTTCGTATAAGACTTTCAAACGTTGACCAATGACGGGACTTCGCAATAATGCAAAATCTTTCACGGGGATCTTTTCGCGTGCGAAACAAAAAATCCGCATCGACTCGAAAATCGGGCTGAACGTGGGCGGTAGCGGACGCGCACAAGAAGCGGAGGAGCACGAGAAAGCGAGCGGCGGCCTCCTTCGTGCGATACTCACGGCTGCCGCGCCTCTTCTCCGAGGACAGACTCAGGGTGCGCGCGAGCTCGACCTTGATGGGTCGGGCACAGGAACTGCGTCGCCGGTCTCGGTTGTGGTGGTGCACCACGATCGGCGCCGCGTCCACCTCGGTCACGCTGCCGCCTGGAAGGGTTGGAACAGGTGCCGAAGGGTGGAATCGGTACCACGGGTGAGCGTCTATCTTTCATAGGTATTTCGGAGTACTCACGTTTGCTGTCGGTCCCACCCTGGCTCTGGAAGCTGCTGCGCCGGCTACCCGGTAGGGACCGGCTGTAGTCCTTGCTGAGCTCGTACGGCTCGACCTCCAGCTGCTCCGACTGGCTGGAACCGCGTCTCGAGTTGGCGTGCCACGCGTGGTCCGGGTGCAGGAAGTAGGGCTCGGGACTTCCGCTCTCGCTGGGGGTGTCCTCGCTCAGGCTGCGCTCCCGCTCGCGGTCCCGGTCGCGCGGCTCCACCCGCCGCAGCAGCCGCTGGGCCACCTCCTGGGAGAAGGACCCTCTAGGTGAGCAGTGGGGCGACTTCCCCATGCGAAATCCTCGAGGGTCCTCCAGCCGGTACCTGGAACAACGCTTGAACGTTGATTTCTCGTAAGTAGGATAAATACACACACCTGTCCCCGAATTTAACACTTGCCAGATCGCTCCGTCGTCGAGCAGGGCCGTCTTCAGCTCCACGGTGCACTCCCCCAGGAAGACGTTGTCCTTGTCGGGGCAATCGTCCCACAGCGTTACTTCGATCTTGCGAGTCATGAGCTCGTCGGCCGGCACCCCGGAGAAATTCAGGGTGGCGTTCCAGATGGGGTTCTTGGTGGGCTCGGCCACGCTCGTCTCCACGGTGTTGCGCTCCCCGCTGCAACCGGGGCATCCCCGTGGTCGATGCTCATCTTTCTCAGAGATCGCTCCATGTTAGGGTACTCACCAGGACGGGACCAGGAGGAGCTTCGCGTAGGCTTCCGGGGCGGTCCCGTAGCCGGTGTCCTCTCTGGGCGACAGGTCATCCGCCGCCAGGATGGAGACCACCAGCTCCTTGCGCTCCGCCTCGTACCACACCTGGATCTGCACGCGGCCGGTGATCTGCCGCTCCCTGGCGATCTGTTCCTAAAAGTCGAACGCACAGGTGTCGCGCCAGGAGTTCGACCGCGGGAAAGAGGCGTGCCTCCTCTCCTCTCTCCCCCCGAGCCCACCCTCACGGCGAGAGCCTCGAGGATTCAAGCTTCTTTCGGTGCCCGAGCCCGGCCCGGGTGCATTCCGCATTCGACCGGCTATCGGCTGCTATCGGCATGCAAAGCGGTGCTCGGGAACGTTCCAAAAGGGGTCGGGGGGCAGGGGAGCGTAACCAGCCAACGGGGAAAGTAACTGAACGAACGTGAACCGAGGGCTCCCGCCCTGGTACCTACTGCTCCGGTCGGGTCCTCCGATGCGCCCTTAGCTCCCCAAGGGCCGACTGGCCGGATCCGAGCTGCGAGCGGCAGCGGACGCCCCAGGACGCGAACCTTGATCCCGTCCTCCGCGACCCCACGCCTCCTCGCGCGAATCGGCGCGTTTCCTTCCTCGCGGCGGTCGCTCTCGCCTCCTCGTCGCGGGAGGCCGTCGTCGTCGAGCGCTGGTTTCGCCCGATCGTGGCCCTGACCCTGACGCGGGTCTCGCCGCCGACCCCGACCTCCGCCTCGGGCGCTCCGCGGTCGGCATGCGGCGGACTAGGGTGCATGCCTCGGGGAACCACCCCGAGCCTCGAGGTACTCGAAAAATAGCCACTACTCCCCGGATAGAAAATATACAACCACGGAATAAATGAATCTCTTTACGAACCGTAGGTGCATATCGCACCCCGAGGGGCTACTCACTCGGAAATTAGGGAAACCGATTTCCTTTATCGACAATCAACTGCCTTTGATCTCATTTGATAAACAATGCGATTCGGTAACAAGTGACAGTCCGCTTTATCGATGTGTTCGTGATCTCCAATGTCTACTCGGGACTTTCAGTCGATTTCCTGAGTGAACACCCCCTCGTCGCGTCCTCTCCAGGGACGCGTCCCTATTTCACGGTTTCTTTCTGACGGTTGACCCGACTTTTCTTTTTTTTTTTCTTTTTTTTCTTCCTCGGTACTGCGGAAAGGGGAGCGGGCTCTGCTATGCGATCTAGCGTTCAAGCGAGCAAGCGGTGGAAAGCGAGCGGGGACAAAGCGGAGTCCCGCGGAGGCCCGATTTCCTTCCCAGCGCTCGACTTGCCCGCGACCAGCCTCCCGGGGGACTTCCCAGGGGAACCTCCCGGGGGAGTTTCGGGAGGGTCTCGGGCGACGAGAACGCGAGACCTCCCGCGATCCTTCCCGGCGATCGGAGGGAACGGGACCGGAGGGTAGGAAGTGGGACCAGGAGGGACCGGGACTCCCTTTAACCCTTTCGTTACGGCAGTCCGCTCCGCCAGTCAACCCCCACTGAACGCACCACCGCGTCGAAAGGGTGCACATTGTGCTTCGGCACTCTTCGGTGTTCGAACTTACGCCTTCCACCTGAAGAACGTCTCCTTGACTGCCTTTTGTACGTACGCTTTTCTAAGTATTGAATAACAACTGTTTTGTCGTATCATTCCATTATTAAATTTCCAAATACAAGGTTCAACCTTAAACTTTTAAGAAATTAAAAGTTATCCCAACAGCGGGTATTCTCGTCTCATTTCGATGGGCAAACTGTGTTACGTATGTTAAAAATGTACTTTTAGGGTGATTAATCCAATAAGGGTGAATACGATAAAAAGATACTCTGGAGATATGGTGGAATTTCTTGTATTCGTAACGAAAGGGTTAAGGGCCAAGAGAGCGGGCTCGGGAAAGCAACACAACTCGCCGCGGATGACTCTGTGCTTTCACTTTATTGGGAAGACAAAACGCGTGACATTCCTGGTATTCAATCTCTCTCCCTCTCTCACCTCCTCTCTTTTTCTCCCTTCCTCTCCCACTCTCCCTCTCTCTCTAGCGGAGCAAAGCGAGTAGCGTCCGCGATACGCGCGGAATGTCGCCACTGGGATTCTAGATACAATACATCGATTGCGAGTCGCGGGGGCGGCGCGCGTGACACGCGGGACCGTCGCGGTGCGTATTCCGCGCGCGTTCCGCGTGCCGGCGACCGCGGGGGGTCCGGACTTCCGGCGTTTACGGTTACGGCTACACCTACGCCTACGATTGTCGATCGAGCACCTCCGCGCTGCGGCTCCGCGCGCGGCTTCCGGTCCTCCGAAGAACCCCTCCTACCCCGATCGCCGATTCGCGCGACCCGATGTAATTGCGACCGATCGAAAGAGGGTCTCGATGGACGGTCTCGGGGCGGAAAATCCGGGGCTGTCGACTCGGAGGTCCGGCTATCGCTGGGAACTCGGCCGCGCGTCAGGGCGTTGGGGGGCGGAAACGGAGTCGGGACTGGCGGGAAGAAGGTGGCTGGGGACGAACGCTAAGGACAGAGACACCGACGAGGATGAGCCCCGGCCAGGGACGGGGGACAAGCTGGGACTTCTCGTCCCGGGTGGAGGGCTCTTTGGGATCCTTTTAACGCGGGCGCGCACGCACACGCGGTTCCGTACAAACGACGCGTATTCTCGGTATTTATGAACTCGTTATACCGGCGTCTTTGGTAGTTTCCTGCGCGTCGGCGAGGTGGGCGTTTTGTCCGTATCCGATTCTGAAATGAACACCAGCCAGCTATTAGTCGGGCAGGGGTGGAGGCTCGCCAGGTAAGGCGCGATCCGTCTACCGGATTCACTTCAATTAGTTTGCCGTTTTCTCGGACTTCTCTTTCGTGAGGGGACTTCCGCTCGTGACGGGGATGTACTTCGGTCGGGGTACGTACCTAGCTGCAGGCCGAGGGAGCCCGGCTTGCCCGAGGGTGGCACCGTTCCCGGCTCGTCCAGCGGATCGGTCACCCTGGTGTTCGCCGGGGAGAAAGCGGAAGAGAAAAGAATATGTACATGTAAGCGAGATGCCTCCACCTTGGGACCCTATTCTCGAGTTCGTCCGGACTCTCTCGCATGATAATAGGATTTGGGAAAATTCTCCCATTGTTGCTATGTCGCGCAATTGATCAACGTTTCGATGTCATACGCAAAAACTGTGAAGTATGAGAAAAATCCAGGGTATGAATTCCAGAATAGGGCTCCTGGGGGGGTCTTTAATTTTCCACTCACGGGTCCGAGGTGTGCTCCACCATGACCTCCACCGTGTCGCCGGTGCGCTCGACGATCTGGGAGACCTCGTCGAAGCTTCGGTCCGTAAGCGACACCCCGCCCCATTTCAGCACCTGCGACACGAAATTACGGTATGTAACGAGAGGAATATAGGTAACGTGGGCAGAGGTCCAAGGTATATGAGAAAACGTATGGCATGGGGTGTATCGGCGAGGCATGGGACATCGCGGTAACGACGACCCGGAGAACGGAAAATCGGAACGTTCCCTGACCTCTTGACACGAGGTACTCACTCGGTCTCCATATTGCAGTCCGGCCTTCTCCGCTGGTCCTCCAGGCACCGTCCAAACGACGCGGGCATATGTGCGCCCGTTGGATCCTCTCTTCCCGCCGACCACCCTCATCCCGAAGCCTCCTGAAGATCGAAATACCGGAGTTAATGAAGAACCCTCCATATCGTCGAATCGCTCCCCATCTTACTCACTTCTCTGGACGTCGTCCATTACCGTCTCCTTCCTCAGGACGACTCTCCTCGCTGAACTGGTCCTCGACCCTGAAAACGAGGTGGACTGACTCGCGTACCCTTGGCAGGAAAATACCCATCGTCGGGTTGGATCCTCCCAGAATAAGCACCGACTCACCGTGGTCACTGTCGACGTCGTGGATAACGATCTTAATTCCCTCCCCGTCGACGAGACTCCCCTGCCGAGGCAAGTCGCGGTCGTCTACGGCGACTCTGCCCATGGCAGTGGGTGGAGGTTTCGTGACCCCCGGGACCGAAGGTAGAGCTCTCATCGCGCCGATATCCGGCCTGCGAAATTCGATTTTCGATTTTTCTCCTTGAATTGCCCTCCCCCACTTCGTTCCCTTCCACCCGACAATCCCTTAAGCGCAAACGCGGTCGCGAGCCTCTCTACCCTATCGGCTCTATCAAGTTGGAACGATTCGGGAAGTATCGACGAATGGACAGATTTTCCAACGATTCCGAAATCGATTTGAGATCGATTTGAGATCGATCACTCACAGTTGTGATACTCTTCGCCTGAGTCGTTTCTCCTCTTCAGGGGGTGGCTGCGGCGCCGGGCTCGCCTCCGCTGGCGAAGGGGCGTCCAAATCGATGACCTTCTCCTGGTCGGAGACCATCTCGTAGGGGAGGAGCGGCTTGACGGCCCGGAAGGACGCCCTGCGACCGACGTCTCTGCAGGGTCTCTCCTCGGCGGCAGACTCGCGCGACCCTGGACGCGGCCGACCCTGAAGACCTTTCCGACCGAGGTTCCGGGGTTGAAGACGGCGTCATAGGTGGAGAAATTAAAATAAAGAAATGAAGAAAAAGATAACCTACCCTGGTTGGCAGCGACTGGCAGGGCGTAGACGTCGTAGGCCGAGGCTCGTCTCGAGAGCTGTCCCGGAAGTCCCAGGCCCGACTCCTGTCGCACCGCCTGGTCGGGGTCGCCGCCTCCTGCGGCTTTGTGCTCGTCATCGTAGGATCGCTGCCTGGTGACCGTGGACTTCCGGCGCGTCGAGCAGTTCGCCGGGGATGCCCCCGGTCCCGGCGCCGCGGCCGTCCTCGAGCGCCGCCACCGCTCGGCGTCCTCCTCCGCTGCGTCTCCCGGCGCCTCCGCTTCTGCATCTGAGGAGCCGCCGTTAGAGAGAACTCCGCCTCGCGGTACAAAGCGGCGCCGTTAAGCGAGTTCGAAGGTCACTTGAAGACCCGGACGAGTTTGCCGGCGCCTCGGGTCGACGCAACTTCCGACTCTCGCAAGTGGCGGGTAACCGTATAACGCCGGTAAGCTCTCGAGCGGGAGCTAAGTCGCCTTCGCACCCCTTGGAGCGTGCAAAGCGACGACGCAGGGACGCCCGCCGAGTGCATCCGTCCTCGACCCTGAACCTAGAGACCCTCGTCCGGTCGAGCGTCGGTGATTGCGAGGGGGAACGACGACCTCCGACCTCCGACCAGGGACTTACGAGTGACCGGCAGGGGATCAACGGGAACGTCGCTCGGACGTCGGAGGTCCGGAAGATCGGTTCCCCGTTCGCGATTTGACGGAACAAGGGCTCGAGGATCTCGGAGCGAGGGCGAGAACGGGGGTGAGGGGCACGAGAAGCTGCGACCAGGCATCGGGGGTTGACATATCGGGCTGACATCGAGCTGACATCCAACGACGAGGACGACGATCAGAGGTTCTCTCACCAGGCTTGGACGACTTGGAGCCCCTCTGCGGACTGCCGGCTCGCCCCCTGTCGCTCTGGCGGCGGTCTGGAGACCCACCCCTGGATCTGCTCCTCCACTCTAACTCCCGCTCCCATCTCAGCTCCTCCCGGCGTTCCCCTGCAACCTTTCGAAACTACAACATTACGAGGACGATTAAAACCAGGGCCTCGGGGGGGACCGCCGCATCCGAGGTCCGCTCCTCCGGGCTCGGAGGACTCGCGGGGGGGCTTGGCCCCCGCCGCGAGGGGACGTGGGGGGACGCGCCGGAAAACGCGACCGACGGTGGCTCTTCGATAGCGCGACCGGTCGGCTGTACTCCACGGTTTCCGGTCTCTAGGGTTCCGCTCTCCTTCGGGATGAGCCTCCCGGCCATGGCGACGTCCTCCTCTTCGCGCGACCGCGACTAATCGCACCACCGGAGGCCCACCTTGGGGGACCTTCCTGGTCTTACCTTCTCGAGCTCCTTCAGGCTCGCAGGCGAGAAGTCCGAGTGCCTCCGGATGTCCGGACTCCTGGGGGGCGCCAGCCCCGTTCCCAGCCCTTTCGCCTGGCAGTTCAGCCTGGCCTCGCTGTGTCGTCTCTGCAGCGCCTCCAAGACCGGGACGTCCAGCAGCGACTCCGTCGACTCCTGCGCCACGACGGGCTGACCCCTCGACGCCAGCTTCCTCCGGCAGACGCTGCATCTCCACTTACTCTGGAAAGTGAGCGGCACGTCCAAGAGCTCGTACGCGGGCATCGAACCTGGGGAGGGCTTACCGGGTCCTCCGAGTCCGTTGGTTCGGAATAGGAGGCGCAGTCCTCGCAGACCTTAAATCTGCACTCGTAGCAGGTGCGGGAAAAGTCCTCCGGCTTGAAAGGCTTGAGACACACCCTACAAGCACCGGCCCTGCTGGCCGGTCTGCCGGGTTCCGGTTTCCTGGGGGCGGAAGCGGTCGGATCACTCCTAGGACCTCCGTTGGCCGGGACCCGGAGCCTCGAAAAATCAATTTCCGACCTCCTCGAGGCCCCGGGTTCCCTGGAAAATACAAGGTCAAGGCCGAACACTCACGGCTTGGGCGGCTCGGCGCTCGTCGCGGCGCCCGACGTCTCGGCCTCCTTCGCCTGGCAGTCCTCCGTGGGTGTCATCTTCGCGGGCGACAGCTTCGTCACTGGAATCGTCGGTTCGGTGGCATCGTTAATAAAACCCGCATCAATAATAAAAGAAAGAAAAAAAAAAGGAACGAATGCCCCGGGAAAAGGCCGGTCGCTTTTTGCGCGCGGGGGAGGCCTCGGCGCCGGTCTCCTCCGAATCATCGGAAATCAATGGACCGAGCGCGGCCCTCGCGAAACGGAGGAAATAGAAACCACCCTCTCCGGGCCTGGCTTTTTCGACGTCAGCCGTCGCGAGGCCCGCCGTCGCTCGACTCTGATAAAAAGGGAAAGAGACGAGGAAAGGAAAAACGACCACCCCTCCGCCGTCACTCGCGACTCTCCCGAACAGCTGATGCTAGCTCGGGGGACGTTATCGCCGACAGGTGTCACGAGATAGCGTCTTCTCACCCCGCTTGTTAAAAATGGTTAAATCTACCCTCGTTTCCCAGTATTCTTTATATAATAAAGGAATTTAATTTATATATATTTTTTTTTTATATCGACACATCCTCTGTCGACCGAGACTCGTCGATCAGACGAAGAGTCCTTCGAATCGAGACGATGTGTTCCTAATCGTTCCACCGACCGCAATCACCCGGTCGACGGTCCGGATGAGGTCGCATCGATCGACCCCTCCGGGCCGCGCCATCAAGGATTCCGGTCGACCCGCGTCAATCGCCCGAAGCGGCCAATCTTCGGATCGAACCTCCTCCCAGGATCCCCCAGCCCCCGGCCCACCCCCCCAATCCGCGGAAGGGAGGACGCGGTGAAAATAGATTAACGTCGCAGAGGGCGGCTTTGACCTTTCATTTCGACCACTTCGGGCCGCCGGTCCGCGCCTGCGCGGGCGGGGACCCCCCGCGAGACCCCGCCGAGGGGCGTTTCGCCCCCGGCGTCTTTATTCCCTCGGGCTCGGCGCTGTTGCGTAAAATCAAGGCCTAGTTTAGGAACTAAGAGGCCGGGGACTTAATGCAAACGAGTCCGCTCGGGGATCCTTTTCAGAGGGAGATCCACTCTCGAGATTGCGGAACCGCGTGCTGCCGTCACTTCCCCCAACCACTACCCCCTTCCTCGGCGCTTCTCCTGGATGCTGGGCACTGAGACACGGAGATGCCTCTCGGCCTCGCTACGGTAACTCACCGTTTCCAGTTGCCGTTATGAGTTCGTTACCCAGCTGACGCAGTTTGCTGAACGCCTTGCTACCGTCCTCCGGACTGTCGGAACCCTGGCCGCTGGTGTCCCCCTGAGTCGTCACCATCTAAACAGTCAATGGACCCTGTCAATACCCATCCTGTACAACAGTGGTCCATTCGAGACCCTCTGCGCGCGGAAACTGAATTCACGACTGTAACTAGAGATTTCATTTCAACGAAGGGGTACACCGGGAAATTAACCCGTAAAATTCTTCCCCAGGAACACCTCTGTTACCTGGCACCGTTTTGGATTTCATGCTCGGTGACCTGGTAAACTAACAGTCCTCAATTAAATGTCTCATTGTAGGAGCGTTTCTGCGGAAAATGTCGTGGCATTGATCGTGATATGTCGCGCAATTGGCACAGGTACGCCACGAGTACCGACAGAAGAGAAGACCTGGTGGTTGCGGGAAAACGGGCACGTCCCACCGAAACCAGGGTATCATTTCATTAAAATGACTCCTCGTCGACGTTGTGCTCGTTTAACGGGCGGCAAGTGTACGCCGCATTCGATTGTTTTCCCAATGTGTCGTATATTTTCGCGAAAAAAAAAAAGATATAGAAGAAACGCACGAACTCACACCCCCATCCAATAAATTCGGTGAATATATATCTCGGTTCGTTCCGCCCTGCGTTTTCCCAGGAAGAAGTGGGTTAGTCCGGGTAAATGGTGCACAGAGGACAACGAGTCGTGCTCGAGCCAAATGGCGCCTCATTGTCCGGGCATGCAATTCTTTCTCCTCTACGAGGACGTACACTTCCGCCTGTTGCGTTGCACTTCGCACTCGGGCGGACAGTGCGATGTTAAATTCAGTAATTCAGATCGGGGGCCGAGGATTTCCCTGGCCGGATGTCCCAATCGCGCGTCCGGACCAGCTGGTAATCCTGTCAACCCCTGTAGATATCCGGGCAAATTGCTCCCTCCGCGACCGATGCACCCCCACGATCTCTCGTCGAGGGTCGAGTAATAGCGCAAGAAAGGTCCTTCGCGAAAGTAGCAACGATGCACCCCCACGATCTCATCGAGGGTCGTGTAATAGTGCAAGAAAGGGGTGCGTCATGAAAATAGCAATCGGTCTCTCATAACGTGGTGTTTTACATGTTAAATTAGCCGACAAGAAGTAGCGTCGATATGGCGTCGATATGACGAGGTAGGGTAAGAAGACAACGCCAATGCTCGGTTCCATAAAAAATGATCTCAAAATCTGGTACCCAGGATCTCAGATTTTCGCTCATCTCTCCACCGACGTAAATCACCTAAAATGCTTTTAATTTTTCAATTAAAGTACGCAAAGCGAAACGATGATCCGCGGATGATATACAGAATGTAATGTTTTTTCTTTTTTTTTTTAACGCGATAAAGACCAGCGAGCGCGGTAATTTTTAATTGCAAAATTTCAGCGAGAAGGCGCTCTCGATACTAGATCGGAAAAAATCAGAATATCTTCGACCCCTAAGTGGGGAGGATTTCAACACATGGCGTTGCATCTTCTTACAGTACTTCGTGGATATGACGTTAATATGACGTCGTATCGCGTCGATATTTTGTCGACATGGCGAATACGACGCCTAAGGGCGGTATCTTCGCGGGGGGTCGATCGAGGGCCGATCTGGAGGGCTCGGGGTTGTAAGTATCCCGCGAAATTCCCGATCGGGGCCACCCAGGGCGAGCATTTTCGCCTAACGACGGCGTTATCGCGTGCGCTTCGGCCGTTATCCGCGGCCCGCGATACGCGTTACAAGGATCTACGGTCCAATTCGCCGAGCCGACGTCCGTTTAACGGTTCCCCGTTGGCGGAACTCCGGTGACGGGTAACGGCTGATACTGGCCGCCTGTGGCACCTATCGAACAATTATCGACGGCGAGCCGTCGAAAAGCGAGAGAGAAAGAGAGAGACGGGACAAAAGAGTCCTTTTTCCGCCGAGCGAAAAGGCGAGGGAAGCGACGACGACCGGCGTCGCCGCCGGCCCCGTAAATCCGATTTCCCGTCGGCGCGCCCATTAATGGCCGCTCGGCACGCGACGACTCATCCTTAGCGACAATTAGCGGAAAAAGTAGGACATCTTGATCGCCATGGGCATGGAAACGCGAGGAAAAATTGTCCTTGTCCGAAATCCGTGGCTGTTGGAACCTCCACCGTGGATGTAAAGCAGGATTTCAAAGACTACTCATAAACGCCGCGTGAACCTAAGAGCTCGTTTACCCGACGGGATTTTCAGCACACGTTAGTCAACGCAATGGCAAGCAATATATCCACTGAACGCGACTGGGTATTTTTCTTTTATGAACGCAATAAAGCTCGCCATTGCATTAAGGGCTCGTTCACGTGGAGCGACTTCGCGCGTCCTCTGAAAGGGTCTTAACTAACGCGCGCTCGAGTTTCTTTTTTTTTTTTCTCTCGTAAACGAGCCTTTTACAGGTAAAGTCGATTTCAATCCGCGACGATTATCCACGGAGAAGGCTAGTGGAACAAAGGGAAAACGGCGAGTCGTCGGATCGCCGTTAAATCCGATTGGCCGCGTTAGCGCGGCCGTTAATGGCCGGCCGGCACGCGACGCGGCATCCTTAGCGACAATTAGCGGGTTAAGTGGAACACCGTCGTCATCGGGAGCATCCAGAGGCGGAAAATCGGCCCGTGGGGAGTCCTCGGCGGCCTACCCTCGCCGGCGTCGGCCGGCGTCGGTCGGCGTCGCCCGTTTAATCGATGCGCGCTCTGTCTAGGACTGCTCGAGCGTGGATCGCGCTCGCGCATAACGCGTCTCCGCAGTCCGGGAAAATTTCCGGCTGGAGTGGCAGTGATACGCGGACGATAGGAGAGCACCCTCGTATTGGAAATCCGGCCATGTTTGCAGGCCGCTTGCCGCGGTTGCAATTTCCACGGCCGACGCAGCCAGGCCCATATCACCTGGAGTAATCTCCCTTTCATCCGCGTATCGCGATTTTTTATCCGCCCAGAAATAATTCCACGAGCCGCTGATCGAAAGCCCCGTGTCCCGGTGTTTCCGCCGTTTATCCATACCCGAGGCAATCCCGACAAATCCTGATTGCGGCCGAGAGTCCGCGGAAAGTCGAATAAGAAATGGCCAGGGAAAGAGTGGCGGATTCCGCCATTAAGGGAGGACAGAGAAGGAAGGGTGGTCTCCGTACACCCTCTCGGCGCGCCTCCTCTTCGTCGCTTCCCTCGCTACCCCTTTACGAAGACCCGGTTCCCCAAGATTCACGAGTTCCTCCTTGACGAGGGACATAACGTAACCCGAATACACTTACCTTCTTGACGAAGGACATAACGTTGGTGGGCAACATCTTGGCGTCTCCTCGGTCGTTCAGGTCTCCCGGGTGAAATCGTCCTCCAGGGTGCGTCCCTTAGCGAGGTTAGGCTCCCGGATGCGGCATCCCAAATCCCGATTTCTCTCTCGATCTCGCCTCGAATCTCGATTTCCTGCCTGCGCCTGGAGTCCGCACCGACGACGGCGCTCGACGACTCACGACGACGAGGGGGCGAGTCGACCTCGGGTCACCTGGACGAGCCCCTCGAGGTCGAGGTCCTCCCAGGTCTCCCTCCTTAGGGGCATGTTTCTTCCTGGACTCCGGGACGAGCTGGTGAACCTGCGATGCGAGAAGCGTGTCCGCGATTAGCCGGAAATTTTTCCTGTCCCTCGTTAAGCCACTTTGAGTTAACGCAGGACCGTTGCGGATTTACGGGATGGGAAATTCGCCCGTCGATGTGGAAAATTCCACGGAGGGTGAAGCCCGTCAGGGCAGGGAAAAATATTAATATATTAATACACGGGAGCCCTCGCAAAATAGCCTGCGGGACGTCAGGGAGCGAAAATCGAGGATCCGAGGGAGTTAGCCGCGCTAATTAGCGGCCCGTCATCGCGGCAGGATCGCAAGACGAGTGAGAAAATTGCCGGCGGCATTTCCTATCGATCCGCCCGGGGACGGAAGAGCCGGTGCACGGGAAAACGACGCCGCACTCGGTAGGGCGCCGCAGGGCTAAATGCGTCCCGATCGCGTGGCGCCCGATCGTCCAATTCTATTTCGTCGGATTGATTATCGATATACAGGAGGGGGGGGAGGGGGGGGGAATCGCTGGTACCGCGCGATACCGACGTTGCAGAAATGCAGCTCTTATTTAGCCTCGGAATTGCTTTTCATCCCTTTCATAACCTAGGTAGCGACCGGTGGCCTTCTTCCTCCTATCCGAGAAAAAGTGGCGATATACGAGATCGAGGAAGTACCCGAAGCGATTCGGCTCCTCCTCTTCTTGGACGATCCATTACGCGTAATTGTTTATACGAGCCAGCATCTGCATCGGTGCAGAACCCTCCCTCGATGAAAAGGCGCGCTTTACGAGGTCTCGAGGGTAATGGCGGAGGCCCTAGGGAAGTGGCCCTAGAGCAGGCCCTTTTCGGCCCGAGTTTCCTTCGCTCGACGCCTCTTGAAGCCACTCCACCTGATTTCCTCTTGAAGAGTACCGAGGGGTAGTCGCGATCTTCCAGCCCCGGGTCGCGAGTCGCGGCCCCTGGTTGACCCTCCCGTTATACCTCCGCTCCATTACGGCCATTATGCCGATATATTTCCTCTCCTTTCCTCCTCGTTACTGGAATACACGGGATATATTTCCCGATTCCCGGGGAATCGATCTCGGCATCTCGACTTCGATGAGGCATCCTCCTCCCTCCGTTTCCCTCTATCTCCTGGATTTTACTCCGCTGGAATGCCACCCCCTCCCTCCCACCGCAGGACCGTATATTAACGGCCCGGACCTGGATTAAGCGTTTCCTAAATTTCGGGAAATTCTAAACGGCCCCTCCGCCCAAAACTGGAACAACGTTATCGCGTTTCAATTAAGCGGCCCGGCTCCATTTCGCATTTAACGCCCTCGCGGGGGGTGGAGGCGCGGATATTACGGAATCGATCCCACCCCCGCACTTGGACCACCCCTTGGTAGCGTTTATACCGGTTTTAATATTCGGGAAATATCCTGGCAGAGGGGTGGACCCTTGCCGATGCGACCGGACAGACCCTCTTCGGGGGCTGCCTCCTCTGGGGCGGTTATCGGGAACGAGGTGTCTACTAAATTCCTCGAATATCGAATATCTCCGACTGCCGGAATGCTCGTAACCTCCCTCGACCGTCCGTCCTCCTATCGTCGATATCGGCCATCGCGAATTCACCCCCATAGGCACCCAGGTCCTGAGGACGACGCCGGGCGTCCGTTCTTGGGCACCGGACGCACCGGCTGTCCTCGTAAAAGAATAAGTACGAAGAATGCCTACAACCGTGGCGAATCATTCCGCGGTTTTACGTCGGTTTCTTCGCGGTCGCGTGAGCACTCGACTAGCTACTTGTTGCTGAAACGCCCCGAGTGCCAAGGTAGACACCAAGGCACGTTGCCATAGATCCAAAACGACTCGCAGCGAAAAGTATAACCCACTCTAAATATTTATCAAAGCCCGATACAATAAAAAATCCATCCACGGAAAAAATTGCTACAACCTATAAGGGCGATAATCCGTCTGACAAAAAAAATGCAAGAAAAATATAAACATAACCCACCGCGGTAGATTACCCCTATCAATACAACTTGCTACGTTTAACCTAACATTCGATCTAATACCCAAATTACTTGTAAAATCATTTCACTGGATTTTTTATTTCTTTCCCTTTCTTTCTGGAAGTACGCCAGCTCGATAAGGGGATGAAAACTTCGGGGCGATTAGAGTTTCTAACCAAGCAACCCGGCGATTACGTCCATCGAATTCCTCGGGTGCTCCGATCTTCCTCGAGGAAGACATTAAATTTCGCGGGGGTTGATCTAATACCCAAATTACTTATTGTAAAATCATCTCACTGGATTTTTTATTTCTTTCTGGAAGTACGCCAGCTCGATAAGGGGATGAAAACTTCGGGGCGATTAGAGTTTCTAACCAAGCAACCCGGCGATTACGTCCATCGAATCGAATTTCCTCGGGTCTTCCTCGAGGAAGACATTAAATTTCCCGGGGGTTGATATCGGCGGTCTCGGGCTTATCTGCTGATCTATTTGTCTATCGCCCCGGGGGGTCCCGAGCTCCCTCTCGATCGCGATCTCGAATGCATATTTACTCGGCGCATCTCTCCCGAGATGGTGAGATAGGCAGATAGGCGTTTACCGGTTCCCGGGGGTTGCCGGGGGTTGCCGGGAACAGCTCTTGGAGCCGGGAAAGAAGGAGCCGATAAGGGCTTTCGAGGCCCAGCCGCGGATCCCCGAGCGCCGACCGAGATTCGATCTCCCGACCCCACTCGGAGCCCTCCGAGTCTCGCCGAGTATCCCCGAGGGTGGCGTTTCCGGCTTCCTTTGCCGTGGCCCCGGGGGCGAGAAAATCGAATCCCGCGATAGGCCCCTCTCTCTGCCCCGGCGCCTTAAAATCGAGGACCCTTCCCGAGACCCTGGCTCTCCGCGTGTCGCCCTCCTCTCTTCCTCTCTCCCTCGGCCCGGCCGCCTTATCGAGGAATCTCGGAGACGCCGGGGGGTCGCGAACAAGGCGCTGGTTAGGAAATGGCTGCCACCTGTAGCTATTGATCGGCCGGGCGGCGACGGCCGTGTGTATGTATGGTACCTGTCTATGTATGCATTTTCCACCGGCCCATCCCGCGCGCCGCGGCTCGAAGTAAGCGCGCGCTCACTCGCTTCGCTTCGCTTTCGTCCGCTCGGATTCCCGGGGCGGTCTCGCGGAGAGAGCGACCCGAGCTGTCGAAAAAAAAAAAATAAAAAAAACACGAAAGATGCGTCCCAATTTTCCAACATTTCTTTTTTCCTACTCTACTCGGACGCCACTCATTATTATCTACGTCGAACGCGCAGGGCTTTTCGACTACGATTTTCAAAGTGCCGACAGTACTCGAATTCTGCCGCACCCTGGGTGCCTTATGTGCGTTTATTTACTAAATGTCGTTATACGTTAATTACTATATTTCATGATGTCGCGGCGCGTTAAATACTGTGAATAGAAATACACGAAGAAATATGCACCGCGACAGGATATCTACTTTAAACATGAAACGCGAGATCGAATAAACGAAATTCGATTAAATCGACGATATCAATTTTCTTTCTTTTAAATTTATGAGCGGTCTATTATCTGCGAAGGACTCGTCATTTTGCGGTTCATATGTACGACTTTGTACATTGAAATCGAATTAATAGAAAAATTCTTCGAGTACTTTGAAAGATAGCGAGGATGCGCACGCAGGACCGAGCGCAGGGGAGCTCCCGAGAGAAAATTTTTCTTGAGGGTAAAACTTTTAATTTCTCCAATAAAATCACAATCAATATATTAAATGAAAAAAACGAAAAAAATAAAAAATAGGAAGGGTTTATAATTTCGCGGTCCAGTGTACGACTCTGTACATTGAAATCGAAAGAATAGAAAAATTGTTCCAGTACTTTGAAAGATAGCGAGGATGCGCACGCAGGACCGAGCGCAGGGGAGCTCCCGAGAGAAAATTTTTCTTGAGGGTAAAACTTTTAATTTCTCCAATAAAATCACAATCAATATATTAAATGAAAAAACGAAAAAAATAAAAAATAGGAAGGGTTTATCATTTCGCGGTCCAGTGTACGACTCTGTACATTGAAATCGAAAGAATAGAAAAATTGTTCCAGTACTTTGAAAGATAGCGAGGATGCGCACGCAGGACCGAGCGCAGGGCTCGGAGCGCGCGCGCGCGATCGACCTAGATCGGGGAGGGCCGGAACGAGGGCGAGGCCGAGGCCGAGGCCGAGGTCGCGGGGGGGCCGCGCCGGGTGGGTCGCCGTCCATTCGACGCCCGAAACCGGGAACCGTCGAATCGAATCGAGCCGCCGACTCGACTCGGCGTAATGGGAGTTTAGGGCAGCGTCGCCGATCGATACGAAGGTATCCACAGGTGTCCGGACGTAAGTGAGCACGCGCGGGAGCTCGTCGCCCTCCGGGCCCGATCGCGACCTCTCCGGGCCCCGACTTGATCCAGACCTCGACCTAGACCTCGTCGGACCTCGACCTCGACCTCGACTCGGAGAGCGATCTCGTTCCGCCGACGGATAGGGATCGATGGATCGGGTCGACCTCTCCGTATATAAACGGAACCGGCGTAGCTTCTTGCAATCGGATTTCGATTTCTTTTTTTTTTTTTCTTCAACAACGACCCGGGGTCGACGCTTCTCCACCTCCATTGGGAGGATCTCTCTCGAGACTTCGGACTCCGCTCTGGAGGACCCTCGGTTTTTCCCCAGGGGTGGAGTTTCTCAGGAGTTCTTTGCCGCTCGAGGCTCGACGGACTTCGCCGGTTCTTAAATTCTTTTCGACTCCTGTATCGTACTCGATCTTCCCCCTAGGGGTGCAAACCGATCACCCTTAAGTGGTCGTCGATTAAAATATTATTCCCAGACCCGCGAACGGGTTAAGCGGGAAAAGCCACCCCCTCGATGAGTTTACCCTCGCCGCTGATGCACGGCGCATAGCAAACGGGCCTCGCTGTGCCGTTAATGGTAATGATTTACGGCGCCCCCGTAAACGCAGAGATCCTCTCCTGTCCACCCATTAGCAAAAAGGAAGTCCCGGATGACAGGGTGCACCCTGACCGGGCCGCGAAATGGACGATAACCTTTATTGCCCCCACGATACGGTCCGTCGCACCGACGTGTAACGAGCCACCTCGAAAATGACCGTTTACGTCCCCGCGCCTCCGTCGACCCTCCGCGGTCGCCCGGTAAATCGACGCGCGTCTTCCTTTCCGCTCGGCATTCCCCGCCGATCGATTTCCGGGGCCGTCTTCGGGCGAGCACGCCGATTCCCAAATCGGACGACCGAGTTCCGCCGTTTTACGGATCCTCCGGTTTATGGTGGAGGGACAAGGACCCGGGTTAACGATCGGGTGATGATATACGAGAGAGATCGAAATTCGATCGTCCTCCCTCTAGAAATTATAATGAAATTAAATCGAGAGTATCTAGGTTCATATTGAGATTTAATAAAATTGGAACGACGAAAGTGGGACGTCTTGTATTTATTTCGGGTGACTTTAGCGCCTTTAATATGTCAGTGGGTTCTGTTATAGTGGAGGATTATTGTCGCTATCGTTGCATCGGATATTTGGGGCTTTTTTGATCGTCCTCCCTCTAGAAATTATAATTAAATAAAATCGAGAATATCTGGGTCCATCTTGAGATTTAATGAAATTTAAAAAGTGGGACTTTTTTTTTTATCTCGGGTGACTATAGCGCCTTTAATTTGTCAGCGGGTTTTGTTACAGTGGGGGATTATCGTTGCTATCGTTGCGTCGTATGTTTGGGGCTTTTTTGGTACTTGTTCAATGAACATCGAGATATATCCGGATGGCTCGAAGCGTGGGTGGGTAAGTGTTGCGTGTCGGTCGGGGGTTGTGGCGAAGACCGGCCGTTTCCCCATTAAGTTTCTAAAGCCGGAGCCAAGGCAGATCCCGATCGCGGATCCCGGACGGAAATTCCGTCCAACTTCTAGGGGGATTATTCCAAGTCGAGCGAAACCCTAAACCCTGCCCTCGAGAAGTCTCTTCCTCCACTTCCTCATCTTCCCCGCGCTCGGCAAAGAAGAGAGGGACCTCTCCGCGGTGCCAGAAGGTGGAAGTCAGAGTTCGCGATCCCCTCTTTCGATCTAGAATTAAAACCAATCACCCGGGGGCTCTTTAAACCCTGGAAGCGATCCAAATCCATCTTTCCGCGGTCCTCTCCGCCTCGTATTCCGCATTTCTGGCCGCCACCCGGAGTGAAAAAAATTGCCCTCGACGAGTCCGACTACCCTACCTCGCCCGATCGCAAAAACCGGAAGCTAGACCCCGTGTTTTCCTATATCATAACTTCCCTTTCACGAGAGTGACTCTCCCCGGGCGTTTCGGCCCACTCGAGGCCACGTCATTCACCCTCTCCCTCGCCCTCCCCCCGCCCTCTCACTTTCTTCCTCTTCCGTCCGCTCCACGACTCGGCAAAAAAATCCCCCCCAAAGAATCTAAATAAATCCTCCATTCCGTGGGCTCCGCGAATCGTTGCGTTTCATCTTTTTCCCTAGAATCCCCCAATTTCGACGTACTACGTTTGACCGTTCCATACGTACCCCCAGGCGGCGAAAAATGGGGGATTTCTGGGGGAAATTCCCGTGGGAGCAAAAATGGTCAAATTCTAAGGTACTGCCCAGAAACTGGCCGGGTGAAAATGAAAATATGTTAAATCGAGCTGGGGCTCGAATCGTCGTTTCCTAAATCCCCGAGACCCTGGAGGGTGAAAATGAAAATCTGAAAATCTAAAAATCTGAAAATCTGAAAATCTGAAAATCTGAAAATCTGAAAATCTGAAAATCCATCTGGGGCTCCAATAATTGTATCCGGGGATCGCGGGAAATTCGCGAGAGCCCAGAAGGTCACGGGGGGTGAGAATAAAAATCTGAAAATCTAAAAATCTGAAAATCTGAAAATCTGAAAATCTGAAAATCCAGTTGGGGCTCCAATAGTCGTATCCGGGTATCGCGGGAAATTCGCGAGAGCTCAGAGGGTCGTGGGGGGTGAGAATAAAAATCGAGAATTCGAGCCGAGGCTCGTCGAATCATTTCCGGGGATCGCGGAAAATTCGCGAGGGGTTAGAGGGACGCGGGGGTCGCGGGGGGTCTCCCATGGCCGGGGGCGAATGGCTCGCCTCGCGGCGGACGAGTCCGAAAGACCAACCTGTTACTCACTCGGAGTGGTCCGGGTGTGCGCCCGCGAAACGCGCCCTTCCTCAGGAACCGTTCGAAGCAGGTAGGCTGCCCGGCTCGCACTGCCCGGCACTGCCCGGGTTTCGCGTATCCTCCGCGCACCTCCTCCCTCCGCCCGACCGTCGCGCCCCCTGTCGCTCCCCCTGTCGCTCCCTATGGCTGCCTGTTTTTCCATGTCACCCCTGTCGCCCCGCCTGCCGGAATCGGGCACCGACAGCAGCCTCCCGATGAATAAAAACCGCTTTTCACCGGATTATGACTTTTCCCCGGTGCCGGGGCGAATCTACTTACGCGGCGATACCCTGCCCCCCCTGCGGCCGATTACGGGGGAATTCGTTAAAACCGGCAGTGCCCCTCAACCTCGCCCGGGCTCCCCGGGGGAAGGACCAGGAAGGTCCTGAAAACTCGAAATGGAGAGTAGGAAAGGAAACGCGGTTTCCCCGTTTTCGCATTCATTTTATTTCCCCCTGCCCCCTGTCGCTTTGACGCGACGTCGATGACTCGCTTCTGGGTCGATAGGGCCGAAGCGGCGCCGAACGTCGCGATGCAATTCTTCTAATGGATCGCCGCAGTCTCGGCCTGCTGGAAATTTGAGAAATGGGGGTCGGACACCTCGCCGCCAGGAGTGAAACGTTTCCGGAGACATTCAGGGCCCCATCAATTTTCGTTCTGACGGGGATGGCCGTGCTTCTTGTGTCGGTCGGCCGATGGAGGTAGGGTATTTTCAAGTGGACCGACGAGTGTCGGCGGAATTGCTCTCGGAGGGGACGTTTCCTGTTCGAGGGGATGGAACGATTAATCGGGTGCTCTGGAAAATACGGCGAGAAATTTCGACGGAGAACCGTCCAACGAACCCTTTTCCCCCGAGGACGCGGGAAACGAATTAAACGGAAGTAATGTCGTTAATTCGTTGTTATTCCTTCCTTTATACGCCACTAAACATTGACGACGTTATTAACCGGGTTTATAAGGCTCGGTGATTAAAAGGTGTCGTACGGGTGAAAAGAGGTACTGCGAAGCGGAACCTTCGGTCCTGTCTTCAATTATTATATAATCCATTGTCTGCTGTTTGTATACGCTTTGTTATATTTTCCTGCATAATATCGTTACGTAATTCCAGGAAAGACTCAGCTGGTAACGGCGGAATCACTTTCTTCGAAATCACCTGTTACAACCAGAAAGTTGAGGGTAGTATTCCGACCCACCCCTCACCCCTTGGACAAGGGGTTTGTCTTGGCCTAGTCACCCGCTCCTTATATACTCCTAAGCGCGCCTCCCTTGTCGGAAATAGCCGAAGTACCACGAAGGTTGACGACTAGGTCGCGAATGGAGGTTTAGTATGGATATAGGAACTGCATATATGACTACGTCCATGAGCCTCCACATCGACACCGCTGGGACCTCTTATCGAGTTTCCCCACCTTCGTATACCGGACTAACTAACAGAGCAGATGTCGCCAGTGTCGACGACAGGTACGGGTCAATTAACGAATAGATCAATTATTGCTGTGACGCAAATTTCTTGGGAGGCTACGATAAAGAGGAATGCACGGAGAATGTGTAAATAAAAATACTTGATTGAAATAAATATACCTCATTTGACTCATGTAACGTAGCGTAAGCTGCCACCATACGTTTGATGTTAATGAAGTTAGATATAAAGGATTTTATATAATCTTACATTACATAAAAATACACAGAACAATATTAGAACTATAAGGGCCCATGTAAAAATGTTATACGATCATCTCGAGCTCTCTCGCATAATCTATTGCAAGGGTGATCAAATCGGAACTAGGTACGGGCTCTTCACACTTCTTTTCGTGAGGTGCGTTAAAGTAGAAGTATCCATCCTTGGCCAGATTCCAGTTTTTCTTTGCAGCGAAAGCTCTGGTTTCTTTCTCGGTGCTTAGGTTCAGCATCCTTGATGCGACTTTAATGGAGATCTTGTCGTACGCATTTTCCATACATGCACCGATCTCGTCACGTACTGTATTAAGTAAAATGTCAATGAAGAAATTGTAAGAAGCAGCAGGTACGTTGCCTTTCGCCAGGAAGATCTTGTTATACGATCCCTCCATTAGGTATTGTTCCAGACTGAGTGGGTGTCGAATGTAGACATTAGATTGGATTTGGTCGGATGGTAGTAGTTCTAATTCCGTGTGAAATTCGGCCACTCGGTTTTGCGATAGGAGGAAGAGAAGGTTCAAGCCAAGCAACTGATACTTGTACGCTGACTCTGACAGTTCTGATTTGTAATCAAAGTAATAGCACTTGAGCTGGGCCATGTAGCGCTCGAAGGAAGGTATGTCTTCGCTTGCGATACTCCATTGTGCACCAATTTCAAGAATATCGCCTATAATATTTTTAACAAGAGATTATTCTTTAGAAGTACACCGGAGATACTAATTATTGCAAAGTAAAAAGTATGCAGCATTACTTACGTGCAATCAGCAGTTCTTTTTGAGAAGCTGTGCTATTAGAAGTAGGCAAGAACATTAAATGGGTAAGCCCGACCTGCAAAAATAATTTCCCAACTTGACAATTGACGTGACATGGAAAAAAAAGACGATGTTACGTTAAATAACTTTAATAACATTGCAGTATGTGCATGATATTTCATTTTGATGTCGGAAACGGTGAGGTTAGGATGCCTTTCTCGTATCATACGAGCGCAGAAATCATAAACTTCGATTTTTCAGTTACCTTTAATTGGGCAAGTAATTCGCCGCATTTTTTCAAATTACAAGGAGTCTTTGTCCATTCTTGTTTCAATGTTTGATATAACGAGACAACTTGCTTGAGCGCCGCCATTTTTGTCTCAGGTTTAAGATAAAGCGCTGATCACGGTCGTAGAATGAAACGTTGATGTAGACCACGGACCAGAGATGAGTTGGGAGATTGCTCACGGGCAGGGTCGCGCGATCGCATCGTCTGCTGCCCTCTGGTTTCGTACGTTAGCTTTCACCGTTTTTCGCGCGACCCTGCCCGTGAGCAATCTCCTAACTGCTCCCAACTCATCTCTGGCTTATAAGCTCTCTCTTATAAGCAGAGTCACCCTGCTTTGGACACCACAGTTCATGCCTATAAGAATTGACGAATTATCCGATACTTTCTCCATCTGGTGGATATTTGAGAAGCTCATAAAGTACACGTGACTGCGTCAATGCCAGACGTCAAACGGCGCAGAACGCGAGGACAGTTGCTGACGTTAGTGTTTGACTTGGCGAGTGAACGTGAGATGTCATTGAAGAGACGACAGTGAATTCTCTCTTTGATAAAGATATTGTTATAACGAAAACAATGGCTGTTACGGAAACGGACGCTTTCTCCCAAAAAATGCGACGCGCCACGAGAGAAATACACGCTGTCAGTGATGCTCTGGTAAATGCTAAACTAGTACTTGGTAAGATGTTTTGATTTGCAAAGATTTCACTTTTGGAGCATAACTTTTCCCAGAAAATATGCGATCTCATTGCAAATATTATATTCATAAATATGACACTTGCTGATGACATCTATTATTTTTAGACAAGGGGTATATATGCTATTATACGTTTAAACATGGTTAACAAAGGACTTGTTCTTTACTTTTGTATAACTTTGTTAATTCGGTTCCCCAGGATTTTCAGACAATGCAGTATGGGCGGATGGTCTGCTCGTCTTTTACGAAATCTTTCGATTTCTAGAAGGAGCAATGGTTAGGTTAAAAGACACTAAAGTTGGATTATTCAGAATACCAGCTCTTCAGCGGACGGAAGCATTCGAGCAAGATCTTGAATTTTATTTAGGAAACGGATGGAAGAAGAACTATGCTCCAAGGTAAACTAGGAATTACTATGCATTGTAGACGAAATGGAAAAACGAGATTAGCAATGATGATAAATTTGGTTTGGATTAACTTAATTTCTTTTTAATGCTGTAGGGAAAGTGTCATTAAATATCTGATGCGATTAAGAGAAGTGGAGGACACGGATCCAATGCTATTAATGGCATATATCTATCACCTTTATATGGGTCTTCTCAGTGGTGGGATTATTTTGCGTAAAAAGAGACAATTTATACAAAAGTTCTTACCAAATAAAAGTATTAAAAGTAATAGTGGTGACAAAATAACAGATTTTGGTGATGCGAATATCTTTGAACTAAAGAGTGAACTTCGCAGTACGTTGAATAGAATAGCAGAAACCTTGGATGAGGACACGAGAAATAAACTTATCGAAGAGAGCGGAATTGTCTATACATTAAATAATGAAATTATTAGAAGTGTCAAAGGAGCAAATACTGTAGTAATTAAGAAAGCAATCTATTTCATTAGTATATTGATCCTCAGCTTTCTAGTCTTCTTAGCTGTATCAAAGTGAATTTCATGCTAGCAATATTCTCTTCATTCCAGTTGTATGTAAATACTTACAAATTATTCTGATCTTCATAAATAAATTATGACTATTTTTTTATATGTGTAATAAATTAAACACTAACTGAATTAACCAATCACGTCAACTAAAAGAGTAATGCTTATAATTTATTGGCGAGCAATGGTTTGTTCCAAAATGGCAGTAGAATAGCTCATAAAAGAAAATGTATAAAAGAACAGGAGTATTTACGAACATAATTAGAAGCAAAGAATATCGACTTCATAATAAATGTAAATAAAATCTTCCAGAGTTCCTTACTCGCAAATATCTTTCATCATACAAATATGCAATCTCAAAAGTTCAAATTATTCAATGCAAAAAGAAAAATTTTTTTCAGGTCAGTAAGTTATGCGGTAATGCGGTCACCTGACACAAATCGTAATTCAATCAATGAATTGTATTTATATCATGTCTTAAGAACATCTTCAAATATTACGCAATATCATAACAATTCATTATCACATGATACATCTAATACTGAATTAGAATTGTTTCCGCATGACTTTCACTAGCTCCTTGAACTAGACGGTTCTAGTTAAATATTAAAGCTACGCGGATTTAGAAATGATTCCTTTCATGTAGGAATGTTCTTATCTAGCTGGAAGCACCATTCACCGGTACACTTTTCACACAAACCCTGGATATTCAGGATTAAATGTCTTTCTTAGAAAAATTACACATAATCACATGTGAAGGTTGACTTTTTAGTCGCTTTGATATTCCTTATTTTCAAGTTTATAGACAATTTAGTATGGCTCGTCTATCAAACTTAAAATGTGTCCAAATTGGGCAGCCAAACTCAAAAAACTGTTCAGGTCTTACGAAATAACTTGTCGTAATAAATGGTGACATATTAAATCCCATTGTCATAATTGAAGGTGGTACCATCGTTATATCTGAAGGTAATTTTTTAGCGACATCCCCAAATAATAGGGACTTTATATTTCCATCTGGTAGCAGCTTATTATGAGGACTTTGAGACATTGTTGTATCACCTGTATGACATTTTTCATCAGTAAACAAATTAAATTCAAATTACTCTGAGTAAAAAGTTACCTTTCTTCTCCTTTTCTGTTAATGGTGTGTTTGTGCTATAAAAGTCATTACATTTAATCGATTGTATTGCTGGGTCTCGCAAGACCAAATGAGGCTCAGCATTCTGAGGGCTATCAATTAGTTGCTTTGCAAGTGGTGAATTATCATCTCCCATTTCACTGAATAAATTTCTCTTAAATGCAGCTCTTGCTGGTGTATTTTTAGCTTCGTATGTACCACGTCGATTACGTATCGGTGAAGTATTTGATTGCTTTATATTTTTAAAATCTGGAATTTCACTCTGTAAAGTGTGAAAATTCAAGTTTAATTTATTCCATTAGAAATTCAGGAGCAATGTTAAAAGTATGTTCTACCAGAAAGATTATACATCTGATTGTGAAGATTTACCTGAACAGATTGAGAAAACATTTGTGTTTGTCGTTTACTTTTTGATACAGTTTCAACATCGCCCATTGACTTGTGACGTTGTCTACGTATCAGTAGATTCTTGTCCCGCTGATGTTTTTCTAGGACCCATCGTTTCATTCGTCTATAATACAAAGAGAAACTTTGTTTTTCGAGATCATGTATCTATTAAAATTAATTACATCTTGACTTACTTTACAAATGGGAGGACCATGAAAAAGGCATTCGTTCCCACCCCGATTTTTACTTTTGGTGTTTTATCCTTTTTAGTATTAGGTAAATCAGCAAGAGAAAACCATTCAACATTTTTAATTTCTTTGCGTGTTTTTGGTTGAAATTTCGTATCTTTTTGAACACCTGATATTATATATAATCTAACCAATTGATCATTTATGGTAGATTCAATAAATTCATTCTTATCTATTAAGTTCGAGATATCAAATCCTGTTTCTTCTAAAACTTCACGAACTGCACAATGGGATGGATCTTCATCCTCGTTAACCTTTCCTTTTGGAAAGCCCCATCCACTTCGTGCCCAATAGCTTTGTACCAAAAGAACTTTTGTTAAATCTTCATTCAAGACAATTGCACCGAATGTGGGTACATTTTGTTTATATTCACGCCACTGTTCCAAAATGGTATCTATTTGCCCCACGTGTGTTTTCAGAAATGGTATGTGCTGAAAAATATGCATGGCAAATTCCTTCATGCCACATGACTTCAGTTTCGGATTTTCTTCGGTGCAATAAAAATCCAAGTAAAACCAATGCGCCAGCTCAATTTGAAAGCAAATTCTGATGAGGTCTTTTCTTTCCTCCTCCGGCACGTTAATGATAAACCGACTGCAGTCAAATAAAAGATATTTAAAGATATACACAAATATTGCAGAATACATAGAATCGTACAGCACAAGAGCAAGAAAACAGATGAACAAAATAATCTCAAAAAGATCAACTACCAAAGTGAAAAGCGACAAAAATCGTATGGTTATTCCTGGACTCTTGTTCAAATAACATTTCGATAATTTTGTACTGTTTGAAAATCGCCAAATCCCTATGTAATAAATAGAAATTACTAACCTGCTAAGATCGTCGAGAATGTCTTTCGGGATCGAATGCTCAGCCATGTCGCCTGCGTTCGTTTTTCGCTGTAAGACCGATAGGAAAGAAATACGCTTCAAATTCCGAAGGATCCGTTAAATTGAACAAAAATGTCCTTCAAAATCTTGTGGCCGGTAAGAAATTCAAGATATTTTTCAGGTTTTTCATAACTGCGCAGTTCAGCGTGTTCCGTGCGTCCGCCATGAAAATTGGCTTTGTGACGTCAGTGATAGGAAAGATGGCGTCAAGTAAAAGTCAACTGAATGGCAGGTCCTCGAGTTGCTTTAGAAAATATCGAATTTTCGTCGTATTCGTTGGAACTATATTGTGTGTACAATTATACCTAGCATACACATTTTTCGCCTTAGAAAATGAGGATCGAAGGACTGCTAGACTATTTTCAGGAGAAGTAAGTATAGGTTAACTCATTGTAGTGACAGTAATAAGCTGTAATTTTCTCTTGTTATTCATTAAGTATGACATAGAGTAGTGCTCTAAATTAAAGACAAAGTGGTTATGGTAGCGAGTATTTCATGAATTACTGTCAATGAGACATAATAGGTCTTCAATTTGTTCCGTTTGCTAGGGAGCCACTTCTCAACCTGAAGAAAGTGAAGGTTTACCGAAGGGATCCCGTCAGTTGAAACTACCGCCCGATAAAACACAGAATTTAAATAAGTCTCATCAAACAATTCGTAATCGTACAATTAGAGTGAAACTCGATAGGAACTCATTGAATTTTACACCTATGTGTGATGTAACCGGGAGGGAGGCTGTCAGTGCTATAACACGTGCACAAAGCCAAACGTGTAAAGAACGCATTGTCAATGTGACGTGCCTTAGTCAACAGGGTTTACTGTACCCTAAAAAAATACAGTCTTTCTGCCCACACTCCTTGGGTTTCATAGAAGTACCAAGAAGCCTGGGATGCTTTAAAGATGATAAGACTCATAGAATACTTTCTGGTTATTATGCTGTTTTTAAGGGGAACAATTCTCCAGTACATTGTGCTTATTTGTGTTTGCAATCTGGATATCCGTATGCTGGTATTGAGTATTCGTTAGTATCGCAACTATAAAATCGATAGGTGTCGTCGGGTTGGCTTTAATCTTTATTACTTTGCAGCGTTGAGTGTTTCTGTGGAATGGAAGAACCCTCGCGTGTAAAACGTTTACCAGATTCTAGCTGTAATATGAAGTGTCCTGGGAATCCAAAAGAAACGTGTGGTGGTTATTTAACTATTAATATTTTCCATACTGGCATTCAGAGTAAGTCCCAATAAAAATCTTATATTTATTTGATATCTGAAGTATTGTATACTAATTAAATCCTTTGTATTATATTTAGTCTTAACTTTCATTACTCTAAAGTCATAGTATCACATTAGCCTCATATAATCTGTGTTCATTTTTCATATAATATATTAGAATTTAAAGCCCAAGAAGCAAGAAACTCAAGTTCAAGAACTGGAAAAGAGAAACCAGCACGTATAGCATATTTGTTGACTGTAAATGGTAGAGCTAGTCGTCAAGTAAAACGGCTAATCAGTATTCTTTATCAACCATGGCATCTTTTTTACATACATGTCGATGCGGTAAATAGAATTGGGCGTTGTGATTGTTATTTTGTTACACGATAAAAAATAACATTGTTTTGCTTTCAGAGGCAAGATTATTTGTACCGGGAGATGTTGGAGATGGAAAAAAATTGCAAAGTAAAGAACATATGGGTAGCAAAAGGGGAGGGTTTACGCCATGCAAGTATTTGGGGCGGAGCAAGTCTTCTAACGACTCTTTTGAGTTTAGCACGTGAAATGCTTGTCCATGTACATCAGTGGGATTTTCTTGTAAATCTGTCAGAATCAGATTTCCCTGTAAAAAGCGATGCACGTCTTACTGAATTTTTAGGTTGGAATAGAGGTATGAATTTCGTGAAGTCGCACGGTCGAGAAGTTCAGCGTTTTATCACCAAGCAAGGCTTAGATAAAACATTCGTAGAGTGCTCTGCACGTATGTGGCGAGTTGGTGATCGGAAACTTCCTAATGGTAAAGTAACCCTGCATACTGTTAATTTATGACAAGACTTCAACAATATTTTTATAAAACATTACCTTAAAAATTAGACCAATGATTTGAAAATATTTATAGGAATCCAGATAGATGGTGGCAGCGATTGGGTAGCATTGAGTCGTGAATTTGTGGAGTACGTTACGGATCCCAATCCAGATCCTCTGGTGTCTAAATTGCTAATATTATTTCAATACACCTTATTACCAGCAGAATCGTTTTTCCACACGGTCTTGCGCAATTCACGATTTTGCGACACCTATGTTGACAATAACTTACACGTGACTAATTGGAAGAGGAAATTAGGATGCAAGTGCCAGTATAAGGCAGTGGTCGATTGGTGCGGATGCAGTCCGAATGACTTCAAATTGGAAGATTTTGGTCGTTTGAGAAATACTGCTGATCGAAATTTGTTCTTTGCTAGAAAGTTCGAACCCATAATTGACCAAAGGATCATCGACAGAGTAGACGAGTGGTTATATCCTGAGAGAGCTAACGAAACGAGGCACATGAAGGGATACGATGCATACTGGCAGAGTTTGTATCATCATGCAGATTTAAGCCCACCAGCTGATGATGCATTACTGACAGTTGCTCATTCATTGGCGAGATCAGTTTTTCGAAAGTTCAAAGCAGACATCGATGAGGTTAAACTGCTAGAGACTACAGCGTATTTTCGTGAGAACAACTTCGTCGGTATTCTTGTTCGTGCCGAGGCCAGTACTAAGGCATTCGAATCGTCTACTTTCCAGAGTGATTTCCCAGAACACATTGAATCTCTCATTTATTTAAAGCGTAACTTTTCCACTAGTAGATCCTGGTTGGGAAGGATACAAAGTCTTGTAGTCAATACGAACTATGATCAAAAGGAGCAAACGTTCAGGAACTTGATAGGAAGCATAGGGCCTATGTCTAGTCCTGTTTTGGCCTATCAATTCGATGCAGGACTTGCAACACCAAGGAATTTGACAGTTTTGTGGGTTGATCCGAGAGGACGATTGGCAAACGTTAACCATTTACAATTAGATGAATTACCATTGGTAAGCTTCAGATAGTTACATGTATTTATTATGCTTGAACAAAAAAGTGACAATTTTTACATTTTTTTACAGTCAGGATATGCGAAGCCACAACTCGAAGAACCACTGGTGGTAGGCAAATGGCGATTGCTGTTGGTAGCTGATTCAATATTTGTGGCTAAATTAAATTTTCTCGTAACGCCTTTGTCTTATTGGTCCAATCGGAAAATAAATGATCAAAAAGCCAGAGCAATACACAACGGTCCAGAAACTTCATATCATGCTGTTGAGGACAATGATAAATGGATGAAATTATTAAAATCCGTATTATTTTCTGAAGTCAACGCAGGAGCCTCAGACATTGAGGAGAGAACCGGACCAGAACTCGATTGGTGGATAGACTTATTAGTTTCCGACTATTATGAAATCGACAAAGTTTGCTATGCTACGAACTCATCTAAGTCCAAGGCGAAACTACAAAAGTGTTCCAATACGGACTGGAGCTCTCTGAGTCCTGACCCAAAGTCTGATACACAAAACCTGTGTCAAAAATAATATTTAATTTACCAAAAACGTGCCATTCCCTACACAAACATATGCGACCTGGTCGCTTCCCTGTAAATAATTATCAATTTTCTTAGATATTTTTATAACGATTATGCCTGTATATACCGTATTATACCTGTATTTATAAAAGTATACACAATGATTGACCTACGTCGAACAATGACATTTTTCCTCGGTGACCAAGGTTGGGTAATTCCTCATTTTTTGAGGTGTTGAACATATATTACGTAACAAAGTAGTTTACCGTAGACAATCGTAGAAAACCAATAAATTACATTTTTAATATGAAGAATACCAAAGATGGACGATATACGGCTTCTGCTAAGTTAAAAACGTCTTTTAGCACATATCTAAAGACAAATATTTTAAGGAACAATAAATTAAGGGATCTCCTGGGGGGGTACCCCACGAAGCAGACGAAACGCTCGTCGGTGAGGTATACGTTGAATATACACGTAGAAAAGCACGTATATTACATGATGTATTATATTCACCCAATCCTGGTTATGATTTTGAGCTCACGGCAGTTGTTTCTAGGGAATGCGTTCGTAAACCCAAAGGATATATTGCTCTGAATTGCAACAGAGGAAGTAATGTCCCTAGGTTGTGGTGCCCGACTGATTTCTGGGAAGTCTAGGAAGTTTCTCGCAAGATGTCGGGGGATGTTTTGCGCGACGACCCGCTGCTATACTCTCGGACGAAATGACTTGCTTGTCGTGGCGAGCGCTTGCTAAATTTCGGCCTAAACTAAATTCCAGAGTGCTGTAAGGACTCCCGCGAGTGTGAAATAAACTTCTGGATGTGCCCCCTTTGAGGTACAACAGTCAAGAGGGCAGCCCTCCGGTAACGGTGGAAGTACGCGCGGACTGCTCACCGAGTTTGGGACGAAAAAAATTTAATTGCATATACCCAGTGGGACCGCTCAAAAAAAGAGGATAACTAGGAACGAGGATTCTCTTCAGACAGTTGCTCAGTACAGGACCTGGAATGGGAGCAAAAACGAGTACCGTATCACACCCTACTGGGGGCAACGGCCAATCCTCAACAGGAACGGATGAGGATCCGATGCAGGGTTTCTCAATGTTACGTTCTCTACCGGGGGCGATGCTGCAGTCTCAGCACCAACAAGGAAGCCAGTCGCAGACTCCGAGAGTAGCAGGAGACAGTAGACAAAGAGCTCGCTCGCTGAGTTCCGTTCCGGACCTCTCTTCTGGAGAACAAGGACCCATCGCTGCCTCGGTAGGCGTTTCGGTTGGACAGGCCCTAGGCCTTGCACAACTTGACTTGGATGATGCCGACGAAGACGGAGGTCGAGTCTACGCTGCCCATAGCTTGCCTGCCCATATTTGGGCCCTCAATGGTATGCTTTACTTTTATAAAAAGTATATCTAATTGTAAACGCTGATTTTTTCTTTTATGGCAACATAGTTAAATTTTTTAAAGACAGCAAAGCATCTTTTTAATATAACTAAGAGAATGATGACATCATGGTATTGCACGGATTAAACGCAACGACTGAGTTCCAAATAGTGAGACCTAGTTCCATGGCATGTGCTAAAATAGCTTCTCTCGTTTATTCAAGATTATTATAGGGTCAAAGTTTCTAGAGCAGTACTCTTTATTTGGAATACATAATTTTTTCTGTGACGTATTAATTCGCTCGATAAAGCTGTCTTACTTTTGACGTAAAACGTTTTTCGTCTCCGGTCGTTCTTATGATCAATTGTACGATCATAATCGGAGGTCTAACCTAGCTTTAACTTGGAAGCGGTTAGGTTATGTCCGCAACTCCCTGTTCGCCGAGTCCACGGTGCGTAGCTTGCGGGTGGGACAGGGGGCGTTTGTTTTGGCGCGTGTTGTCGGGATGGTTGGCCTAGTAACCGGGTACAATCGATCATGGATTGCGTGAATGTGTAAATTTTAAATCGTAAACGAATATTTAACCTTTCAAGAGGAATTTACGAGAATGTGAATCGCGGGAAGTTGTTTGTGCTTTAGAGGGATGGGTTACTTTAGCTTAGGTCGGGTTTATTATGGGAATTATAGTGAGCTCGTGTTTGAACGAATCCGAGACAGAAGTCGTACCGACTCATCGTGTCAGAAGAGTATTTTATGGTATCTTTTTTTATCTATTCTTTTTTATGGGCATGACAATGGAATTCCAATTTGAAGTGTACAATGTGTGTTTAGGTCTCAAGTGTCCTGTGTGCTCCAAATTCATCCTACCCAACGATATCGAATGTCACCTGGTCATGTGCCTGACCAAACCACGTCTCAGTTATAATGGTGAGTTGTTTAATATGTCAGATTAGTGACTTTTAAAACAGTTATTTATCCGTTTAACAAGGATACCTTTTAATGTATTTTTATTGTGCAGAGGACGTACTAGCGGACAAAAAAGGGGAATGCGTCATTTGTTTGGAAGAGTTGCAACCCGGAGATGTGATAGCTCGTTTACCCTGCCTCTGCATATATCACAAAAAGTATTAATTATTTTTCTTTTGTTTGCGTCGTCCCTCTTATATAAAAAATAATAAAAGTAGAGGTAATAACTAGAAACATTGTTACAGCTGTATCGACAAGTGGTTTCAAGTGAACCGCAGCTGCCCTGAGCATCCTGGTGACTGATTTGTACTTGCCAATACAGGGAAAAATCATGAAACAAAAATTTTGGCCCGTGCGTTGCTGGCGTCGGCGGGACACGGAACGGAGGAAACGGCAGAAATAAAAAAAAAACTAGTCAAGAGTGCCGCTAGTCCGCGATGGTGATTCGTGTACACAGCGATCATTCTACCGAATGAGACTCGATCGAATCGAATGTAAGGACAGATACCTAACTCGATCCTTAACTCTACCGCTAAGAGAGGGACATAAAATCGCCATAAGATTCAACAATGCAATGCTATTATCTATACGTATATATAATTAATCTATTACTGCTCTATCGCTTACTATCAATTGTACCATATTTATAAATTTGACTTAGTTTTACATCTTGCAGTCGATCTAGCATTAAGCGAGACAGTGACTATTGGTTAATTTTGTTTTCTTTGGAGAAGGGGGCTACAGGACGAAGCATAGTTGAACAAAAAGGATCTGCGTAGCGGGCGGGTGAGCTCTATCTTAGATAAGTTGTACTTTTAATGATTTTACTACCAAGACGATGTATCGTTTTTGTTGTTTGTTGGGGGATGAGTGCTAGAAAGGATATTTTTGATACTTTCATAAAAGGGGGAGCCAGGATGTATAAGAGACTCGAGTGGAGGATTTGTCATAATGCTGTTGATGCTGTAGTAATAATAAAGGTTCTGATTTAACCTTCGCTACTTGCACACTGAACTTTGCTCTGGTAATGCATATGTACGTCGTCTCTATTGTGCATGGCATGTTACAGTTTATCGTTCTTTCTATGTTTCCAGCGAGCGTCGAGTTCTTTCAACCGTTTAAGTGCGTAGTAGGGTACGTGACGCATTCTCACAAGTGGACGAGCGAAGAATCCTGCACTCGACATACCTGTTCCTACCCATGGTCCAAGGTCAGACGGATCAACGGCCCCTGTCTAGGGATTTTTTCCGAAGAGTCGACGTTGTTGCCAACCTCGTAGGCGGAAATATTCGCGGAGAAGATCCGCGCGGAATTTGGAACGCCCTCAGGGTCATGCGAACTGTGGCGCAGCGCGGGGTGGTGCAGAGGGGAGTCGCGAATGTGGGAGAGGATTTTCAAAGTTTTGAGGTTATAACGAGTGTTAAGCAGGCGCCGAGACGTGGTGAGCCCAGCTGAAACGGCGAGCCGCGAGTCCTACCGGCGAAGGTGTGCGTCCGGAAACACTTTGGAGTCTCGTGAAGAAAGCCCGGAGCTCGAACATGAGAGTGTTTAGGCTCCCTAGCAAGTGAACCCAAGTCGGAAATGACGGCTCCAAGTATTCTTAGGGCAATGCGGGAGCACAGGATGGCCGATCTGGCCGTTTGACGAATAATTACGAGTTCGCGGGTGGATATCTGGTGATACTAACGGGTGAAAATGGTAAAGGAGAGACCAAATTCAATCCGCATTTACGACTCGGATGGGTACAAACGCAGAGCAGCATGCATCTGCGTCAGGAACGACCTCGAGGAGGAGGTAGGCCAACAGAGGGCACAGCTTTTATTTGTTTATTACTGTGCTGCGACGGAGAACCTCATTTGAAATGTCACTAGCAATAAAGCTCTGTAATCTGAGGAGGGTGTCGATATCGATGATATATTACAAGCGTTATAAGAATTGAACTAAGACATGTAAGATATAACCTAGTAGGGTGTTTAACCATATAGGGATTACAAGATAAAGTTTAAAAGGAATTCTAGAAATCAGTAGTGACATTCAATGGTATTTAAATAAGGGTTGGGTAATCTATATTTTTTTTGACGTGAAATTTTAGAATGTCATAATGTGACGGGTTGTATATAAAATGAATACAAAGAGCATCGATGTTAAACTAACATTAGCAATGGTTTCTTAGTAAGGCAAGAAATGTCATACAATTAAAATATCAATTACTTTTTTTTTCATTTGTTTAATAAAGGTGCTTCTGGTAACATCCAGTAGAAGGCCCGACAACTGGGTGGTACCGGGTGGAGGTGTGGAACCAGAAGAGGAACCAGCGGTGACGGCACTTCGAGAAGTCAGAGAGGAGGCTGGAGTTCTTGGTCAATTGGGTCGTTGCCTTGGCATATTCGAGGTTAGCACTTGTTAGTTAATATATTTTTTTTTTGTAACAAATTCAAGCCACATTTATATGTTTTTTTACAAGTTGTGTGACTGATGATTAATAACTATAAGTCAAGGCTAGCGCTAAAATGTACTGTGTAAAATTATGACATGGTTATGTTCAACAGAGCGTCGAGCAGAAACATAGAACGCAAGTATGGGTGATGCGAGTAACTGAAGAATTGCCAGAATGGGAGGACTCGCGTGCCATAGGTCGTAAACGAAAATGGTTCTCTATACCAGAAGCTCTGTTCCAGCTCGCTCAGTTCAAGCCCGTCCAGAGCTCTTACTTGCACAGCCTCCGTAATTCTAACCCTTGCCATATTAATCCCGGCAGTCCTCCGTCTCATCATCCTCATACTCCAGCAGCTCCCATTCAGCTCATGAACAATTCCGGTACCAGTCCCCACCTTAATAAACACAGCTAATACTACGTACCATTCGTTTGCATTAGCATCGCCGTTGAACTCTGAAACTTATCCACTGCATCTCCTATTTGCCCTTTCAGGATCACAACAATTATTATCACTGTATTTTATACATTAAACTATAATAATGATACTATTACCATTATTATTAATATAGATTGATAATAAACTGGTCCACAAAGGGGCAGTTTTCCTAACTTTCTATTCGCAGATTTTGTTGCGGCTTTAGAAACTGCTGAAACCGTTAAAAACTGCTACAAAATCTGTCAAATCAATCTCTTATATCTTTTTATTTTTACATGATAAAAAAAAATTACAATCGAGAAGATACAAATCATTGGATATAGTTAGAAAAGATTTAATTTGGAGTAAGAATAAATTTGAAGTAGAAAAAATGTGACTGTATATTGATATTTTAATTTGTTCTGGTTTCGTCAATCATTTTTATTGGCATATTTACAAGGACAAATGGGTATGTAGGATATAATTTAACTGGTTTTAAATATTGTATTTAAATTAAACATTGAAGTTATACAAGAAGAACGTAGTACTTATAGCATTGACATATACGCGCTATAGTAACATGTATAGAGAGCATAGTAATATACGTAGTTCGGCTTTGGATGCATTTGGATTCGTCCATTGCGATCTCGCCCTGGTGGCACGTGTTCGCACGAGGTTGAACGCGCAAGCATTTGTTATGTCAAGTGGATTAACTTGGATTAGTACGCGATAATTAATGATATTATTTGTACTATCTTTTGAAAAATACATAACCTGAACTGTTAAGTAAGCGCGCAATAATTAATTAAAGTTATTTTTAACATGACGCATTGGTTGTGAGCTTGTCACTGTTTTGAGGTTATCAACCTAACCTCTCACGATACTTAATCGAGCACAGTTTTCCAAGATTGGTAAGCAAGTGTGAATTTAAAAAAAGTACTATAATGTCAGAAAATGAATGTAAAGAAACGATGGATGTTATTGGGGATGAAAATATGGAAACTGACAGTGATAACGCTGATGACGAATCAATTGAAAATGAATCGGAGAATGGTGAAACGAAGAGTAAAGTTTACTTACCAGGCGATCCCTTAAAAAAGAACGAAGAATTGGTTGTAGACAAATCTGCATATCGCATGCTACATCAAGCTCAAACTGGAGCACCATGCCTCAGTTTCGATGTCATTCAAGATAGTTATGGTAACTCGAGGGAGACATATCCTTTGAGTATGTACCTCCTGGCTGGAACTCAGGCATCCAGTGCACTTGTTAATAGTTTGTTAGTTATGAAAATGTCTAATCTCAGTGGAATCGAAGATGATTCGGATGATTCTGATGATGATGATTCTAGTAGTGAAGAAGATGACAAACATGTTCCGATAATGAAGGTAGTTTCAATAAAACATCAGGGCTGTGTTAATCGAGTTAGGTAAATATGAAATATGAAATGTTTAAAAATGTGGTTGGAACCTTTTTTAAATTCCATACATGTATGTGTATCCTGACAGGTGTAAAAAAGTTGGAAATACAACCTTAGCTGCCAGCTGGAGTGAATTGGGCCGCGTTAATATATGGAATTTGAATGAACAGTTAAAGAGATTGGACGATGACGTTTTACCGGCTCCTAATCGCAAGAAGGCTTCTAAAGTAGATAGTGAAGCAAAACCTATATTTACATTTAAGGGACATCTTTCAGAAGGTTTTGCCGTAGATTGGTGTGATACCGATGCAGGTATTTTAGCGTCTGGAGATTGTAAGGGTAATATTCACATCTGGCGACCCAGTGAGAGTGCAGGTGTTCAAACATGGCATGTGGATCAAAGGCCATATAATGCTCACGCACCTCATAGTGTCGAAGATTTGCAATGGTCACCTAATGAAAAATATGTTCTTGCGTCTTGTTCGGTTGATAAAAGGTGCATTTTAATGCTATCTTAAAATTAATTATTGTGCAATTTAAATCATTTATACTCTTCTTATGTCACTATATTTATTATCTTATGTATAAACAGCATAAGAATCTGGGACACGAGAGCGAGTCCTCAATCGGCATGTATGCTGACAGCATCGGAGGCTCACACGGCAGATGTTAACGTTATCTCCTGGAATCCCAAGGAGACAAGATTTCTAGTGTCTGGTGGTGACGATGGTGCAGTCCGCATCTGGGATTTACGACAATTTGGTACAACTGGTGCAGGACCTGTGGCAACATTCAAGCAGCATACTGCGCCTGTTACTACTGTAGAATGGCATCCAAATGAAGCAACAGTATTTGCTTCTGGTGGAGCCGATGATCAAATTGCCCAGTGGGATTTATCCGTCGAGGCTGATCAAACAGAAAACTCCGAAGATGAAGAATTGGCAAAATTGCCACCTCAACTCTTGTTCATTCATCAAGGTCAGACAGATGTGAAAGAATTACATTGGCATCCACAGTGTCCTGGTACATTAATTTCAACAGCACATAGTGGATTTAACATATTTCGTACGATTAGTGTGTAAAACTTAAGAGAATGGAAACAATAAATTGTCAAAAATATGATAATATACTGTTTCACTCTCTGATGGCAAACGCAATGTGACTTTTTGAAATTACGTTAATATATTCTACGTGTATATTGGAGATTTGTCTAGATAATGCTGGAAGTCGTGAATTAAAACATTCCTCAGTAAGTATTTACCAAATATAACTAAAATTTGTAGAATCTGGTCAAAATTATTCCTTAAGAAGTGCTAATGATAATAGGTGTCTGATAGTTGGCCTGCCATGGGGACAGTTCCATGGATTTTGCATTTGATCCATTTGTACCAGTAGACGTTGCATTTCTAGAGTGCCAAGTGCTGTACCAACCATAACTGCACTACGGCATGCCCGAGATGCCAGCATTTGTCTCACTCTGCTTGGTCGAATTATTTTATTATTTCCACAAGCTTCCGAGCTACTTTCTCTGATTAAAAATATTAATTCTTCGATGTCTTCTTGACCAAATTGCCAGCCTCCACTCACTGGCATTCCTGTGAGCATGACGCGGTGTCCAGCTTCTCCTGTTTATTTTAAGAAACAGGAAAACTTTCAGAAGATTTGTTCCTGGTTTAAAAATTCTTCAATTAAATAACACGTACCTGTTTCATTTACTTCAAATGTGAAACCATTGTCTTCAAACACTTGTTGATGTTCGATGAGTATCGATTCATTAAGAGCTGCAAGATTAAGTGCTTTCGGAATGATTAATTTTTGGGTAGTTAGTTTCGTCTCATTATTTAGTTTTTCAAATCGGTATTTTTCATCAGTGGCATGCTGATCGACGATGAAAAGGTCCTCTTCCAGTTGCACTATTATGAAACCGAGATTAAATTGTCCTATGACTTCCATCTACAAGTAATTTTTCCATTAATTCAAAATTATGAGTTAAAATAAGCTTCAAGATTGTTAAAAGGCAGGTAAACCACCTTGTTAAATGATCCCTTTTGTAATTGCAGCTGTAATTCCTTTTCCGCTTCGGCATTGCATCCTTCTTTTATTTGAGATCTGTACTTTACGTGTTTATCATATTTTTTACAAGTTTTTGACATGCGTTCTTTTGAAAGCAATGCTTGTTTTATCAATTCCATATTAATTGTCATTTCAGTATCGGGTAATCTTTCTGTACAGTTTATGTCAGTATTATCTGTATGAATTTCTTTCTGATCTACTTGTCTTTCCACGTTCTTGCTGAAAGAAGAGAGTTGTATTCTTTTTGTCGGTGGACTTTCTGCAGTGGAAGGTGAATTAATTCGTTTAAGACTAAAATTCATTTCTTCTAGAGACTTCATTGTAAAACTTCCTTGCATGCCATCCCATTTCTGTATGAGATTCCATTTGACGGCTGCTAAAATCAATTTCTCTTGAGTGAAAAATATCGTCCTTTTATCAGGGGTTACATTTACGTCCGCGCATTCTTGATGGAGTTTCAAGTTCAGAAAAACAAATGGATACTGCTTATTGTTGTACTTATGATAAGTTTGATTGAGTAATTTGGAGATTTTTGTAAGGTCACATGGCCGGCCGTTAACATAAAAGAATTGTCTGTCCGGAGTTGAACGTCCCATGCCTTGAGCACAACTGCTGACATAGAAATCCCATGAAAAATTTAAAGTTGTATCTTTGGGAAGATTGTATTCCTCTAGAGTAGCTTCGTCAAGTGGGTTTATTTCAACTTTTACTATACCATCCAATGATTTTCTTCCAAATACAGAGTTTATATTTTCCAATATGCTTGCTGCGCCCATTGTAGCCACAACGTTAGATGATTTCCCTGATATTAAATTGCTACAAGTGATTTTTATGCCAGTTGATACTAAACAATATCCATATAAGATTTGCAGAGCCTTTGCATATTCTTTTTTGAAATTCTTTTGAAATTCTTTTGCTCTGACTGGCAAGTTCTTAAAAATATTTTTAACGTAGACCGTTGTTCCTATTCCTCTGGCACAGGCTGTCTTCTCTTTTAGCTGGCCGTTTTTGTCGAATTGCAAGTGAAATGCATGCTCACTTTCTTTGTGCCTAGTGATTATGCTTAACTCAGATAACGCAGCCAAAGAGCTGAGAGCTTCTCCACGGAAACCAAAAGTATCTACTTCTGATAGGTCGGAAAATTCACGTAGTTTTGACGTATGATGCTTTAATGCTGTTATGATAAAGATAAATTAAGATTTTATGTAGTATGCATCTATTGGATGCATTTTATTAAGTAAATATTAAGTATATTCACCTAATCCTTCGAAATCCTGCTCCGAGACTCCGCTACCATTATCATTGACAGTAATGGAGGTTTTCCCATAATCTGATAATTTGACATCTATCACTGTAGCCCCACTATCTAAACTATTTTCTACAAGTTCTTTTATTGCAATAGCAAGATCTAGTACCACCTGTCAGTAAATAAATGTTTCTTTTATATTTGCCGGGTTCCATTGATTAAAGTATAGGTTAGAAGGGTCTTACCTGTCCAGAGCAAATATGATGTACAGCTTCTTTACTTATGGCATTAATCTTTTTTGAAATTTCCGTCGTTACAGTTGGTTCTGTCATACTTTTGCTATTTTATTTCCTCTAAAAGGCTAAGAATAACATTCACAAAATATGCTGTCAGACCATCTGACATGTGTTTATCCTATACATGTAACCTTAAATAGGGGAAGCAACAAGTAACGTCTTTTCTTCTTATAAGATTTTATTCCAATAGATTTATGTAACTTAGATTAATACCATGAAGTGGACAATTAAATAAAGATGTGCAGATATAGGGCATTAATATAATTTATTGAACTTTACAACTATGTTCAGAGGAGTGTATACACATGTTTATACTATCGTAGCAACATTCTCTAATTACTCCATGACCCAGTTCATAGGTCAGACCTTATACCAAAACCAGGAGGTGGAGGAGGGCTTGTCAGAGATGTAGGGCCAGCAGCAGGTTCTGCGGCAAAGCGTGGTGAATTTTGTGGACCCGGAGGTGGTCGTTCACCCTTCTTCAACGCATTAATAATTTTCTCTGTAGTCTCTGGAGTCAGATCCTCCTGAATATAAATGTTGAGTTCTTTAGAATTACAGGATGGTTATTAAAAAATACCTTCTATAAGCATGTAATACTTACATAGTAATCGTCATTGACCTGAAGCATTGGTGCATTGGCACATGCTCCAAGGCATTCCACTTCAGAGATTGTAAACAAGTTATCAGCAGAAGTGCCACCAACCTCACAGTTTGTAGCTTTGCATACAGCGTTCAATACCGAATCAGAGTCTCGCAGCCAACAAGGTGTACACGTGCATACTTGTATATGATATTTGCCCATAGGTCTTCTATTGAACATTGTGTAGAATGTTGCTACTTCATAGACTCGCATGTTAGGTACATCCAAAATTTCAGCAACCTTATGCATAGCAGAAATGGGTAGCCAGCCATGCTGCCGTTGGGCCAAATCGAGCAGAGGAATCATAGCACCTCGTTTGTGACCTTCCGGATAAATTTCAAGGAGTGCCTTTATTCTTTTCTGGTTTGCTTCATTAAATTCAAACGGTATGTTTGGATTATCCTGTTCCGAGTCCCTGTGCTGCGGTCGGATAAATTATTAAGAATCACTTCACCAATGAACCATTCATGTTATATACGATACCTACAATGAAAAGATGATCCGACGTATGTGCTGCTGTTGTCTGCATGCCCCTAACATTTTTTAGAACGTGCTGAAATCATTTTCAATGTTATATGTTTTTAGAAGATAGCGATACTAACAGATGTCTAATTTGGAAGGTTATATAAGGAGATAAAATAGTGCATCGTCGACGACTTAGGTTGCGATCGAGTGCACTGACGGTGCATGTTTATCTCGTAATTATTATTTACTTGAACTTTTTTTCGGCGTAATTTGTTCAATGTAATTATATTTTGCAATATAACTAACCAGTGACCCACAGGCTTTTCGAAGAGATGCCAGCATGTTTGGGCCTTACTATCTCTCCGAGAACGAAAATTGCACACTCGTTTATCTCGATGTTATAAACGGATAGAAGTCCTCAGGTGCAGTGGTAAATGAAACAACAAAATTATTGGCAGAAAAATTGCCAGTTTCTCGGGTCTAGAACCATTTTCTAGATTAATCAAGTTTTTCAATGCCAGTGTCGCCCTCTGGTTCTGACGTGCTGGAGCTGATATGCGTGAAATTATCGATTGTCAGAATTATAGGTCTCTACTTCGACTATCGATAAAGTAGACTTTCTGTTATCTACTTACTACTTTCGATACGTTTCGAGCTCTATGGTGCAGAGGTCGCTGCATATACCGTTAGAGTCGCCGGGACGCTCGGTTTGAATTTCCCGTCAAAAGAAGAACCCCGAAACAGGGATCGTGTTATCATGACTCAGTTGCTGGTCAGCAATAATCGCCGTGGCAGTTAACTATTTATACTCAACATTAAAGTAAAGGTTAAGCAACCGCCATCTCGTTGCGTGAGGTAAGTAAATTTAAACTGGGATCCTCAACGAAGGCATTCACGTATAATCACATTTATTACACCACAATACACAATGATACACTTAATAATTTAATCGAACTAATCGTAGTCGAGTTACAATGGCGATCGATTGGTTAACTAGACAATCTTGGAGGTATAAATAGCACACTGATCGCGAGGTCGCTTACATGGTACGCTCTCTACGGGTATAAGTTGCGAGATTATCCCATCCGGTGCTCGTGGCGGCAATGTTTAACGTCCGAAGGATCACGGCCTCGACCGAGACCCCCTACAAGTGGACAATACTAGAAAATGCGAGATTAATCGTTAATTAATGATGTGTCGGGGCACTACGGCGGCTGACCCAGCCTCTACCGCTACTGATCACGGGTAAATATATATATGTATAATCTTTGTCTCTTAACCGCTAACTTAACTCCGTAGGTACTATACAACGTGCTGATTACCGGCGAGCCCGATCGGATGTCTCGTCGCTTAATTAGTCTCAACAAATGCGGCGCGTACACGTCGTGCGCTGGAAAACCGCGATTCCTGTCTAAGGGAGGGAAGTCTGGAAGGTAAAGTAGTAAAAGGTAAAAAAAAGGCTCGCCCGCGAAGCTCATCCATGGTCGCGAGGGACGAGAGGTCCTGTCGAAAAATTCTAGATTCGTGGTGAGCTCCAGAGAGACCTTTCCGTTCCTTCGATACGAGGAGAATCACGAGAAGCCTCGACGGAACGGTCGAAAGGCCTCTCCCAGTCTTTCGATGGAGTCCGAGTGACCCCACGTGTGCTCGGTTAGGAACTTTAGTCGACGGTGAAGTTCGACGGGCGATTCGCTCGGGGATTACATCGGAGGACGAAGGAGACTAACGCTGGTTACATCTCATTTTTTTTTTTATTTCAGATGGTGTTCAGCAGTCGTCTCGACGCTTCGGTGTCGGGAACATGGACGAAGGTGCTCGTCGTGGTCCAGTCCTTGAAGACGAACAAGGATACCTGGGTACGTCAATGCCAGGTCTTCGTCGCGTACACCTGGGAAGCATGTCTCACGGTCTAACGAGGTGAGTTAAGTCTTAAAAACGAGAGAAGCGTTATCGTAATCAAGTAATCACCGATTTACATAATTCTTAGGAATCGCACGTGGAGGACGCAGCTCTCGACGTCGCTGCGGGACACGGTTCTTCGGTTTGGCGAGTTAATAGACGTCCCTTGGTATTCCAGGTGAGGTTAGATATACGTCGGCGTCGACGGTGCGATAATTACATTGCGTCCATCGTGGTGAGACTTACTTTTCTTCTTTTTCTTTTCATTTATTTTCCAGACACGGCGACATCTACCCGGACCCATTACGGAAACGTCGCGCCGGAGTCTGCACGTCGACCGAGCACAGGACGTCTTCAGGCCGAGCTTCTTCGCGCAATCATCGCGATTCATATTCATAACGCGTATGTAATTCCGAGGGAGCGGGGAACCGCATCCGAGCTCTAGGTCTATGCGGCGGGGCCGCTTCTGAATCCTCGGTTTCCCTAAGCCTCTTAATACTGTTTCGCACTGTACAATATCGAGTCGTTCCTCGGGGCGCCACCGAGTAGATCCTTCCTCGACGTCGCCTCCTCGAGGGTACGCGTCCCCTCGAGGTGTTTCGAGATAATGGAGAGCGCGAGTCGCGCCCGCGCCGGCGCAGACTTTTCCCTCGGACTCCGGGCGAGCAATTCGAGGGGTCAATTAACGAGTTCGCATTACGCTACGGAGAGATATACGTACGCATGCCTTAGCCTCTACTCTCCCTTCGCGGCTCGGGCTTCCGTAAGCGCCGGGGAGGGGTCCTCTCTCGCAGGGATAATATACGCATAGAGTGTATAGAGAATGTACAAGAAAATCTACATTAACGAACCGATTTTGCGGATGCATATTTAGTGCGTGCGCGTACTTAGAGTATGTATAAATCCCAGCCGGCGCGCTGCGATCGGCCGAGGAATAAATAAATTAAGGGGGAAGCTTCGTGCCATTTACAGTAGCTCCTTCGTAGGTGCGCGCGAGGTACTCGCCGGTGGTCGGCGGTATTTCTCTTCTCTATCGTCTAGGCTCGATAATTCATGTAATATTATTCTAAGTGTCGAGATATAAGTCCCGGGTACTCGGGAGTGACCTCGGGATTCCTAAGATTCGGAGCTGGAAAAACGTTGAAAAGCGTTCCTCGTTAGGATGCGACTCTCTGCTTCTCTTTCTCTCCCTCGAACTTCCTATGGAGCAGGAGAGAGACAGATTCGCGGGGAATTGACTTCTATCTTTAGACGATCCGCCTGGCCAAGCGAGTGCCGAACCTGGAGAGAATTGCCGGGGAGTTTCTCGCGCGCGTAAACTCACGCGTGATACGGTTTGATGATAATATACTGCGGTTAAATATATTCCGGGCGCCTCGAGCTTACGTTTGTACAAGCCACGCACTCTTTCTCCCGTTCGTTCTTTATCTCCCCTCTCGGTCTTTCTCTCTCGCGCCCGCGCGCTCGGGCTCTCCCCGTCTCTCTCGCTCTCGTTCTCTACGCTAGTGAAATACGGCGAGCCGAGCCTGCTGCGTGTAAATCAAAATTTGAAACGTAAATGCGGTGCGCTCGAGCTCGGCTCGGCCGTTGACACGAGTACCCGAGTACGAGTACTCGAGCGGGAATTCGCCGCGAGTGGGAGTACAGGCATGCGAGATGAATCTCGGCCTGGGGGTACACGAATTGCGAGTCTTAAACGGAAGCACGAGTACCCGAGTACGAGTACCTTGGCAGGAATTCCCCGCTGGAGTACATGCGTACGGGATAGGAGTCTCGGCATCACGGTACTCAATGTCACGTGTGCTCGTTCATGGGAATTTTTTTATGGAAGCTCGAGTACCCGAGTACGAGTACTCTGAATTCGTTTGAGTATGTGCACGCGATAGGAATCTCAGGCTCGCGGTACTCCGTGACATGCGTTTGTAGGAATGGCGAATGTTGAACGAGAGTACTCGTACTCGAGCGAGATAAGAGCACGCTTATCACGCGGGGAGCTTCCGGGCGCGAGGTTCGAGTCCTAAGTACGAGTATTCGAGTACCGAGTACCGCACGCGGGTTACGAATCGATGGGCTACGGCGAGACGAGTACGGGGGCGACTCGGGGATCTTCAATGGCAGGATCTCGCCCTCCGGTGGAAGCGGCGCATCCTGCGGTGCCACTCGTCGCGCCACTCGATCACGATCGACTTTTGACTCACTGTCAAACTCCCGTAGCCGTGGCCGTCGCTCTCCTGGCCGAGGATCAAGTAGGCTCTGAAAGCAATCGGGGACTTTAGAATCCCATTCCACGGAGAAGGGGCGAGATGAACCACGTGGAAAGGCGTCTGGTATAAGGATTTCTCCCAGGACTTTGCGTCAAATTGGAAATATCGTCTCCTGCGAAATTAATTGTCCTACGTCCTCAACCTCTAGGAGGTCCTGGCCACGAAGTAGGATAAGGAGATACTTTAAGGGGTCCAAGATCTTCAGACTTTTTTGACCTAGTGCCGAGAGCACCTCCTCGATGAAATTCTACAATTCAGGAATTATCCTCCGCCAGTCTTTATCACGTTAAAAACATCACGTCCTGTATATCCACAGATTATCGGCTCACTTTGCGTACCTCAATTGCATAATTAGAAAGTGTCTTAGGTCATTCATTTCGGTCATGTAGGATCGGAGTAATTTCTCTATTCTTTTTTTTTTTTTTTCTTTCGCAAGTAGCGATCGTTAGATCAGCGGAAGTCTGAGATCGAGGGTCCCGGTTATGGGGTCAGTTTACCGTGGGACCGACCTTTGGCGTTATGTCCTTTTATACTACCTCGTGGTCCAGGCAATGAGATTTAATTTACCGGGAGTCCGTAGCGCGATTTAATCTCCCTCGAGAGTTTGCGGGGCGTAATGAAGGATGCGTCGATTTTCATTTTTCTCCTCTTCTCTTCCAGGACATGCGAAACGATGCCCTAAAACCCCCGGGCCGTAAACTCGGGGGCCTTCTTCGGGGCCCTCACAATGCGCACTTTGGCCCGGCGCAAGGAGACGAGCATAACCACGTCCACCCACGCCTCGACCACCCGAGTGTTCCTCGAGAGGAGGTTGCTCGACACGCGAGGGCACTTACTTATTTGGCTTGATCTTCGGGCACCTGCAGGCCAGATCCGTGGAACGCACGTAGAGGGGGGTCGATCCACGGCGCAGCTTCGAGTCCTGGCCCTTCTTGTAGACGAATTGCACGTAGATGGTGAATCGCACCCAGGGCGTCCCCGACGCGCTGCTCCCGGTCGGCGGACCGTCGACTTTCTTCTGCCTCTCCGTCACTTTACCCAGGATCGCTGAAAGGGTACGATAAATTAATAAGGATCATTAATTAACGGCATTCCTTTTTTTCTTTCTTTTTCTTTCAGTGCAGCAGAGGTCTTGGGATCGACTTCACGTCGACTTGGGATCGGTGTCGAGGTCTCTTCCCAAAGTCTGCTCCCCGACTGCCTCGACTTGACCCCGTCATCGTGGTTCGACGAATTCCAGGCCAATTGCCGGGAATTAATTTATAGTACTCCGGACGATCCATTCAGCCCGATTCGAGGCTCGACGTCACGACGCTCGACGCCTCGGCGGGCGACGACCGCTCGCCGGAAATGGGATATTCGATTTCTCGTTAAAAAACCAACCCGATACGCGTTTTGTTGTTCGTTATTGTTCGCCAGTCCGAAACAACTCGGCGTCATTATCGGGGCTAGCACAATAAAATTCCTCGGGTATTAAATTCGCCCGGGAAAGGAGATAGCGTTTCAACTTCGCGATATGCGAATTTTTATCCACGGAGAGTGATTGTTTTTTAGGGGCTTGTACAGGGCTGGCGCTTTTGTTTCTAACGAGCCCTTTGTTCCGTTATCATTGAACAGGACACGTTAGGGATGATTTACGTTGGGGTACTCGGCAAGGATATCGCGGATTGCTCCGCGGTCCTTTCGGTGGCTAGGGAAGAGCGTCGTGGTCCGATATTCGTTATCTCGTTATCAGCAGAAGATGAGTCCCTGGAAGTACCCTGTCCACGCATCGCGGTCCGTCGATCAGTCGTAAAGGGAGATCCATTGTCTTTATGGCTCCCGCTTCGAGAATTCCCCAGATCGAATTGCCCCTAACGCTCCAATTCTAGTCAATTCCGGGCCCCTATGCCCTAAGAAAAAAGATAAGTTAACCGAAACGAATTCTAGGCATATCATAGTCGTATCCCGAATCCCCTACAATTGCGCAAAAGAAAACCATTGTTTCGTCGAGAAGAGAAAAAATCCACGTGTCCTTCAAATGAATTCTCTTCACCCGATCTGACATTTCGGACGTATCCCATCGCAGGATCTTGCGAAGTATATTCCTATAAGTCAATCGGGGTTTTTTCTTAGTGTAGACTCTACTCTAGTTAACTTTTGAATTTGCGGGCGATGATTAATGATTTTTTCAAATTTCTCAGATCTTGGAGAGGCAAGAGGACGAGACGAGAAACTCCCGCACTTATGGGAGAGAGGATCACCTATGGAGCTCGGCCGTGCGTGCGATCTACGCCTGGGGAAATCTGTCAGGCAGAGAGAATCACGTTAAAAGTGATTTCCGTCCCCATTGTCCATTCACGGGAGCTGTCAAAGCTGCGGGGCATTACTTAAATAAAGGCAGAAGGCGGGCGAAGTCCGCGGTTCCGCCGAGTCTATTCTAAGTCGACAGCTAACTGCGGACCTGTTGAAGATTTATCTGCGCTGAATCAACCTGGCCGACAAGATGGCTTTCCTCCCTACCACGAGGCCAGACGCCGGACCTCGAGTTCAAAAGCATGCCTTTCTATTATTGAAGCGGCTCGCAGGCCCCGCGGGCCGTTGATTTTTCGATCGGCCTGCAGACTGCACCATGCCTCGAAGAGGAGGTAGCCCGACCACGTGGCCTGGACCAGGTGTTCCAGGAGAAGATTTCCGGCGGAATTACCCGTCCATCCTTCGATCAACGATCCTTAAGCCGATCCCGGTTCGTCTAAGTACTCACCGTAGTCTCGCTTGCAGTACTTGTTCAGGTTGAGTCGTCGCGTGCTGGCTCGGCACTTCCCACACTGATCTGCAACACGAGACAGGAAACGTTAACGGGCCTCGTGTGCCGGACAATTTCCGATTAGGAGTACAGGACATGACCTGCGAGTGCGCCGATGCGATGCGTTTCTCGAAACGGTGCATGCATGTGCATGGCGCATCCTCGCGACCCTATGCGCTGGCTCCACTTACGTCATTTGCGCTCGCCTCGTCTCTCACGCTTGACACTACCTATTATCATCCGACTATATCTATCCATCTATTATCGCGATTACGCCGAGTCCGCATGTCCCGTCCGACGCGGTCTCGGCGCTCAATTAATTCCGAGGGCGATATGTTGTCTGCCGGCGAGTCTACCAGGGATTAAAAAAGGAGGGACTGCTGATTAATATGGCTAGATCGATATCCGAGATTTGCGAACCCTGGGGAAAGGGACCGGCGCGACATCGCCGAGGAACCGTAGATCAGGATCAGGCTCGTCGCTAATTTTCGGACGGTTGATTATTTTCATATTTAATGGTTCATTCATTATTTTATGGGGGGTTTCAAGGGGGCGAGATAGTGCCTCCGCGTTCCATCTTGGCTTGTCGTTCTTAAATTAACCGCCGCGATCCCAGCCGAGTGAATTACTAATTTGTTGAATTACCATCGACGGAAATGAAAGGCAGTTTAAGCGACTCCGCGGCCATTATGCGCGAGTGCGTACGGATAAGATTTCTAAATATAGTCTTAGCGTTTCCTAGCCCAGACCCGTGGGTCCATTAGCACCGATAGGGGGAATAAGAAAGGTTAATTACAGGTGGCGAAGTGCAAAGTGGAAAAACAAATCCTTCGAGCCGGGCCGGGAAAAAAGCGGTCGTATAAGAGCTCCTATCATACCCACCGCGTGGCCATTCAAACGGAGAACTCTCCTGCTTTGAGCGCCGGGCCAATTAAGTGTCAGTAAATGAGGAATAACGCGCTCGCTTCGTTTAATATTACGTATTAACCGGATACAGTAATTTAACGCGTACTGCAATATCCCATTAAGCCGGTCCCCGTGCGGTTCCATGCCATTGCGTACGCATATCACAATAGTTTCGCACCCATTGGATTTTTTATCGCGACAACTCGCCGTTGAATCGTGACCAAAGCCGACGTGTCGCCAAGGGAGAACTCTCGGAGAGACTAAACAAAAAAAAAAGAAAAAAAAATCAAGTACCGCTCCCTTTAGCTATTACAAAATCGCAGAATTTACCGCTCTCGGGGAACTGAAAAAAATAATCATGCGTTGGTTCTACCGGTTGGGCTAAAAATCGCAGAATTTCTTTTAAAGCGCTTTCCCCAAAATTTTAGACCCTTGCTTGGATTTATTTTAATGGGGTGAATTTTTTGGGGCTGGTTGTCGAAGGGGTGGAATTCTTAATGATAAGAGGCGGTGGCAAGGACGTGCGTGCGCGTGCCTCGCATAATGCCCGGCTCTATCGCGTGCGCGAGCATTCGCGGGCATTTCGTAATTATCGGCGTACTGCATCCGTGAAAACTCGTTGCAACGTCGGTCGTTTTAATGGCCCGTGGTTAGCAGTTAGCGGTTACGCGTCGGCGAGACGAAAAGGACCTCGCCTCGTTCTGTCTTTCTCGGCCCAAGGGGAGACGCATAAGCGCGTCTCACTCCCTCGGCCGGTCTTTCCTCGGTCGGTCGACTCCCTCCGGATGCGGAAAGAAACGGAGTTTATTACCGATTCCGTTTGATAAATGTATCATTACGCGTGCGCCCTTTCACGTGACGCGATTTATAGTCTTAACCGCTTAATTCCTTAACACATTGTACGTCGGAAATCGAGCGAGGTGCGTTTCAACGCACCCCGAAGTCATACCCGAAGAGGATCCTGCCAAGTGTAAAAATATCGTAAAATTTCCCGGACCTTGAGTTGTTATCATTTTTAATATCATTTTTTCTTGCACCCTGGCAAGATGAACCGTGTCTCCTTTTTTTCTTGCCGAATTGTCTGGAATTTCAGCGATTTTCCGTATGAAAAAAAAAAAGAAGAAAAATAATGGGAGCGACGACGCGGCGATTCTAATTACCGTAAACGCCGGGGAATTCATCGCCCTTTCAGCGGAAACGAATCGAAACGGCGCGGAGCGGCCGCAGCGTCCGCAGAAATAACGCGCGTGGCCACCGCAAATATAATTACCGTCAACGTCTCTAAAAATATTTCTCCATGGGCCCCCTCGGAGCCGAGTGCCCTTGGCTGCACGCACCCCTTTCCACAATACGCACCCCTTCTCTAAAACCCACCCCTTCTCCAAAACCTACCCCTTCTCTAAAACGTACCCCCCTGTGCGTTCCGGTCGCTCGCTCTTGCGGCCCCGATAACGTACGGTCCGGCCGACGTCATCCATTTCGCGCTATCGAGTCGTGACACCTCCCGCTATTTCACGGGTGGCCGATCGACGGATCGACAGCCGCGGATCAACCTTCGATTATGCACCGATTGCGAGTGCGCGTACAGAGGGAAGCGGGATTTCTCTACTGGCACTGCCCGGCGGATTAATTCGACGGTCCGGCTCGATGGGAAAGGGGTTATCGAGGACCGGGAATATCGCTAAAAAATAAAATTCCCCACCGAATCGATACCATTAAGTTAGTCATATGCTCCTTTATAAATGCACGAGGGGGGAGGAACGATTAGTTTATCGAATTTAATTATTTAATATCCTGTACTTTCATATGACAATCGATGGACAATGCCTTTCCGCGATGCACTGAGGGACTGTCGGCCTACCTGTGATCTCATACAAGTATACGTCACAGGGAAAAAAGGAAAAGTCCTTACGGTGATTTAATTTAAAAAAAAAGAGACAATTCTTTTAGAATGTTTCTTTTGTACAGGTGTAATCCCGTGACCGTCGAGTTGCAAGGATCAATTGGTATCGGTTGCTCGTGATCAAGGGATTCCTATCTGCGACGCACCTGCGAAGGACTCGTCGTCCTGACATGTCCTGCCCGTCCTGTCGCCGCGCCCACGAAGACCCGACCGCGTTAATTGGCACTTCCGCATTAAAAGCCCCGCACGGTGCGTCCCTCGCACGCGGCCTCACCTGTACGCACCCTCACACCTGCGCGAGCCCGTGCGTACGCGGGCGGTCGAATGGATCCGTGCCATTCACGGAGTTCCTCGGAAGGCCATTCATTCCCTTCTCTCCGGTCGTTACGGAAAATCCCCTATTTATAGGAAGCGGAAGTTGGAGGAGAGAGACGGCAGGAAAAGAGCCAGGTGATGGAAGATTCGAAGAGGGGAGGAAAGAGGCTAGACAGAGATTCCGGAATCGAAGACTACCCCCCGAGTATCAGAACGGAAATTAATTCCCCAGGAAGGAAGACACCGCAAAGCCAGGACTAGATCCTGGGGACCGAGATGTAGCCGAACTAGGTTCGTCGAACCATTGTCATAAACGACCAATATTTCCTACATTTTCCATATTTTCTCCCGACCTCGTCGACGATTCTACGACTCACCAGGAGGCCTCCTCTACACGATCGCATAATTTCCTAGTTCGCTTCCCATGGTCATTCGGAAATCTCGAGAGAATCGGACATTTCCGAGGGAAGTTCAGAAATGTCCAAGGACCTAGGTGCTTCGTATCTGTAGGAATTGATAAGCCAAGGGGCCCTTCATCCCGAGAGGCTAACGAGCCGTGATATAGGGATGCTGCGAGGTCCTGGAAATTTCAAGGAGCGCTTCGATGAAGATATTAATGATAAATGGGGTTTCATCGTCGGGTCGATGCAAATCGACGCGGTCTCGGGTCGAGCGCGGATCGAGGCTGCGATCGATCCTCTGCGGTAGTTTCTCATCGATCACTCCGTCGATGGATCCCCTCGAAGTCTGAGCCTCGACCGCGAATTCTGACCCTCCAGTGGCCGGCGATTTACGTTCGGCCCCGGACTTAGATTAATCGACCAGGCAGGCAGTGTTTTCCTTGGCCCGATCGGAGCCGAATTTCGGGAATTCCGAGGTGGAGGCGCCAGCTCGGAACACGTATCCGTTATATTGCGTCAAGAGGTTCTTGCTAAATCGAGCTAAATCGGGAGCCAGGCATTGACCGTGGCCGATCTTGGAGCTCGGCTGCACTTCGTAGATCGATAATTTCTATTATTATTTTCAGGATCACCATCGGACCCTGGAGAGGAGCCCGAAGAAGAGCTCGAAGAGGAGCATGAAGAATTCCTCCCCGAATAACGAGGGCGTACAACCAGTCAGGATTAAGGCGGGTCCGTCGATATCTGTATATCACCCCAGGTCGTAACTCGGCGCGAGAATTTCAATATTCCCGAGGGAGGTCGCAGGGAAGAAGGAGGGGAAGATGGCACGAGGAAAGCCGCGCGAACTCGTGTACGTAGGAGAGGAAGAGGGAAACGGGCGAGCAGCGTCTCCCTCGCGCTTTTCGACGGAGATAGGAAAGCTATTCGACGTAGAGGAAGGAATGTCTCTCGTGCCCGGAGAGGGTCTCGGTTGATTTTAAGTAATCGCCCGGAAAATTCGAGGGGCAAATCGCGAGCTCGTGGCTCGCCGCCCTCCCTATTCTTCCCTCTGCATTGTCCGTGGACAATATCGGCCCGAGTTTACGCCGGATTGATGCGGCGACCTCTAAGCCCCTCTAGGAGCTTCCTCGAGGATTTTTCCTCCGGCTGAGAAGGTCTTCCGGCGGTCCTTCCATCGGGAGGCAAAATGTATTCCGTTTCCCAGCCTAGGGATATATTCCCAGGGAGGGACGTATTTCGTCCCTCGAGGGGGATCGCCGCCTGCGATTAGACCATCTTCCACCCAGAAAAGTCATTTCGAGAGAGGATATCCTCCTCGAGCGAGCCTCGGCAATTTAGACTTGCGAAAAAAATCCCGCTTCGATTCTTCCCCGAGTCTTCGAGGCTGTAACGAGATCCGCCCTGCTCGTTCCACTACTCGTTGATTCACAGGGATATCCGGTCGCCGGATAATTCAATCGAAGGCCAGGTGGACATCGATCTCTCGGTGGAATTCGATT